TTGACAAATTTTCAGACGCTGACACAGTAACAAAATCTATCTTTGATCATGAGGACTCACAACTTTTAATATTAAAACACAGGTATGCTAACTGCAAAAGAAATATCCACATCCGCAACGTGATTATTACGTTTTCCTCAAGTTTTCTCTTTATACACACATTTTTAACTTTGCGCGGAACAGTATCTCTTTATTTTTGATGGAAAATCTATTTTTACAATGAGTGAATAAAATCGTTTAAATTTAGTTCATTTAATGTTGTGAACGTCGGTCTATACGCATCTTCACTCCGTGCCTTCGCATGAATTTGGATTTTTGGATCGTGGTATAAAGCAAGTATTACGTAAAATTTGTATCGTATTACAAACAAAAATAAATTTCTCTTCTTATAAAGGAAATAAAGTTAAAAAGCAATTAGCGATGCTTATATTTTGCACTGATGTGTCCTAACGACCGCGAAAGCGTCAAAAATAGTATTTTTGACTTGAAATTTTACGTTACGATTTTGTTAGATGAGCTATGATTTTAAAATGTCTTTATGTTGTTATTGAAATAGATCTCCTTTTACACAAATAAGCGTTGAATTAATTGTTATATGGTTGCACGACATGAGTCATATGAATCATGTCAGAATGTTTGAAATCGCAACATATCACGAATGTTTTTTCGTGAAAGATTACAGGGAATCTTAAAGCGTAAAAATGAATAAGTTTTCATTGAAAACGTTCAAGTCAAATGAAGAATCTGAAAAGATAGGTAATTGAGGGACAGTTAACGAACTGCACGCTATGCACCGATAAATTCGAATTAAAAATCCTCATCCGATCACCTTTCCAATTTATGCATTGAGAGCACTAATCGCAATCGGCCATTCATAAACCATTTGGCTTAAGATCCGCCAACGCCAGGCGTCGCGCATTCAGCGCGAGAGGCTTCAAGGTGCGCGCTAAGCAGCCAGAGCGGTGTTGCCGCGCCGCGTGCGGTGGGCTCTGTGAAAATTTTGCCTACCTACCGCGACCCGAAATAGAGCTCCGGCACCTTGAGCGAGATGACGACTTGGATCGAGCTTTCTTTTTCTGCTCGGGTCGGGCTTTTTCCAAATCACGCGTGCATTAATTTTGCGGAATGCGGATTTGACGGGAGCACGCGCAGCTAAGGAAGCAAAAAACCCAGGCAAATGGTTGCACGATGGAACGAATTCGTTTGTTTGCTCGACTGAGTTATGCTATTCTCGAAGCTGTATATAACAGTTAGCCCGCAAACTGAGTTGATCTTAAGTGATCGTTGAAAGGCTTTTAGAACAATTATTTTGCTGTATTTTGATTTGTGTGTCGCGTTGTTTCGATTCCACGTAATGATCTTATGTAGCGCAATATCGCGACGAAGACAATTACTTCGCACAAAATTCACGACGTATTTTCATTTTCATTTTTATTTGCAAAAATTGATTTTATGAGGTCTCACGCCTACGCGATATTCAAATTCAGCAGGAATAATATTCAATTGTCGGTAAAGAAATTTGAAAGACTAATTTCACGCGACACACGCAGCTTATTTTAAAAGGTGCAAGGCAACATTCACAATATAAGTGGATAGGCAATTTAGCTCCGGAAACGCTTATAATGTCAAGGCGGGCGTACAAAAGTTTTTGGACACTGCGAGGTACATGCCAAATGACTCGAACGATCAGTGTATCGGTTACTTTGCCATTTTAACAAGCAAACGCATGTGAGAACAGCGAATTTCACGAATAATAATTTTCAGCCGGATATTTTTTAATTGTCTTATACCCTGTTGCATAATCATCTTTTTCAAACTATCGCACAACTACCACTTTAACCAGCTCACGTTGTAGTAGCTCTGTGACAATATGCCGCAGCGAGCCTCGTCACTTGTTTACGAAGTTCCCATTTGTCCATCGCTGAAACACGAAAGAACAAATAGGCGCCGACGAAGCAATTTTATTTTCGATTGAAGTCGAGCGCAATAAGCCCGAAAGCATAAATAAACAGCTAGTCAGCCAGAATGTGAGTCACGGCGGGGCCGTTTTGTAATATCAAGCCGCCGAGGCTCCGCTAAATGCAGGTGTGTTTAAGACACAATGAACCGACCTTTCAAGCTAAAAAAGAAAGTCTGAAAAGAGCCGTAGCCTGGCGTGGCAATGTCGCGTGAGCGATTGCGAAAGCAGCGACGACGGTAAGACGAAACCGAGATCATTGTGATGCACACGCGATCTGAATTACATTGCCGAGCGTCTCGTCGTATGCATTCGCGAACCTCTCCTGGGCTGCAGTTTCGACGAGGACGCGTTCCGCGTCGTGCGGACGTGAAAGAAAAAGGCGCTTTTTTTTTCTGCTTCTATCAACCTGTTGCTAATCGATCGTATATGAACGCCAGCTGTGAGACTGACAGCTTAACGGTAGATATAGCTTTTAGGAGTGAAAGAGTTTTACGGCGATGGGAAAGTTTCGCAGTTGAGACTAGTTTTTAAACGAAATCACACGGCTTACTCGTATGCACACTCCAGGGCAGTTTTTCGCACACCATAGCTGATATAATAGACGCTACATCGAGTAACAATTTTATTGCTTGCAATTGGCTTGCCTTCGTTTCGACAAATTGGTAGAACAGATCAACATTCGAGCAACTGCTTCGATGCAGCCGCACCTTGTAGCTTAGCGCACAGATAGCCCGAAAATGAACAATTAGCGAGGCAAGTAGAAGACGGCTTGACCGCTGGTCGCAAAGTTTTTGAAATTAAAATTTGAAGAAAGAGGAAATAAAAAATGAAACTGCACAGTACTGTTAAATGCCGCATCCTACTTGACCATCAGATACCCGGAAAAGTGCGAATGAAAACACAGTTAGCCACGCGCCTTCGACATCGGACGCGCGATAGAGAAGGAAGATGCGCGCGCACTCGATTTTTTGTTCTCAGAGCTCTCGCCTGCGCTTAACAAGGCGAGCGGCGCGTGAATGCGCTCGAAGAAAGAGAAATGCCCGTAGACCGTCGTATTGTAATGTTAACGAATTCGCGGCCCTGATTGTTCGGAGCTCGAGAGCCCGTTAAATCCGACGAATTAGACTGTGCGTGCTCGTTCGGGATGTGCTTCGGAACGCGATGTAATTGCTCTATTTGCAGTTTGAAAATCGCTGCCTCGGCGAGGAGAGGAGAAAGCAAGCGGGCCGAAAGTCGAGCCGCGCGGCGCAAGCTTCGGTCGGCGAGTGCGCCAGGGCGGCTCGGACGAGAAGGTGGCAACCTCTTGTCGCGAGTCCTCGAAGGCCACTGACGCGCGTGGACGTCCTCCGCGAGTAGGGGGAGAGGAGATATCGCGCGAGGCAGGATGCGCGGCCGCAGAGCACGGCGAGGCGTCGTCGTGGGCGGCGCAGATATGCATGCACGGACACCTCCGCCGCTGCCGCGACTAACGGTGCGCCACGTGCACGCGCGCCTCGCCTCTCGCCGAGCCCAATACAGCTTGCTGCTCCTCTCCGCGCGCTTTCCTCGACTCGTTTAATTAAGGTTGCAAACTCGCTCGAGCCTTCCGTGCCTTGCCGTCTCATGTGCATTCGCTTTAGATAATTGATACTCTTGCGGCTGCGATGGTCGCTCATGCGGCAGCCGCACCATTTTTGTAATATGTAAAACGAGATGTGATTTTTGGCTTTGATGGCGACTCAATTGGAGCGCACATTCAAAGATAGTAGGCTCGAGTGTTTGTTTAAGTCTTGGAGAGACTGGAGTTAGCATCTGTTTAAGTACCTATTACTAAAGTCGAATTCAATAAAGTTGACTTTTATTGTCCATGGTAAATGGACAATGTAAAATTTATTTATTATTAAATGAATATTAAAATTTACCAAACATGGTAAATGGAAATGCATGGTAAATCAAAGAGGTTGCCAAAAGTCTCAACTGCTTCCAATCTGAAAGATGTCAAATGGCAAAACCAATTATGGTCTCAAATAACGGCAGGCAGGATATTTAAACAGATTTCGGATGAAATTTAGTATTTTATACTTTTAGTTGAAAACTTGCAGAAATTAAAATTCATGAGATTTGTATGTATATATTGTACATAATGTGAAAGTTTTCAAATACATTGGTATATTTAATTATATTTTTGAAAAGGACATGAATGGCTACAAAAAAACCAAAGGAATTTTTAAAGATGCACGCTTTGCCTTCTTACTATTTGATCTAATCAGGTAGATCATAAGTTGAGTAAGAGTAACAAGATCTGCGCTTGCATTTTACATCATTGAAAGATTCTAAATAAAAGAAAACTATTTAGGTAACGTTGCATAAATCGATTGAAAGAAAGTCATATTTTCTAGCTTTTCGTTCAAAAAATTATGAGTATAAAATTCGATTCAACTAAATTTACCAACTGGAAGCAAATGTAATTTTGTTTCGCACGTAAAAATAGTGAGCCTCCGAACGCGCAGCGAATTCGAAGCAACCTTTTTTTACAAAAGTTACGAGGTCAAGTTAATGATTTGCTTTACAATATTTAGACTTTGACTCATGCTTCGCGAACTCGCGTGTATATTTACCGAGCATAATTTATTAAAAATAATTCGTTTCAAGTGTATTCCCAAAAATTTCTCTCGTTTATCATGGTGAAATGAAGAAATCAATATTCGAAGTAAAATTATTACTAAAACAATTGCCATGTCGACATCTCAAGAAACAATGAGAAAGAAAGAATAACAAAACGTGAGACCTAGAAAAAAGAAGTCAGAGTAGCGCATCGAATAAAGCGCTAGTAAAGCTCTCGGAGCTTTCTCGCCTCGGTTAGGATATTTCGGTCGGGCAATTCCTGTCTCTCTCTCTCTCTCTCTCTCTCTCTTTTTCTCTCGCTCGTGCGCCTCGAATCTCAACGTCTCGTCGTTTCTCGCCGCTGCCCCACCCTCGTGTAAAGCAGAGCCGCCCGAGATATCTCGCAAGCGGCACTGAGCAGCGATTCGCATTCGACCGACGTCTTGGTGTGCGAGAAGAGAGTCGGGGACGATACGAGCGGCGCGTTTCTGGGGTTCCCGTTTTTTTTTTTGTTAATGATGACTTGACTGACTTGGCCACCTCCGATTGAAAAGCAAGATTGTGAGAAAGGAAATAGGAGGACCTGCACGTTTTTTTTATACAGTGTACATTTATTGAGTGATTGTGCTTTTTTTTATTATTACTACGTTTACATTGGTTCGGCGAGTTCGGAACCGAGCTTGCGGAAGCTCGAACCATGAAGCGCCAACAGTCATGGGATTTGCAGAAGCAACAGTACTCGCAAGAGCGTACGGAGACCCAAGTCACCAGGCAACAGATCACCCAGCAGCGAGGTCAGTTTTTGCGCTCGCTTTTCTTTTCCCGCCACGACGTAATCGGCGTTTCGCTCGCGACGTTTGCGTGCAGATGACTTTTCACACGCGAGTTCGTTGATTCGCTGAAAATAAGAGACGGCAAAGTTGGATTAATTACCAAAAATTGACTGTGTGTCTCAATGTAATATAATATCTCGGAGAGAATTCAAAATTATCACGCACCGTTACCGCGTGGTTATTTATAATTTTCATACCACTGCCTATTTATAAAGTATCGCATATATATAGTCTATATAGTCGTCATTTCGTGAAGGAGAGAGCAAAGGAAGAATCGTGGAAGAAAGTAACAGTGAGTCAGAAACGTTCGATCGTCGAGGAATCGCGATTACGGGGGGGGGGGGGGGGGGATTGAAAAACAGATTGCGGTAGGCAAGGTGTACACATGAGCGTAACTCTGTGCGCACGAGGAAGAACTGTTAGGCGGTCGTTCGAGCGCGCGGACCATCGTTGCCGGCCTCGCTGGCTAGCTCCTCGTCACGCTATCGTAAGCGCCCCCAGTGCGAAGCGCATTCCGCTCGCTGGTGCACGCCAAATTCGCAGCTTTTCTTGCTCGGTACGGGGGGGGGGGCAACTCGTCGAGCTCTCTTCCAGAGACGTGGAAATCGCGAAACGATCGATCGCTGCCGGGGACGCTTACAGCGGAACGGCGTTAAACGGGGAGGTACGCGCCGTGCACATTGGATAAGGTCGACCGAGATCGGATGATACGAGAAAACACGAGTGCGCGAGCGCTGTCTCTGCGAACGCCGCCGATAGTGACAACGGAGATTCGTCGTTCGTTCCGTTCGATTCCAACGATCGGCGATTTGCCAACGTCAATAAAAGAAAGGAAAGAGAGAGAGAGAGAGAGAGAGAGAGAGAGAGAGTCGCACGTAGTTTATCGCTTTCCTTGCTCTGCTTTCGCCGCTGCCTATGCGCGATAAACGGCCGGGAGAAAGAGCGCGCGAGTTCTTCCACGTCGGTATTCTATTTTCGAGTGAGCTACCGGACTAAATTTAGGGCCTCGCTCGCGCGCGCTCCAAAATTCCTTCGCCTGCGCCGCCGCCGTCACCAATGCTCTGCCCCCGTGCCCGACACTGCGGCCAGCTTGAGATGAAAGCTCAGCTGCTTCTGCAATCGCGATTGCTCGTACGAGTTGACACTTCGTTAGCACGATGTAGGTTCGGATACACTGGGTCATTGGGTACGATGGCAGGTGTAGATGGAAGCCTGCATTAGGAGCTTGCCACTGCAAGTAGGCGATAGATGTGTCGTAAAAATTTTGACGTGATTGCGAGGAAATAGATCGTGCGGCATCGTGTACCACATAGCTTACACGGAAACGGCCGTTAGCGACTCGGTCGAACCTTCTGCTTGTCTTATCTGCTTTCTCATGTCGAATAAATCGCACGTCATGTGCATAGTTTCCCTCGAATCGCATATATGTTTCTCATTTTTCAAAAAAACATCTACACTGGTCACAGGCCACTTAAATTAATTGCAACAGATGTACTGGATTCTAGAATTCTCATGAAAATCACGATTACGTTCAAACTCATCAGCACGAAACGCGTTTCGGAATGTTTATGTTTAAACGTGCACGCTTAATTCGAATTGCAGGTACTAATTAAACCGCAGAGTACAATTTATGGAAATAAGTTGTCTTTACTCTTACTTTTGCTATACTGAAAGTTGTAAACGAGCACTTAAAAAGAAATTGCTTTATTTTCGTAATTTTATTACTAACCCGTGAACATTTAGGAAACTTCGTGATTATTTGTTTAGTAGTAAAATATTTATCGATAAATATTTGCATACCATAGATGCTCGATCAGCGCTGGTTATTTTTATATTTGCGTTATTTTTCTTCTTGTGCGTGCGACTGTACTTTTATTTATCAAGCTGTTGATCATCGACTAAAAATAAATTTTTTTTACTCATGTTACACTTTTGCAAAAATTTAATCATTTTTACGATGCCGCTGAAAAAAAGGAGCGAAATCTTGATATTATGAATGAAATTTGATTTGAAAATTACCTTGCGTACTATCCACTGATTTTGAATTTGCGAAGTAAAATAATTTTCCAAAATTTTGCAATCCTTGAATTTCACCGAGTGTAGTCCGGGGGCAAATTTCAAAACGAAACTCGCGCTTTTCGAGGTGTTGCGAGAACAGAAGTGACACATTCTTTTTGCGGCACCATTACAGAGTTGGATGTGCTCCAAAGCATAAAAAAGCAGCGGCTAGACGAAGATGCTGTTCGATTGTGTCTTGTTTAAGAGTTTTGCCGGCTCCGTTGCGTTTACAAATAAGTTACGTGTTTCGATTTTATAAGTTACAAAGTATCATTGACTTTTTATCGTTGACCTAATCATCTCGTGTGCTCCATTAATATTCACCCTCCAAAGAATCTTTAGAATCGCTTGAAACGCTCATTACGTATGCACGCAGAAATAGCGCAAATAAAATTTCATACTTCGAAAGTTTGCTTTGCTTGTAACAGAAAACGAATAATTGTGAAAATTAGTATTTATCATAAGTTTTCATTTAATTAATGTGTTTGTTTACGACTCTCGAGTGACGGGAAAGTGACAGGTAAATCCCCTTATAAAATTTCACTCTGTCGTTCTACTGCCAACTGCAATTACGGGAAAGTAACGTGATTGCGCGATCGACACGAGCCAAAAGATAAATTCAGATTTGCAATAATCTTCGTGGTCCAGAGAGGATATTTTTTCATTCTACGATGATTGTGACGCTTCAAAAATGTCAGCGTAGAAATGAACTATAGATGTCTCTGTATTATAGATTTTGTTTCGTTTAGCTGTGGAGATTTTTCAATATCGTTATTGTAAAATAAGGATCTTTTATGAAATTAATAAGATTGATAGAAATCAAATTTGATCTCGATATAGGCGGAAAAATTAACGAAAGGCTAATACAAAAATATTAAAAAAATAATTACAAGTTAATATTTTATCAATGATATAAAATGAAAATGAAAAAATTTATCATGAAAAACACTTTACTCTTGATAATAAATTTCATTTATGCTTAGATCATCACTGTGATATGAAAGAAGAGAAAAAAGTAAATTACTAGCGTTTACATAATACAATATTATTATCGTTAATAGTATGATTACTAGTTTTTTTCTATTCACTGCACATATTGATTGATTAATAAGACAATAGACTTTATAATAGTAATTTGATTTTGTAGAGTACAATGGATCAAAGAATAAAAAAATGGAAGGGTCAATGTTGGCAATTACTTAAATTAATATAAAGGTTAGGACCTTATAAAAATGTCACATTCAGTTGAATTTTTAAGAGTTAGTTGAGTTCCAGTGCGAATATTTGAAATACATGCTTTGCTAAGAGCAAACTTGAAAGAATGAATTTAACAAACCTATAACAATAAACTCTCGGCGAGAGCGCCTGCAGGGGTTACTCCTGCTAACTTTAGCCGCGAAACAGCTGATGCGTCGGAGCTCAACGACCTGTCGGAGAGTGTCGAAACGCTTATATTCCCCGCAAACGTATAGCCGGCTCTGGTCCGCGATTTGGCCGATACACAGGCAAGAAGGAAAAACTAAGGCGCGAGGCAGAGTCGGGCGCAAAAGACGCGTAATTGGCAGAACTGTTTGTTTTACGCGGTTGACGGCGGGTATTTTGGTGCAATGAGCCGTGGCTTTTGCGCAATATGTGCACTTTACGTGCCCGTATGTACTCTCGCTCGTCTCGAGGGCAAGGCAAAACTTGCAAATGTAAATATACGTACCTCTAAGGACGTGCGCTGACTTTGTCTTTTGATCTGGCTTTGATTCATTTGAGTCGCTGTAGTAAGCGGAAAAGAATCTTTTTGAATCAATTCATTATAATTTATGAATGTAATTTGAAGGGTAACATCGTATTAAGTTTGGTATATTATTAACATTTTTAGTACGAATGATCAAATGAAAATTTAACATTTTTACGAAGCTTCATTAAATAATGATGTTGCCAGATTTTTTGTTAATACCTCGAAATTTCGTAGCAGATTAAATAAATGTTAGATACTTGTTTGTAGATTGAATCATCCGTGAACTAGAATAAACCGACAAGAAATTCGCGCAAAACATGATTACGAAATCAGGCCGGAAAAAGCGGGAGAAAAAGATGAATCTTTTAACCGATGACAAAAGGTCAATCGGACAATTAAATAAAAAAGAAAATAGCTCATGAAAACACAAAAAAAGAAGAGAAAGAGAGAGAAAGAGAGAACCAATCTGATACGTTGCAGAGCGCGTTGCGGAGGGAAGAAAAAGACGAAACAACTGATCGCGCAGCTCCTAGTAGTATCGCCGCCACCGTCGTCGTCGTCTCGTAAAATGGGTCCCTGGTAACGTGATCCCATCTCTCGTACAAAAATAGGCAGCGTCTGAAAACCTGGGGCTGCGAGCGTTCGCGCACACGCATACACCACATACGTACTTGCCGTTTCCCGCTCGCTCGCGGGATGATCATCGGAGAAATATGCTGCATTTATATGACTGATATTAGCGAGGGAGACACGGATACGCCCACTTGCGATGCCAACTCCGGATATATGAATGCAGGACGACGAGTGGGTGGAAATGCGCTTTCGTTTCTCTCTGCGCGTTGTACAGAATTTTTTTTCGCACGCACGATACGACTTCCTTGTTTAGACAGAGATGCAAAAACAAATGATGCGAATCTTGATCCTCGGAAAATTATGATAATCAATATACATGGTATATCGAATTATTTCTATAAGTATTTGCTGAAATTGACACTTTTCGAGGATAGTAATCACGACATTCACAAGAATTTCTTTCTCGCAAATTAACCAGTGAAATATCATAATGAACTTTACAATTGCAGTAATTACTTATTCATATAAATAAATATTGATTTTTAATGAGGAATTTTTATTGTTGAACATGCGACGTTTATTATCTATAAAATGCTGCAATTTTCACACTCCATATTCATTAATTGTTTATAACTAAAGAGAAATAATTAAATATTTTTTCAACAACATCTATAACCTCTCGATAATCAAATTAAAAAAATTATACCATTGAAATCAAAAATTTTTTATGTTAATAATCTATTAATTCGATCACAGTACAAGGCGAGATGATCGTCCAAACGACACCCACCGTACCAGCGTAAGTTTTCCACCTTTGCAATTAAATTAATTATTATTTACACGCTCACAAGACGAATTAAATTAACAATGCTCATAACTGAACATAGGTTTTCGGGTAGGCCGGGTGATCCGTCGCCTCCGGTATTCGAACAAATCTTCAAGAACGCAAGGTTCGCGCAGGGTGGAAATGCCGTATTCGAAGGCCGCGTCAAAGGTAACCCCAAGCCAGTTGTGTCTTGGACCCACAAAGGTGCACCCCTGCTGGAGACGTACAAAATCAAAATGTCGTACGATGAAAGGACCGGCAACGTCAAACTACAAATAAATAACATTGGACCAGGAGACGAAGGGGAATATACATGTCATGCCAAAAATCAATATGGTTCGATAAACTTTATTTTTGTGACAAGTCCTATTATTAATACTGCAAGGCATGAATATACATTTTCATATTATTGTAGGAGAAGGTATTTGTTCAGTGTACATTCAGCCGGAAGGTTTCGGACCGCCACCTCAACAACCGAAATTGTCGCGTAACTATCAGTCAATGATCGACAAGCAATACACTAATGGTAGCACTATCATTAAGGAGGACTTCAAGGTATATCTTTTCGAATAATAATTTGTCATATTTTTAAATAGAATAGTATTCAAACGTAAACTTTTATGCTGTCAGGTTGACACATTCGAGTACCGAATTTTGCGAGAAGTAGAGTTCCGTGAATCGATTACTAGACGCTACGTCGGCGAGTCTGACTCGCAGATTAGTACGACAATTGAACGTAACCTCGGACCAGTGGCACCACCACAAATCACGCAAAAGCCAAGAAGTTCGAAACTTGTCGAAGGATCGGAAGCTGTGTTCTCTGTCAAAGTGTCGGGTAATCCGAAACCAAGAGTAAGATCACAAAACATTGACAAATTGTTATCGAAATAAGTAAACGGATGTTTAAAGTGATTATCTAATGAATTTATAGCTGACATGGTTCAAAGACGGTCAACGTCTGCGCGACTCGCAACACGTCGAAACGGTGTATTCGAATCAGCAAGCAACACTCAAGATCCACAAAGTCACGTCAGAAGATAGTGGTCACTACTCCTTGTTAACCGAGAATCCACAAGGTTGCACAGTCAGCTCGGCGTATTTAGCCGTCGAATCGAATGATCAAGTAGACACAGCACCAATGAGCAAAGAAATTACCACTACCTTCCAGTCTGACAGTCAGCCCGAAGCTGCTAAAGTATTGGCACCAAATTTTGTGCGCACGTGTTCCGATCGTGATGTAACCGAAGGAAAGATGACAAGATTTGATATTCGAGTTACTGGTCGCCCTTATCCCGAAGTTACGTGGTATATCAACGGTTTGCCCGTCGTCAACGATATGACTCACAAAATTCTTGTCAATGAAAGTGGCAGCAACTCGCTCATGATCACCAATGTCAGTCGATCTGACAGTGGAATCGTCACTTGCGCGGCTCGTAATAAAGCCGGCGAGACGTCGTTCCAGTGTAATCTGAATGTCATTGAGAAGGAGCAAGTTATTGCCCCGAAGTTTGTTGAACGTTTCACCACTACCACTGTGAAGGAAGGTGAACCCGTGATGTTCTCAGCCAGAGCAGTTGGTACACCAGCACCACGAATCACTTGGCAAAAGGTAGATTTTCTGACCTATTTCTTTTAGTTTTTTCTAAAATATGAATCGTCATTATTTGACAAAGTAACGGTTCAAGTTGGATTAACACAGAAAGAGTAACCCGTTGCGGCAGAGATCATTTGGCAACATTTCAGTTCGTGTTATTTACGACTTCTCTGCGCGAAGAAAATAGAAACCTACGTGGATATTGTAATTTTCTTATTTTAACGATGAGATCTATTTTGTTATGTAACTGCTTCAGGCAAATAATGGATAATTAAAATTTCATGTAACTTTCAATTTTTATTGATCTGCAGGATGGAGTGCCGATAACGCCCGGACCCGATGTACGTATCTCAACGGACGGCAGTGGAGCCTCGATTCTGGACATACCACGAGTGAAATATCACGACGCCGCCTGGTATCAATGCACAGCGCAAAACATTGCCGGCTCTACCGCCACCCGCGCACGCCTATTTGTCGAAACAGCCAAAGATATTGTCCCCGAACCACCAAGACGCCTGAATTTACCTCGACCGACGAAAGTCATCGAACCTGAGTAAGTATGCAACAAATTGTCAACTATTTGTTCATATCGGATTATCACGTATGGTTTTTTCGTTATTTGCTTTGCAAATGTAGACCAGAACCTGGTCCCGAAGTGATCTACTTACGACCTGTGGAACGTGCAAAACCATATCTACCTCCACCTGAGGAAGAAAAGATTTATCCGCCACCACGTTTCATCATACCTCTTCGTGATACTCATGTGATTGAAGGTGGACGCGTTCACTTCGAGGCCAGAATCGAACCGGTGGGAGATCCTACGATGAGGGTGGAGTGGTATGTCAATGGAAGAGCTTTAACTGCAAGTGAGTATGATGCATTTAATGTTCAAAAGAAAATTATAAAACGATGCTTATCTGCTTATTTTTGTGTTTGTAGGCTCCCGAGCGACTTCCATTTTCCGTTTCGGATTCATTGCTCTAGACTTGATAAGCATTGTTATGGAAGACAGCGGTGAATACCTTTGCCGTGTAGTCAGCTCAACAGGAGTAGCCGAATCTCGAGCCACCCTCGGCGTGACGCGTATGTCTTCAACTTATTAATAAATCTTTTCAAAAATGGTGAAATTAAGAAAAAATTACTTTCTGTTCGACAGCACGAGCAACAATCGAACAAACCAGCCAAAACCCCGAAAGTCTTCGATATATCCAGCAACTCGAAGATTACAGCAAGTACCAAAGGCAGGAGAGCGTGGAGGAGACCTCTTCCCAGCGACCAGTGTTCATCCGACCCCTCCAGGATCTAGGAGAACTGCAGGAAGGACGTAATGCCCATTTCGAGGGACAACTCACTCCTGTTAGTGATCCAACGATGAAAGTGGAGTGGTATAAGGATGGACGACCAATCACAGCCAGTCAGTATTGATGTAGAATGACATTTTTTATTTTAGATAAACATTGATTTTAAACTTTTATTTGAAATTTTAGGCAGTAGAATCACAACCATCTTCAACTTCGGCTACGTCTCACTTAATATTATGCACCTACGAAGTGAAGATGCAGGTTCTTATACAGCGCGGGCTGTGAATCGCTGTGGAGAGGCCATCAGCTCCGCGTCTTTACGTGTCTTTGGTAAATTAAATCGAAAATCAATTAACAAATTATAACATCGAATATATTTTGATCAATTGTTTTTTCACTTATGCAGTACGTACTAATGTTACTGCCGATCTTGGCATTCCCGAGCAACAAAGATATATCGAAGCTGCCGAGGAATTGGAAGCTTATCACGAGGCTGCACAACGCAAGTACGTTCAAGAGCAGCCGGAAAAAATAGTCCCACCGGTATTCAAAACGCCTATCAAGGATCAACTGAATATACGAGAAGGTGCGTTTGCACACTATGAAGCACAACTCGAACCCGTCGGAGATACTACGCTCCGCGTTGAATGGTTGAAGAATGGACGTCCTGTCGAAGCTAGTGAGTATTATATTTTTTTTCAATGATCGTGAAACATATAACTAACCGATCAATTTATTTTTCAAGGTTCGCGAATTACAACATTCTTCAACTTTGGATACGTTGCGCTCACGATAAAATATGTTACCATTCATGACGTTGGAATCTACACTTGTCGTGCTTACAATCGTGCTGGAGAAGCACATACCTCTGCGCAACTTAGCGTAATTACTAAAGATGATATTGTTTATGACAGTCAACACCCAAGCGGTTTACAGAAGATTCGTACTCTCGAAGATTCTAGTCGATACACGCGTAAAGTCGAAGAGGAAAAACAGGTTACTCAACCTCCCAGGTTCTTAGGACCACTCAAGGGCACCAATAAGATCGTTGAAGGACAAAGAGCCCACTTTGAAGCTCGTGTTGAACCACAAAGCGATCTTACTATGAAGATCGAATGGTACCACAATGGCCAGCCCATTACAGCTGCCAATAGAATTCAAACTTATCATGATTTCGGTTACGTTGCTATCGATATATTACAAGTTAGATCTGAAGATGCCGGTACATATACTGTTGTTGCAAGAAACAACTACGGTGAAGCTAAACTGTCAGCCACTATGGTGGTTGAAAGTAAGTTATTAAAGTTTAATCATAATGAAGTTTAAGTGACGTATTGTAAATACTAAAATTTTTATTTTTCATCCCTTAGCTCGTACCAGCATTGACACTAGTAGTATGCATCATGGTGCTTATGAAAAAACTCAACGTTTCGAAGATGCTAAATTCGTTGAACCCAAGTACCACATCGAAGAGATTTCAAAGTCAAAACCGATCTTTACTCAACCACTAAGCGATCCACCAACAGTAAGCGAAGGCAGGCATATCCACTTAGAGTGCAGATTAGAACCAATGGGCGATCCAACGATGCGTGTTGAATGGTTCCAAAATGGTCGGCCCATCGCTATTGGTTCCAGATTTAGAACTTACTACGACTTTGGTTACGTTGCTCTTGACATAATTCACGCCAGTGCACTTGACTCTGGTGAATACACAGTACGTGCCACCAACCATCTAGGAACGGACCATACGTCGGCGTGTGTACGTGTAATCGGCCGCTCGGATATTATTACGGACACTCAAAATGAACAATCATTGGAACAAATACAGATGCTGGAAGATGCATCTAGATACAGAAGAACGCAACAGGAAGAAGTACTTGTTCAGCAAGCGCCACAATTTACTCGTCCACTTCATAATATTGAAACTGTGGAATTAACGAATGTCCATCTGGAATGTCGACTCCAGCCAGTTGGTGATGCGTCGATGAAAGTTGAATGGTTTGTTAACGGTAGACCAGTCAAAACTGGACATCGTTTCAGACCTTCATATGAATTCGATTATGTGGCTCTTGACATTTTGGGTGTATATCCTGAAGACTCAGGTGTGTACACTTGTCAAGCCCGTAATCAACTTGGTGAAGCAGTCACTTCGGGATCTGTAAGAGTACATGCCAAGAAAGACTTGATTTTGGAATCACAACATCCTGAAGGTCTTGAACGTATTCAATATTTGGAAGATGCGTCGAAATATAAACGACATGAGCTCATTGATGAGGTTGTTAATGTTAAACCAAGGTTCATCACTCATCCTAAGAATCAAGAAAGTCTCCGAGAAGGACAACATGCTCACTTTGAATGTAAACTCGAGCCAGTTACTGATTCGAACTTGAAAGTAGAATGGTACAAGAACGGTCGTCCGGTTACGATAGGTAAATAAAACTAAAGTTCATATATGAATGGCAACATGTAGATTTGAAATTAAACAACTGGTAAATTTTATTTTTACAGGACACCGTTTCCGTCCAATCCATGACTTCGGATACATAGCCTTAGATGTCATAGACTTGATTGCAGAAGATTCTGGTACTTACACTTGTAGAGCTGTGAATCTCATTGGTAGTGATGAAGTGTGCTGTACATTAAGCTGCCGCTCAACCGCTCAAATATTAACTGATACTCAAAATGAGAGTGGACTTGAACAAATTCACTATTTGGAAGACAGGTCGAAGTATCAACGACGAGAGGATATTGAAGAAACAACGACTCAAGCTCCCATTTTCACTACTTCGTTGAACAATGTTGAAATTAAAGAAGGACAACGTGCACACTTCGAATGTAGATTGATTCCAGTATCCGATGCAACGATGAAAGTTGAATGGTTCCACAATAATGCTCCAGTCAAGGCTGGATCTCGCTTTGTTGAGACTAATAGCTTTGGTTTTGTAGCTTTGGATATTATGTATGCTTATCCTGAGGATGCTGGTACATATACTTGTAGAGCACGAAATGCGATTGGCGAGGCTATCACCTCTGCGACTGCAGTGGTTCACTGTGAGTATACTTATGCATTGAAATTATGGATTCTTATATTATTCGTAATATTAAAATTTATTATAATAAAAATTTTTATAGCCAAGAAATCAATCTACTTGGAAACTCAAAACGAAGAAGCTTTGCAAAAAGTACGGCAATTGGAAGACTATTCTCGTTATCAACGTAAGACTGTTCAAGAAGAGACTGTAACACAAGCGCCAGTTTTCACAATGCCGATTAAAGACATACAAGTCGCTGAAAATCAAGCTGCACACTTTGAAGCTCGGGTCATTCCTGTTGGTGATTCTAAATTGAAAGTACAATGGTTACGTAATGGTGTACCAATTTTAGCATGTAAGTAAGCTATATGAACTAATTACCACACGAAGAGATCTCAAATGTTGATTGAGTTGGCGATACATAATTATCAACTATTACGTCAATTTTTTCAGCTAATCGCATTACGACTATGCATGACTTTGGCTACGTAGCCCTCAATATGAAATATACTACTCCCGAAGATGCAGGTACCTACACTTGTAGGGCTGTGAATGATCTTGGTGAAGCTGTAACATCGGCAACAATGTTCGTCCAATGTGAGTAATTACGTTACTTTATTAATCGGTACAGCACGTATAATCTCATCATATAACATACATCAAATAACAATTATCACATTATTTATGAAAACAAACTCTGTTCAAATGTTACAATGTGCAACATCATAATCAAACGAAAATTCTACACTCATACAGCCAAGGCAGCTTTACAATTCGAATCACAACACGAAGGAGTATTGTCCAAACTTCAAGCACTAGAAGACACAAATAAATACCAAAGACGCGAGGAGGAGGAAATACCAGTGACAGAGAAACCACGATTCACTGTACAATTGAATGGACCTACAAACCTAGTAGAAGGTCAAAGCGCACATTATGAGTGTCGTATTGAACCTTATCCCGATTCCAATTTAAAAGTAGAGTGGTTCCACAATGGTAAACCACTATCTACTGGTCATAGATATAGAACTGCATATGACTTTGGCTTTGCATCCCTTGATGTTTTATCGGTATATGCTGAAGATTCTGGCACATACACATGTAGAACAACAAATAAACTTGGACAAGCCACAAGTTCAATAAATCTTGATGTTAAATGTAAGTCTATGATACGACTTTCAGTGAAAAGGGTAAACTAAATTCTGTAAATTTCTTGATTGTCATTATTTATTATATTTTTAGCTCGTGCTTCCATTATCCGTGAAACGCAACATGAGGGAGCTCTGAAGAAGATACAGTATCTGGAAGATGACTCACGTTACAAGAGAGTTGACAGGGAAGACGCTATAGTCATTGAAAAGCCTAAATTTGGAAGACCTTTGAAAAATATTGAACATTTGCCTGAAGGCAAGAGTGCTCACTTGGAAGCCACGCTGACTCCAGTAAATGATGCTACTATGGTTGTTGAGTGGTACAAAGATGGAAAACCTATTCCCCAAGGTCACAAATTCAAGACGACTTATGATTTTGGATATGTAGCTCTTGATATTTTGTATGCATACCCTGAAGACTCCGGAACTTATATGTGCAAAGCTAGAAATGCCGTTGGAGAGGCAGTTACCACGTGTGTTATCTCTGTCGATGCTAAGCAAGGATTATATCTCGACACATTGGATGCTAGTCGACTTGAAAAGATTCGTCAATTGGAAACTGTCGAAGTTAAACCAATTATTGAAAAAGAAGTTGTTCATCAGAAGCCAGTCTTTATCACTCCTCTTAATAATTTGGATCATCTCAAGGAAGGAGAACATGCTCATCTCGAATGTCGCGTTGAACCAATCAACGACGCTAATTTAAAAATTGAATGGTAAATTTAAATTATAAAAAGGTTGAATTATAATTCAGAGAAAATATACAATTTAAAAACATAAATTTATTTTAGGTTTGTCAATGGAAAACCTGTCAAAACTGGACACCGCTACCGAACAACCCATGACTTCGGTTATGTTGCTCTCGACATATTATACAGTTATGCTGAAGATTCTGGTACTTATATGTGCAAGGCTACGAATCTTGCCGGTGAAGCTGTTAACACATGTACCATTAAAGTTGGATGTATGTAGTTTACGAGCCAACAATAAATATTTTTACAGTACCCATGGAAATAAAAACTAATCTTCCATTATTCATATTTATAGCTCATCGTAGTCTTATATTAGATACACAACATCCTGATGGACTCGAAAAGATAAGAGAATTAGAAGCTCAAGGTCGACCAGCAAGATTAGAAATTGAAGAACCTCCTGTATTTCCACCGAGATTTGTTACTGAATTAAGAGTAAGTAATTTCTCAAACTTAAAAAATGTAATATTATTCTTATTTACTAATAAAATAAATATTTAATAATGAGTCTTCTCGTTTAAATTTTAGGGAACGAAAGAAATATATGAAGGTCAAACAGCTCACTTCGAATGTCAAATTGAACCTCTTCATGACGCCAATTTGCGAGTTGAATTCTTTCACAATGGCAAGCCACTGCCATCTGCATCTAGATTCCATGTTACATTTGATTTTGGTTATGTTGCACTTGATATCAGCCATGCGGTGCCAGAAGATGCAGGTCAATATTCAGTACGTGCTATCAATGCTCTTGGCCAGTGCGTTTCTTCTATCGAACTCAACGTGATACCAAAAGACAGCATTATTTTGGATTCTCAACGTCCAGAAGGATTGGATAAAATTCGTGAGCTTGAGTCTCAGCAACCTTGGAAGCGCCCAGAAGTTCCTGAACCAACAACAAAACAGAGACCGGTCTTTACTCAACCATTGCAAAATATCGATGCAATTCCTGAGGGTGAAACTGCTCACTTCGAATGTAGACTGATTCCTGTTGGAGATGCATCATTGAAAGTTGAATGGTTTAGAAATGAAAAACCAATTGAAACAAGTACGTTTTCTTATAAGAATTTCAATTTTTGTAAATTTGTTTTTAACTCATTAAGTTTAAAATCATAATTAATATATTTTTTAAAGGTTCTCGAATTACCAAAGTTCACGATTTCGGATATGTGTCCCTTGACATTGCTCACGTGCGCGAAGAAGATGAGGGTATTTATATGTGTCGTGCTACAAATCCACTTGGTGAAGCTGTAACAACTGCTGGAATGAAAGTTTTATGTAAGTCAAACATGACATAAATTATTAAATTATTAGTTATAAAAAAAAAACTATTTAAAACTATTTTGATTCCATCCCATAGCTAAAGCTAATATTCAACTAGACACACAACATCCTGAAGCTCAACGCAAGATTGCTCGCTTGGAAGCTGACAAAGCTCCAACTCGTGCTGAAGAACCTGAAAAGGTCTTTGATAAACCAATCTTCACTCAACTATTAACTGGACCAACGGAATTGTGGGAAGGTCAATTGGCTCGCTACGAATGTCGCGTAGTTCCAGTAGGTGATGCAAGTTTGAAGTTTGAGTGGTACGTCAATGGAGTCGAACTTCAAATTGGTAAGTCAAACGTTATGCTAATAAATTAACTTGTTATTCATATTTTTCATCTGAAATTAAATGTTGTGTATATTAGGTTCACGGTTTCATGTTAATCATGACTTTGGATTCGTTACTCTTGATATAATGAAGGTTATTCCTGAAGACTCAGGTGTTTACACCTGCAAGGCTATCAATAGAGCTGGAGAAGCTGTATCGTCGATTTCCCTCAAAGTTAAGGCTCGATCAGCAATTGCTGGTGATGTTCTTCAACCAGATGCATGGCAAAAAATTCAACTGAAAGAAGCAGAAATGAACAAGGTTCCAGAAATGTTTATTGACACTACACCACAACAAGCACCAGTATTTACAACTCATTTGAAGAGCTATGATCAATTAGTAGAAGGACAACACGTTTACCTTGAAGCTCAAGTAGAGCCACGCGCAGATCCGAATTTACGTGTTGAATGGTTTAAGAACGGCGTAGCTCTTCAAACTGGAACTCGACTGAGGAGTACTTTCGACTTTGGTTTAGTGTCATTATCAATTAATGGTCTTCGTCCAGATGATTCAGCTATTTATACCTGCAAAGCAACTAATTTACTTGGTGAAGCAGTATCAACAAGCAGTCTCAAGATTGCTGATAGGCATTGGTTACTTGGTGACACATTGCATCCAGACGCTCTTCAGAAAATCAGTGATCTGGAACAGCCTCAAGTATTTACAAGAGATCAACCTGAACCAACATATGAAGAACCAGTTTTTATAAGCCATCTTAATAATGTTGAATGCATTGAAGGTGATAACGTTCACTTTGAATGTAATGTTGAACCATCAAAAGATCCAACAATGAAGATTGAATGGTTCCTCAATGGAAAACCACTACCTTTCGGTGCTAGATATAAATCCACGTATGATTTTGGTTATGTTGCCCTTGATTTGAATCATGCTTATGAAGAAGATTCTGGTATTATTACCGTAGTAGCTACCAACTCTAAGGGTTCAGCTCAGACATCTGGTACACTAAAATGCACAAGCAAACAAAACATTTATTTACAAACTCAACATCCACAAGGTGAAGCTGGCTTGGAAAAGGTCAAGGAAGTTGATGAGGCTTACTTATCAAAGTCCAAGAGACCTGAAGATGGACCTGAAAAAGAATATCCGATACCTATTTGGACCGTGCCTCTTCAACCGGAATTCAAACTTGGTGAGAGTGAACCATTACATTTAGAAGGTCAAGTGGAACCAAAAGATGATCCTAATCTGAAGGTCGAATGGTATTTCAATGGAAAAGTATTACAACAGGGATCAAGATTTAAGACTACTTGCGACTTTGGTTTTGTCACTTTAGATTTAACTGACGTCTATGACAGAGACTCCGGTATTTACACATGCAAAGCATATAATAAGGCTGGTGAAGCATTTACTTCATCAACTGTTTATTGTTCGACGAAAGAAAATATTATTGAACGATCTCAGCATCCTAAAGGAAAAGAAGGACTTGAAGCTATTCAAGATTTGGAAGAGTCACTCAGAAAACAACCGGGAGCTCCTACCGAAGCTGATGGTGGTCAAGCACCTACATTTACATCAAAGTCCGAAGATCTTTCTAATGTAGGAGAGGGAGAACTGGCTCACTTTGAAGGTACACTGATTCCTACTGGAGATCAAACTATGGTCGTTGAATGGTTCTTCAATGAGAAATCTATTGAAGCCAGTCATCGTATTCGTACTGTATACGCTTTTGGAACAGTTGTTTGTGAAGTGCATGGAACGAAGATTGAAGATTCCGGAACATATACTTGCAGAGCTACAAATAAATGGGGAAAAGCTGAAATCAGCCTAAACTTAGAATGCGTTGATAAATCTAAAGGTCAAAAGCCAAGATTCACCACTCAAATTCAGTCATTGGAAGGTCTTAAGGATGGCCAATCAGCTCACTTTGAATGTACTCTTGTACCAGTCGGAGATCCTAATATGAAGGTAGAATGGTTCCATAATGGTCAACCATTGCGTCACTCGTCACGTTACAAGATGGTATCAGACTTTGGATTTGTTGTGATGGACATTGCTGGAGTTATGTCGCATGACACGGGTGAATACGTATGTAAAGCAAGCAATAAATATGGTGAAGACTATACGAAAGCTACTCTAAAATGTTTCGGCAGAAGTGGCGTATATCTTGATACACTACAACCAGATTCATTAGCAAGAATCAGAGAGCTTGAAGCATATACTGGTGATCAACAAGCTATAACACCAGCTCCAGTAGCTGAACCACCCAAATTTATCACACAAATCAAGGACGTTGCTAAATTAGTCGAAGGACAGTCTGCTCACTTTGAAGCCAGATTAACACCGGTAACAGATCCTGATTTAAAAGTTGAATGGTACTATAATGGAAAGAAATTACCTCATGGTCATCGATACCGAACATTCCATGACTTTGGCATTGTAATTCTTGATATACTCTATTGTTATGAAGAAAATTCTGGAGAATATGAATGTAGAGCAATAAACAAATACGGTGAAGATTCTACGAAGGCAACGCTACGCTGTATATCAAAGGCAAATCTGATTCTTGAATCGCAATTACCAAAAGGTATGGAAGGAGGTTTAGAAAAAATACAAACCCTAGAAGATTCCATGGTAAAAACACGCGATGAGCAAGTAACAGAGACTAAAGGAAAAGCACCCGTATTCACTGTACCCTTGAACAATTTAGATGGACTTCGCGAAGGTGAAAGTGCACACTTTGAAGCTCGATTAACGCCCACAGACGATCCAAAGTTAAAGGTATGTACTATATTTCTATTTTTATAAAATTTGTTATATTCATACATTTATAAATATATAGAATATCATCTGATTAAATATTAATATTTTAGGTCGAATGGTTCTGGAATGGAAAACCACTGAGAACTGGCACCCGATTCCGAACGTTCTGCGATTTTGGTTTCGTGATTCTCGAAATTTCACCAATTTATCCAGAGGATTCTGGAGAATATAGTTGCCGTGCAATAAATGAATACGGCGAAGCAGTAACAACATGCTCGATGAAATGTAGTGGTAAACGTAGTATTATCTTAGAATCACAGCTGCCTAAAGGAATGGAAGGTACAATCGACAAGATAGCTGAGCTCGAAGGTCTTGGTGCTGAACCCGGTCAATCGATTCCTGATGATGATACTGGAAGACCACCAGAATTTATCACGACTCCCTCAGACTTGACTCTTTCTGAAAACTCTTTGGCTCATTTCGAATGTAGATTACTGCCTGTCAATGATTCTAGTATGAGGGTTGAATGGTTCCATAACGGTAAACCTCTCTTAGCAGGATCAAGAGTCAAAACAATCTATGACTTTGGTTTTGTCATTCTCGAGGTTGCTAATTGCTACCAACGAGATTCCGGTTTGTACACTTGCAAAGCTGTAAACAAACACGGCGAAGCAACGGTATCCTGTCAATTACAAGTTAGAGGTAGACAGGGAATTATTCTTGAACCTCAGCTTCCAAGTAACTTCAAAACAGGAACTGAAAGCATCCAAAAATTGGAAGAAGCTCTATACAAGCGGGAAGAAATTTTGTCTGAAGAAGAAAAGCCAAATCCTCCAAGATTTGTTGTGGAATTAAAAGATATTCAAGTTAATGAAGGAGAAGCTAGTCATTTCGATTGCCGTGTCGAACCTGTCAATGATTCGTCTATGAGAATTGACTGGTTCCATAACGGAAGACCTTTCGCTACTGGATCTAGAGTACATCAGATCAACGATTTTGGATTTATTTCGTTAGATCTATCTTACACTTATGCAAGAGATAGCGGTGAATATGTTTGCAGAGCGACAAATAAATGGGGATCTGCTACTACTAAAGCAACGATTACTTGTACATGTGAGTATATCTTGATATTTTATACAATTTTTAATATAATAAAGATTATTTAGATCGATTGTACGTTACTTAACAGTTATTAAAAATATAATTATTTTCTTCAGCTAAAAAATCTATTGACTTTGATTCACAACTTCCGTCCGGTATGAGTGGAGAAAAACTGAAAGAGCTTGAACGAGGTCATATGCCAGAGCCTGCACCAGCACCTGAAGCTCCACATCAACCACCAAGATTTGTAACACAAATTAAGTCCGCTACCGTTGAAGAAAATGAAAATGTGAGATTTGAGTGCCAAGTTGAACCCAAAGATGACCCCAAACTACGCATTGAGTGGTACAGAAATGGAAAATTAATTCCTGCAGGACACAGATACAGAACTACTTATGACATGGGCTTCGTTTCGATGGATATTCTCTATGTGTATCCAGAAGACTCTGGAGAATATATTTGTAAAGCCATCAATGATTATGGAGAAGATACGACTAAAGCGTCGGTTTCATGCAAACGTAAGTTTAAGCGTCATGCTGTGCTAAACGCTTTTGAAATGATATTTCTACTATATTTTAATTAAAAATTTCATTTATTTTAGAATTACCAAGCATTATACTGCAAAACCAAGTACCAAAGGGAATGAAGAAATCAGAAGCTTTAATGCAAATGGAGGCTACTATCAAAAAATATACTTCAGAAATACATCTTACTGAGGATGACTTATACGACGCAGATAAGAAACAACCACCAAGATTTGTTACTCAAATTAAAGACCAAACTGAGCTCGTTGAAATGAACAGTACTAAATTCGAATGTCAGTTGGCACCTGTCGGCGATCCAAATATGAAAGTGGAATGGTTCTTGAATGGAAAACCACTTCCTCACAAGAACAGATTTACACCTATCTATGACTTTGGATATGTAGCAATGAACTTTGGTTGGGTGTATCCTGAAGATAGTGGTGAATATCTTTGTAGAGCTACCAATCTTTACGGCAGTGATGAAACCAGAGCTACAATAAGAACCGCAGGAAAGCCAGGAATTATTTATGAATCACAATTACCAAAAGGAATGAAAAGTATCGAGAAGATTCGTGAAATGGAAGCTGCTTGGCAAATGTATGTATAAAAAAATTGGTGATATGTGATATTTTAAAAGAGCAATTTATGCAAAAATTAAATACATTTTATGTTCACTTTACAGTGTTCCTGAGGAAGAAACTGAAGTTGAAAAAGTCAAGTCACCACCGGTTTTCGTTAGCAAACCAGAACCTGTTACCGTCGAAGAAGGAGATAACTCTCGATTCTGTTGCCGTGTTACTGGTTATCCTAGACCTCGTGTAATGTGGCTTATCAATGGGCACACTGTCGTAGGTGTAAGTATTTCAAATAATAATGTAAATACTATATGATTTTCATAAAAAACTAAATATTCTAATAACAATTACATTTTATTCAGGGATCACGTTACAAACTGACATATGACGGCATGTACCATCTTGACATTCCGAAAACAAGACAATATGATAATGGAAAGGTTGAGGTGATTGCAAGAAGTTCTGTTGGAGAGGCGCGAACAGAAACGACGCTTACTGTTAAACAACGCAGTGGTGACTACCGTGGAGTTTTGAAATCGTCCCCAAGACGTAAGTTTAATTATATCTTCAAGGAAAATACAACTTCAAAAACGATACCATGCAATAGTTTTTGCAACTTTCAAAAAAGTTATTTTACTGTATCAATAATATTTTCAAGAAGTATAACATTTTCGAATAGTTTTTTGAGATATAATAATAATGGTACCGTTTTTAAGACCATGAAACATATTTTATCAGAGATAACTTTTATAAGTAAAAATTCACAAAATTGTGTAATCAATACAAACGAGCCGACATATAATATATTGGCACTACGCACATTAAAATTTCGCACAAAATTTGTCGTGATACACATTTCCTAAAACCCCGATTTTCCCGTTCCTTATTCCTGTCCATGGAGCCTGACAGCATCAAAAAGTGATTCGGAGAAAGAACTTCGTCGTTCATTGTGAGTTTGACTGAAGACGAACGCACTATCGACTGATAAAATTTCCGTTGGTAAACGGATATTCAAGCAATGAAGAAAATCAGGTATGGTTTTTTTGAACGTGTAAAAGCCCATGTTTTGCACATTTTTCGTCAATGACCTTCAATTCTCTCAACACTTATACTTTTTATAAATTTTTCATTCTCTAAAACCTTTTTATATATTGACACTGTTATATAAACAATGATAAAAATATTATGAATGTTCGAAACCCTATACACTTGGTTTTTACCTGGAAGATGTTTTATAATCTAACGAGAAACCCCTACTCTTATAAATGTTTAATATTCGTCACAGATCAGAAAACTTTTCGTAAAACGACTCCGATACAATGACAAAACAATACTTATACAGTTTTGAAAACAGCAATTTTCCAATTGCTATATACCTCGTAAACTAACCATGTTCACTGGTTCCCACTTCAATTCCTATTAACTCGAATATCATCACTAATTTAAAATATTGAATTTAAGATACATATTTCCTTTTGTGCATTATGGATGTATTTATTTTTATGTATGTGTTTTATTTATATCCTAAATTGTAATAATATTCAGAAAAATTAATAATAAGTACTATAAGACGGTAAAATTTTTCCTTCGTGTATTATTATTTGTTGTTTTTTGAATATATTTTTAATTATATCTTTCGCATGTGTTATTGGATAAGTTAAGATTGGATTATTATTGTATTCGATGTTATTATGATATAAGAAAATACTTGAAATTAACTTTCTAAATCTCCTTCAGCATGGTATGACGCTGAGCTTGCACAATATCAAGCAGAAAGAGAAGAAACTGAATTGACACGTGTATTCGATGAGAGACATCAATCTCATACAACTCCCATAATCAGTGAACACCTTGGTCCCAAATTTATTAAAGAACCAGATACTGAATGGCAAAAAACTGTGAAATCGAAGAAGGGTGAAGATTACTATAGCAAGCTTACAAGTCTCGAAGAAGATCAATTATTGAAAGAATCGAGATTAAGAGAACAATCTCATCAATTTGCAATTCCAGGAGAAAAAGTAGTTAGCAACTCTATAGCTAAAGGGATGGCCCAAAAGTACCAAGAAACTTTGTAAGTTTTCATATTAGCATAAGCAAACTGAAATATGTGTAATTATTTAATAACTTATTGAATATTTATTTTTCAGGGAGGCACAGCCGCAAGAATCTGCCCAACCACCACCGAAACCTGGTAAAAAATTCACAACACAAGTAGATATTGATTCTCAAAAACATAAAGGGCCCAAGTATCAACCTGAACCATCTGAATCAAGTGTGCATGGTCGTGAAGTTCACATAGCGAAACAAAAGCAAATGCAAAAGGAAACCAAAGGTGATGTGGAAATCACAAGAAAAATTACCGCAACTGAAACCACTGAAGTCGAACACAAAGCAAAGACACAAGAACGCGTTGTTCAAGGTCAAGTGAAGCCATCAAAGCCACCGATGTTTACGAAAAAGATTCAGCCATGTCGAGCTTTCGAGCAAGAACAGGCCAAATTTGAAGTTGAATTTGATGGCGATCCTCTACCAACCATCAAATGGTACCGTGAAGATTTTCCACTAACGAACTCTGCCGATCTTCAAATTTATACCTTCAGTACAAAGTCTATCTTGGTTATTCGTCAAGTATTCATGGAAGATTCCGGAGTATTCTCCGTAATTGCGGAGAATAGAGGAGGAAAAGCTAAATGTAGTGCAAACCTTGTTGTTGAAGAAAGGCGAAGACAACCAGGACGTGGTGGAGTTGTACCTCCAAGCTTCATAAATACCATTCAAAGTACTACCATTACAAGTGGTCAACTAGCTAGATTTGATGCTAAAGTTACCGGTACTAAGCCTATAGATGTTTACTGGTTAAAGGTATATTTTTAAATAAGGACTTTTAAATCTATTTTAAAAACGTAATATATTTTATTCAATTGATGTTTTCCATTAAAATTTATAGAATGGCAAGAAAATCATGCCTGACATTCGTTACAAGACTTTGGAAGAAGATAACACCTATACGCTTTTGATTCTTGAGAGTGTCACGGAAGACACTGGGAAGTATGAATGCGTTGCCATCAATAGTGCAGGAGAAGCTCGGTGTGAAGCAGAATGTGTTATACGCCAACCGCAATCTCCAGCAGGTAAAACGGCAAAACCATCGCCGTCTGATGTAGAGAAAGCTCCCACTATTTTGCAACCTTTGAAAGATCAAACCATCAAAGAGGGAACATCAGTTGCATTCTCATGTAGAATTAGTGCTAAACCTATTCCGCAAATTCAATGGATGAAAGGAGACAAGGTAAAGATTTTGTATTTCCATTTTGTTTGAAATATTATAGTACAGATATTTGTTAGTGTATATCATTCATAATTTTTCATTTCTTGAAGGTTATCAAACCATCAAAGTACTTCCAAATGCAAAAAGAAGTAGATCTTTGCACGTTAAGAATTTCAGAAGCATTTCCAGAAGATGAAGGCTTGTACAAATGTATTGCCAAAAACTCTGCTGGTGAAGCCGTGACATCTGCCAACCTAAAAGTGCTTGGTAAAGAAAACTGAAATATTGTTATTGGAATATTAAAAGAACATGAGACATAATTTAAAATCATATCCACAAATTTCAGCTCCTGAAGCAGCGGACATTTTACCAAAATTGACTCCTCTTAAGGATCAAATAGTTCTGGAAGGACAGCCAGCCCAATTTAAGACTCAAGTTTCGCCTGCCAAACCGAAACCAACAATCAAGTGGTATCGCGAAGGTGCTCTTATTCCTGAATCACCCGATTTTCAGGTAATAGAATTGAGTCTAATACTCCTTTTACTAAATTGAAAAATTTAAATATAGAATATAAAATATTGTCGTTCAATAATGAAAAACAATTATTCTTCATAAATATTTCAATGCTCAAAAGTAGGCTATTGGTGTCAAGTATGTGGTGAAAATAAAACGGTTTCACATATTTTATATTCTTTAGCCTCATACATTTCTTAAGACAGCATTTTAAAGACATTATTATTACGGATAGTTTATTGCTATTTTCTTTGTAATTTATAGTATAGGATCATTGTTGTTTCGGCAATCTTGGCTCGAAAATCAAATTATTTTAGACTATATTACGTACAACGATCAGACTTGATCTTATCCGATACACTATTAGATAACGTTACGATTTACTGAGTTTCTAAAATAATATAAAAATGAAAAATGATTACTGCGACTAAGGAGTTGAAAATTTAATAAACCAAAAGTTAGTTATAAAACTGATTTTTATTAAATTGATGAAAAACAATTTATTAAATGAAGTAGATATTGAATATTGAAAAGTGATTTTTATACATTCAATACGTAACTTGAACAAATATACATAAACGATTTGGACAACATTCGTTGGCACAAAAATATGTTCGAGTTAAAAATATTCATAAAGGTTTTCGAATTTCAAGTACAACACAATATGAACATTATTTGGAACCTACATTACATATACGTGCCAAATTTTGATGTTTATGAAATATTTTTGAATTTTCATTATATATTTATTCATAGTTTATATTAATATATATAAATACATAATTCAGCTGAATTCACATTTACTAAAAATACTATTTCAATACCAGGATAAATTTATAATCATTTTATTTTATTTAATCTATTTTCTATTTTATATTGGGTTACAGATGATTCACGAAGGTAACAATGCAGTTCTGTTGATTGCAACAACATATGAAGAGGATACTGGTACATTTACCTGCCGTGCCACAACATCAGCAGGAACTGTCGAATCATCGGCAAAGCTCATCGTTAAAAGTAAGGATTAAATTCAAATCTTAAGTTGTTATACGAGTTCAAAGTGAATGTTTATCCCTTTTTACAATACGTCGAAATTTCAAAATAATTGAATTGATTAATCTAACCTTAAGGGGATAAGCGCGGTTTTGTTTATTTTTCAAAATTTTTTATCATGTCGCACTGCCAAAACTTTATCTTTTCGCGCTGCTTGTCTTTTAACACATGTTTGCCATTGTTGAATTTGATTCAACTTTTACAAGTCGGGTAGTTCTTTTTCTACTAACAAAACAAGTGATTTAGCTCATAGGCAAAAAATTATTATATCATACGACGAAGGTGGTGCTGACAAAACAAAAACAAACAAAAACACACAAACATTTAGGAAAAAAATAAGCGATATTAACAAAATGCGTTTTGTCTTCGTAACAAATAATAAAAGAGTGTATTTTTATAAAAATCCTTTATCAGACCTTCATCTCACAAGGTTCTCGAGAAACCTTACTGTTAATACTAAAGAAATTATCCTTTGTATGAGTATATAGATTTAAGAAACATTGGTGTTATTTCCTGTGAAATTCTCTGTGAAAATATTTTTCTTCGCTACAGTGCATATAATTGTATAAACGCCGCTATATGACTTGATGGAGACTTTGAATATTATACAAAATACTTCTAATATTTACTAATAAATTATTTATTGTACAATGAAGAAACTAATAAAAGCTGTACAAAATCTAATAATTTCTTGTCTTATGAAAAACCGTACATGCAAATATCAGTTAAAAAAAGTAAAAAATTATTATTCATTAATAGTCAACCTTTTGATTAACAACGGGACAAATCATCAAATTACATTTGAAAACTAACTCTTTGAAACTCGTTAGCAAAGTATTTATCGTGTAGCAAAAATAATGGTAAAACGATTGTTTGGTATTTCGTAGGCACGCACACACTATTTTAAAATTTCAACAGCCGTGTGAAACGTTAAAGAATAAACGCAAGTCTGTCGAAATGCAAAAAATAAATGGAAAACATTATTTTTAACGAAGCTCTTAAAATATAGCTATTATTCTCGCCAGCGCGTGAATAACGTCGTAATTATGAACAACAAGATCGGTAGCTGCGACTTGAAAATTACCGCAAGCATGATCGTTAATTAATCAGGCGAGCGCTCGCGCGCCCAAAGAAAAACAAGCGAAGAAAAGAGAGATGGATATCGCGCAGCCTCCACGGTTTTGCAGCATGCGATTCGAGCTATTTCCCGCGAGTAAAACTCTCGCGCGTGCCGTGTGCATCAAAAGCTCGAGAAAGAGCTTCATAAGCTATTTCTGCGCCACGTGACGTGTATTACATTACCCGGCTATATTTGGCGCGAGAGAGGCAGAGACCCTCGGAAATAGGAAAACGAGGAAGAAAGGGACCGGACTTTTTCCTCTTTGTAAACTTCTCAACTTTTCCGCGCTCACTCGTTTGTTTCTTTTAACCTCATCAGTCGTAGGCAGTTCTTTTCCATTGCGCACTTGACCGGATGGCATTGACTTCGTGTTTAAGTTAATTATTTTTTCTCTCATTTTCCATCTTCTCAAGATCAATATCTCTCACAGTCTTCTTCCAAATTACACGCGTTGATGAGAATTTGATTTAAATCCGTAAAATTATTTATCCTCAAGGGCATGTGAATACGTGCCAACGTATTCGCGTGCTTGCGTGTGAATTGTTTTAGAAATACATTTGCGTCACTAAGCGTGAACAGATGGTAATTTATTCACGTCTGCGCTTAATATTTATAATACATGCAAGAAATAGTCAAGAATCATTATTTCGTTACGGATTGTGCGTTCGAGCCAGAAATTAAACGCACGCTAATGCTATTAAACAAACATATTCGTGCAATTTTTCAGATTATGCATTTAAAAATGCCTGAAAATGATTGTAAATCTGACTTGCATCGCTGCTCTTAATAAATCCCATGAATCTGTAAAATATAGTAAGCGTGAATAAGATGGAGTGTAAAACACCGAAATAAACGTCAAAGAGGCATTCAGCGTGCGATACCATCTCTTGAGACTGAATTTTGTCCACACGGCACGATTGGTGTCTAGTAAAAAATCAACCTTGAAAATCTTAACCACCAGACTGTATCATCTGAAAATTTCGCAGCCGATGAGTCTAATGAAAAAAAAAACATTGATGATTCATCGAATATTGGTGGTGGTAGTCGTCGCTGAATTTCCAGATATCGCGGACGTGCCTCCGAAAGAGAGAAAGTGTCGGGGACCTGCAAATGCTATTTCAGCCGCAACAACCAGCCGATGATTCAGGCCTCCTGAAATATCGTTACTACAAGAGTCAGCGCACTTCTGAAATGCCGCGTATTTCTGGTCATCTGAGAGCCGCTGCAGGCTTGTGCGGAAAGTTCGAGATTCTGGGAACGCCAGCTTTGCAGTTGAACAAGAAAATTAGTTCGAAATGCATAATTTATGAAAATCATTTATTTTTCATCATTGATTTATTGTTAAAACATTTTTACAGAATACATGCGAGGTAATTATTTTAGCATAACGTAACGAAGGATCGTTACATTCAAAACTTAAAAATTAAATAAACATTTTGATTAATTGTAATATATCATGCTGTAAATTCAAGTTCACGAACGACTAGATCTCATCAAAACGTTCCTCAATGTAAATACATATTTATTCAATAAAGATCTTCAGTACAATTATCACTAGCTTTCTAATGTCAATTATTAACACAAATTTCACTTGACTGCAAATAAAATTAGCTACTGTGAATAGATAATAAGAAATATGTAAATTAGATGATAAATTAGAATCGAGATAATGCAAAAAAAATGTAATTTATAAGGACACACTAACAATCACTTGTTCAACATATTACACTTCGTCATATCAACTTAAAATCTACATGAGAAACAAATGAAAAAAATTTTATCGAATTTGCACCACCTTCGTCATAGTTTTTTCATGCTCGTTTTCATTCGTAATCTGTTCAATAGCGGCCGCACTTCAATAGTACTACGTAAGCGTTTGGAAAAAAAATTCGCACTTCAATAGCACTGTGTAAGTGTTTGGAAAAAAATGTACAGGTTAATAATAAAAAATGAAAAAAAAATAGCATATTTAAGTTATGGTGTCAAAAACTATTTTTATTGATTTGAAAAGTATTGAGAATTTTGAAAATATCCACGTTTACAAAATGTGTTGTATTGAAGGCGGCCGATGTCTATGTTAAAATATGAATTTAGTGATTAATGCTGTTCACACACAATATTTTTTAATTGTACACTCCACTGATAGAAATCACTGCACTAAACACATAATTTTTATTTATCATCACTGTTCGTAAGAATTTAGAAACACACACAAATATTAGAACTCGCGAAGTTCCCGCCACAGCTTCTTGTGCTCCAGTAAGTGACTACGAACAAGAACCTCGATTCGAACAGAGTTTACTCGTACTGCCAGTGTGACGATGTTGGGGCGTGAGATCCCCCACCAAAAGCGCGCTACGCCATTTCAAATTTAAAGTTTAATTTCGTATGCTTTTTGCTCTGCTACAATTCAGATCTATTTTAAGAATGAATATACTGCACTAGGGTTCTTTTGATTGAAATAATAGATTGTGTTTATAAAATTCAGAATTAAAAATTGTAAAGCTATAAGATAAATGCAAAATATACAAATACTTTTTTATTAGTTGATTTCTTTCTAATAATACGATGGGATAATTACAAAAATGAATAATTGTATCTAATTTTAATTAAATTTCAAGGCCAGAAAATACATCAATACACCGAAATACTCACTGGAATTTTATACGGTTAATTTGGCTTTTCATAAAAAAAGGTTAAATTAAAAATTAAAAAATAGTCTCATTTTAGATGTTACTGTACATTAATGAACATAAAAATATTGATAACGAAAATATCGTGCAATTTGTTCTTTTATTTATTAATCACATTCAAATAACTAATAAAATATGGTATTTCAAAATTTTAAGTTTTGCATATAAAATATTTTATATATGCATATGAAGTTTTTAGAGATATTAGTGAAGTTTTACCTTCTTAAACTATGGATAAAAATAATATTTCGATTTTTAGATTTATTTTGTACTTTTCACTGAAACAAAGAAAAAATGCCATTTCCTTCTTTGAAAACAGTATTCTAATTATAAAATGGAAATACTTGTGTATTTATACTACGAAAGTAAAAACTGCCAAGATAAAAATATCACAACACAAAATACATTACATTTATCAAACTTTATAGAAGTGCTTAATAGAGTACTATTTAAATACGGAACCAAAACTTACTGTGGTATAAAAATGAAATAATTGATCTTTGCGATTATCAAAATTGACTGCATTCATAACTATTTGAACTCCAAAATGAAATATTCAAATTGCAAAATTTTTATCACTATATACTAAATTTCTTCAATGTGCATGATAACATAGATGTAAAACTAACAAAAAAAGTTCATAGGTTTAAGTTAACTAGTTTGAAGGCATTATAAAAATATGAAATATTTGTATTTCTCATTGAATTCACTAAACATTAATACATAATAGATCACCATTAACTACATAATTTAAGTGGATCTAGATTTAATATAAAAATGAATTCTATTATAATAATACTAAGTCATACTTTCTGTAAAATTCGTAATAAATATTTTCACAATAAAATTTATTTGGTTTCATCGAGTCCGCGTTAATGATAAGTCTATTCGGGTTGTATTGTAAACATTAGCAAAATAAACAAGATTTGTGGGTTCAAAAAAGAACAATCAAATTATTTTTAATTAATTATATTATTATTAATAATATACAGAAGTAAAAATTGAAAAATATAAATGTTCACAAAAAATAGACATGTATGGATATAATTTATTGTAATATTTCGATATAAATATATTATGTAACTAAATTATTTGCAGGACGAAAAGGAGTATCATATAAATCAACTGTACCAGAAACAGATGCTACCGATGATCTGAAACCAAACAAATTTGATCAACCCAAATTTGGATCTATTGTAGATGACACAACCCTCAAGGAATTGACGAAAAATATTATCGAGTATGATGAAGAAGGGCTAGCAATAGGAACTCCAATGCAACCAGGAGATGAAATGTTACCGTGGCGCAAAGGTCGAGTCAAACATCGACCTCGGCCATTACACACAACACCATGGCGAAAAATTAAAGAATCTCCTCGAGAATCATCTTTAGATAGCCTACAGCATAGGCTACCTATTACTGATACAGTTAAACCTTGGATCGAAGAAGAAGTAGTTTTAAAGAAAGCTCCTCAGATACCAAAAGAAATTACAAAAGAAAAATTAGAGGAAGTTGAACTACGACCAGCTAAAATTCAAAAGCGAGGAATTCGAAGAGAAAGTATTCAGTACGTTGAACTCAAACCCATTCCTAAACAAATAACTAGAGATGAGGTGATATTGAAAAGACTCATGGCTCAAAAAAGTATAACCGTTCATTCTGATGAGGATGAGGAAGATAGTATATGTCTTGATATAACTAAATCTGAAGAAGAGAAGTCATGGAGAGATGAAATAATTACTTTGAAACATATGAAACCAGAAAAAAAACTGGTTCAAAAGGAAAAACTAGAAGAAGTTAGTTTAAAACCAGCGCAACCCGAGAAAAAAGATTATAAGAAACCAAAGCTTCAGCCGGTTGAACTTCGTCATGTTACAGAAGATGCTACAATTTTAGAACAGGTAGAATCAGAAAGATATGAGCTTTACACAGAAGAAAATGATTCACAACTGTTAAGTATTGATAAAAACGTACAGCAAACAAAAAAGGTTAGGCCCTGGAAGCAAGAAAAAGTGCAATTGAAACCAACTGCGACAGATAAGAAGGATAATAAAAAAACAACTTTACAAAAAATCGGTGTTTATGTACAAGAGGAAGATTCTCAAATTTTAAGTATTGATGAAGATGTACGAGAAAAAAATCAACTTTTGATCAGAAGAGATTCTGAAGTTAAACCTTGGACTGAGGAAAATATAACCTTGAAAAAAGCTCCAATAACCAAAAAAGAATATATTAAAGAAAAATTAGAAGTACCTATACTAAAGAAGGTTGCAGATAAAATTCCTAAAGAAGAGCTTTTAACAAAAGAGACAGATAATAAAACAATTACTCATGAAGAAGAGGATACCAGAATTATGAATAGAACCGTTGTACATGAAAAAGAAGAAAAACAAATTCCACACGATAAAACGAAACCACAAACTAAAGATATGGATACAAAAACAAAGCGCACGACGAAATTGCTGGTTGACGAGGATAAATTAGTATCTCCCCAAGTCGTTGAAGAAAAGATAGAGGAGGAAAAACCAGAAGAATCTACGCTGCCATGGATGCGAACCTTAAGGAAACCTAAGAAACCTGAACAGAAGGAAGAAAAACCCAAGCAGGAAACAATTACACTAAAGCCGGTTCAGAAAACAAAATCAGAGGATCTTAAAGAAACCGAAAAAGTTGAGTTGAAACCCGTGACTAAGCGCACCGAGGAAATTGTGGAAAAGCCGCAGATTGCGCTGAAACCAATAAAGAAAGATATTACTGAGGTAACGCTCCAGACTGAGGATAAACGCATTCTAGACATCAAAGAAACCGAAAAAGTCATTGAAAAGCAGCAGATCGAGGAGGAAACTGTTATGTGGCAGCGTGGTAAAAAGAAAACGAAACCTAAAGTTGAAAAACCAGAAGAAAAGCCATATGATAAGAGCACTGCAGAGTTTATTATTGAGGAAGAAAAGCCGAAGGTAGACGAAATAGAAGAATCGAAAATTCCTTGGTTACGAGGGAAGAAACAACCGAAGCCCGAACAAAAGGTAGAAAAATTAGATGAAACTGAGATGATATTCGAGACTGAAGACAAACAAATTCTTGATATCAAAAATACTGAAAAAGTTATCAAAGAGCAGCAGATCGAGGAAGAAACTGTTATGTGGCAGCGTGGTAAAAAGAAAACGAAACCTAAGAGTGAAGAACCACGCGATAAGAGTGTAGCAAAATTACCAATTGAAGAAGAGAAATTGGTATCTTCTCAAGTCGTTGAAGAAAAGCTAGAGGAAGAAAAACCAGAAGAATCTACGGTACCATGGATGCGAAATTTAAGAAAACCTAAGAAGCCTGAACAGAAAGAAGAAAAACCCAAGCAGGAAACAATTACACTAAAGCCGGTTCAGAAAACAAAATCAGAGGATCTTAAAGAAACTGAGAAAGTTGAGTTGAAACCCGTGACTAAGCGTTCTGAGGAAGTTGTGAAAACGCAGCAAATTGCCCTGAAACCAATAAAGAAAGACATTACTGAGGTGACGCTCCAGACTGAGGATAAACAAATTCTAGATGTCAAAGAAACTGAGAAAGTTACCGAAGAGCAGCAGATCGAAGAGGAAACTGTTATGTGGCAGCGTGGTAAAAAGAAAACTAAACCTAAAGTTGCAAAACCAGAAGAAAAGCCATATGATAAGAGCACTGCAGAGCTAATTATTGAAGAAGAAAAGCCGACGGTGGACGAATTAGAAGAATCGAAAATTCCATGGTTACGAGGGAAGAAACAACCGAAGAAGCCCGAACAAAAGGTAGAAAAATTAGATCAAACCGAGGTGATACATGAGACTGAGGACAAACAAGTTCTTGATATCGAAAATACTGAAAAAGTTATCAAAGAGCAGCAGATCGAGGAAGAAACTGTTATGTGGCAGCGTGGTAAAAAGAAAACAAAACCTAAGAGTGAAAAACCAGATGATAAGAGTATAGCAGAATTACCGATTGAAGAAGAGAAACTGGTATCTTCGCAAGTCGTTGAAGAAAAGATAGAGGACGAAAAGCCAGAAGAATCTACGCTGCCATGGATGCGAACCTTAAGGAAACCTAAGAAACCTGAACAGAAGGAAGAAAAACCCAAGCAGGAAACAATTACACTAAAGCCGGTTCAGAAAACAAAATCAGAGGATCTTAAAGAAACCGAAAAAGTTGAGTTGAAACCCGTGACTAAGCGCACCGAGGAAATTGTGGAAAAGCCGCAGATTGCGCTGAAACCAATAAAGAAAGATATTACTGAGGTAACGCTCCAGACTGAGGATAAACGCATTCTAGACATCAAAGAAACCGAAAAAGTCATTGAAAAGCAGCAGATCGAGGAGGAAACTGTTATGTGGCAGCGTGGTAAAAAGAAAACGAAACCTAAAGTTGAAAAACCAGAAGAAAAGCCATATGATAAGAGCACTGCAGAGTTTATTATTGAGGAAGAAAAGCCGAAGGTAGACGAAATAGAAGAATCGAAAATTCCTTGGTTACGAGGGAAGAAACAACCGAAGCCCGAACAAAAGGTAGAAAAATTAGATGAAACTGAGATGATATTCGAGACTGAAGACAAACAAATTCTTGATATCAAAAATACTGAAAAAGTTATCAAAGAGCAGCAGATCGAGGAAGAAACTGTTATGTGGCAGCGTGGTAAAAAGAAAACGAAACCTAAGAGTGAAGAACCACGCGATAAGAGTGTAGCAAAATTACCAATTGAAGAAGAGAAATTGGTATCTTCTCAAGTCGTTGAAGAAAAGCTAGAGGAAGAAAAACCAGAAGAATCTACGGTACCATGGATGCGAAATTTAAGAAAACCTAAGAAGCCTGAACAGAAAGAAGAAAAACCCAAGCAGGAAACAATTACACTAAAGCCGGTTCAGAAAACAAAATCAGAGGATCTTAAAGAAACTGAGAAAGTTGAGTTGAAACCCGTGACTAAGCGTTCTGAGGAAGTTGTGAAAACGCAGCAAATTGCCCTGAAACCAATAAAGAAAGACATTACTGAGGTGACGCTCCAGACTGAGGATAAACAAATTCTAGATGTCAAAGAAACTGAGAAAGTTACCGAAGAGCAGCAGATCGAAGAGGAAACTGTTATGTGGCAGCGTGGTAAAAAGAAAACTAAACCTAAAGTTGCAAAACCAGAAGAAAAGCCATATGATAAGAGCACTGCAGAGCTAATTATTGAAGAAGAAAAGCCGACGGTGGACGAATTAGAAGAATCGAAAATTCCATGGTTACGAGGGAAGAAACAACCGAAGAAGCCCGAACAAAAGGTAGAAAAATTAGATCAAACCGAGGTGATACATGAGACTGAGGACAAACAAGTTCTTGATATCGAAAATACTGAAAAAGTTATCAAAGAGCAGCAGATCGAGGAAGAAACTGTTATGTGGCAGCGTGGTAAAAAGAAAACAAAACCTAAGAGTGAAAAACCAGATGATAAGAGTATAGCAGAATTACCGATTGAAGAAGAGAAACTGGTATCTTCGCAAGCCGTTGAAGAAAAGATAGAGGAGGAAAAGCCAGAAGAATCTACGGTGCCATGGATGCGAAATTTAAGAAAACCTAAGAAACCTGAACAGAAGGAAGAAAAACCCAAGCTGGAAACAATTACACTAAAGCCGGTTCAGAGAACAAAATCAGAGGATCTTAAAGAAACCAAGAAAGTTGAGTTGAAACCCGTGACTAAGCGTTCTGAGGAAGTTGTGAAAACGCAGCAAATTGCCCTGAAACCAATAAAGAAAGACATTACCGAGGTGACGCTCCAGACTGAGGATAAACAAATTCTAGATGTCAAAGAAACTGAGAAAGTTATCGAAGAGCAGCAGATCGAAGAGGAAACTGTTATGTGGCAGCGTGGTAAAAAGAAAACTAAACCTAAAGTTGCCAAACCAGAAGAAAAGCCATATGATAAGAGCACTGCAGAGCTAATTATTGAAGAAGAAAAGCCGACGGTGGACGAATTAGAAGAATCGAAAATTCCATGGTTACGAGGGAAGAAACAACCGAAGAAGCCCGAACAAAAGGTAGAAAAATTAGATCAAACCGAGGTGATACATGAGACTGAGGACAAACAAGTTCTTGATATCGAAAATACTGAAAAAGTTATCAAAGAGCAGCAGATCGAGGAAGAAACTGTTATGTGGCAGCGTGGTAAAAAGAAAACAAAACCTAAGAGTGAAAAACCAGATGATAAGAGTATAGCAGAATTACCGATTGAAGAAGAGAAACTGGTATCTTCGCAAGTCGTTGAAGAAAAGATAGAGGACGAAAAGCCAGAAGAATCTACGGTGCCATGGATGCGAAATTTAAGAAAACCTAAGAAACCTGAACAGAAGGAAGAAAAACCCAAGCAGGAAACAATTACACTAAAGCCGGTTCAGAAAACAAAATCAGAGGATCTTAAAGAAACCAAGAAAGTTGAGTTGAAACCCGTGACTAAGCGTTCTGAGGAAGTTGTGAAAACGCAGCAAATTGCCCTGAAACCAATAAAGAAAGACATTACCGAGGTGACGCTCCAGACTGAGGATAAACAAATTCTAGATGTCAAAGAAACTGAGAAAGTTATCGAAGAGCAGCAGATCGAAGAGGAAACTGTTATGTGGCAGCGTGGTAAAAAGAAAACTAAACCTAAAGCTGCAAAACCAGAAGAAAAGCCATATGATAAGAGCACTGCAGAGCTAATTATTGAAGAAGAAAAGCCGACGGTGGACGAATTAGAAGAATCGAAAATTCCATGGTTACGAGGGAAGAAACAACTGAAGAAGCCCGAACAAAAGGTAGAAAAATTAGATCAAACCGAGGTGATACACGAGACTGAGGACAAACAAGTTCTTGATATCGAAAATACTGAAAAGGTTATTAAAGAGCAGCAGATCGAGGAAGAAACTGTTATATGGCAGCGTGGTAAAAAGAAAACAACACCTAAGAGTGAAAAACCACATGATAAGAGTATAGCAGAATTACCGATTGAAGAAGAGAAACTGGTATCTTCTCAAGTCGTTGAAGAAAAGCTAGAGGAGGAAAAGCCAGAAGAATCTACGGTGCCATGGATACGAAATTTAAGAAAACCTAAGAAGCCTAAACAGAAAGAAGATAAGCCAAAGCCGGAAGCAGTTACACTAAAGCCGGTTCAGAAAACAAAATCAGAGGATCTTAAAGAAACCGAGAGAGTTGAGTTAAAACCCATTACTAAGCCTACTGAGGAAATTGTGGAAAAGCAGCAAATTATGATGAAACCTTTAAAGAAAGACATGACCGAGGTGACGCTCCAGACTGAGGATAAACAAGTTCTCATTGTCAAAGAAACTGAAAAAGTTATCAAAGAGCAGCAGATCGAGGAAGAAACTGTTATGTGGCAGCGTGGTAAAAAGAAAACAAAACCTAAGAGTGAAAAACCAGATGATAAGAGTATAGCAGAATTACCGATTGAAGAAGAGAAACTGGTATCTTCGCAAGTCGTTGAAGAAAAGATAGAGGACGAAAAGCCAGAAGAATCTACGGTGCCATGGATGCGAAATTTAAGAAAACCTAAGAAACCTGAACAGAAGGAAGAAAAACCCAAGCAGGAAACAATTACACTAAAGCCGGTTCAGAAAACAAAATCAGAGGATCTTAAAGAAACCAAGAAAGTTGAGTTGAAGCCCGTGACTAAGCGTTCTGAGGAAGTTGTGAAAACGCAGCAAATTGCCCTGAAACCAATAAAGAAAGACATTACTGAGGTGACGCTCCAGACTGAGGATAAACAAATTCTAGATGTCAGAGAAACCGAAAAAGTCATTGAAAAGCAGCAGATCGAGGAGGAAACGGTTATGTGGCAGCGTGGTAAAAAGAAAACGAAACCCAAAATTGAAAAACCAGACCACAAACCATATAATAAGACCACTGCTGAGTTAATTATTAAAGAAGAAAAGCCGAAGGTGGACGAAATAGAAGAATCGAAAATTCCTTGGTTACGAGAAAAGAAACAACCAAAGAAGCCTGAACAAAAGGTAGAAAAGTTAGAGAAATCCGAGGCGATTCTCCCGATCGAGGACAAACAAGTTCTTGATGCCAAAGAAACTGAGAAAGTTGTCGAAGAGCAGCAGGTCGAGGAGGAAACTATCATGTGGCAGCGTGGTAAAAAGATGATGAAACCTAAGAGTGAGAAACCACACGATAAGAGTGTAGCAGAAATACCGATTGAAGAAAAGAAATTAGTATCTCCTCAAGTCGTTGAAGAAAAGATAGACGAGGAAAAACCAGAAGAATCTACGCTGCCATGGATGCGAACCTTAAGAAAACCTAAGAAACCTGAACAGAAGGAAGAAAAACCCAAGCAGGAAACAGTTACACTAAAGCCTGTTCAGAAAACAAAATCAGAGGATCTTAAAGAAACCGAAAAAGTTGAGTTGAAACCCGTGACTAAGCGCACCGAGGAAATTGTGGAAACGCAGCAGATTGCGCTGAAACCAATAAAGAAAGATAGTACTGAGGTGACGTTCCAGACTGAGGATAAACAAGTTGTAGATGTCAAAGACACTGAGAAAGTTGTCGAAGAGCAGCAGATCGAGGAGGAAACTATCATGTGGCAGCGTGGTAAAAAGATGATGAAACCTAAGAGTGAGAAACCACACGATAAGAGTGTAGCAGAAATACCGATTGAAGAAAAGAAATTAGTATCTCCTCAAGTCGTTGAAGAAAAGATAGACGAGGAAAAACCAGAAGAATCTACGCTGCCATGGATGCGAACCTTAAGAAAACCTAAGAAACCTGAACAGAAGGAAGAAAAACCCAAGCAGGAAACAGTTACACTAAAGCCTGTTCAGAAAACAAAATCAGAGGATCTTAAAGAAACCGAAAAAGTTGAGTTGAAACCCGTGACTAAGCGCACCGAGGAAATTGTGGAAACGCAGCAGATTGCGCTGAAACCAATAAAGAAAGATATTACTGAGGTGACGTTCCAGACTGAGGATAAACAAGTTGTAGATGTCAAAGGAACCGAAAAAGTCATTGAAGAGCAGCAGATCGAGGAGGAAACTGTTATGTGGAATCGTGGTAAAAGGAAGACGAAACCTAAAATTGAAAAACCAGACGACAAACCATATAATAAGAGCACTGCTGAGTTAATTATTGAGGAAGAAAAGCCCAAGATTGACGATTCAGAAGAATCAAAAGTTCCTTGGTTACGAGGGAAGAAACAACCGAAGAGCCTTGAACAAAAGGTAGAAAAGTTAGAGAAATCCGAGGCGATTCTCCCGATCGAGGACAAAGAAATTCTTGATGCCAAAGAAACTAAGAAAGTGGTCGAAGAGCAGCAAGTCGAGGAGGAAACTGTTATATGGCAACGTAGCAAGAAAAAGTCAAAACCTAAAGATGAAAAGCCACATGACAAGACTTTCGAAATATTAGCTTTTGGAGAAGATCAAAGTACTGCTGTTCAGGTAGATACTATCGATGAATTTGTAGATGATAAACCGTCTCCCAAATTACTGAAACCGAAAAAGGTTGTTGATTTTGAAGATAAAGTGACAGTTATGCCATATGAAGATATCATTAAAGATGAGTATGTTGAGATTGCGGAATCGACTTACAAAGAGAAGAGAGAGGAAGAAGTTAAGGATGTTAAAAAGAAGCGTAAACCAAAATTGCATACCGAAATTGATATCACCATATTAGATAAACAAAAAACTGTAGCCCCCCGTTTCATACAAAAGTTACAGCCGGTTATTAGTCAACCAAATAAGTCAGCTAAATTCACATGTTCCGTTTTGGGACATCCTAATCCTAAAATAACATGGTACAAAAACGAACAAGAACTTCATGCCAATGAAAAATATACAATGATCGAAATCGAAACAACGGCTACATTAGAAATATCAAACGTCAGAGAAGAAGACGTTGCTATGTATACGTGTAGAGCGTCAAATTCAGCAGGTGTAGCGACTTCAACTGTTAATTTGGTCATATTTGGTAAGAAAACTTGATTTATTTTCAATCATGTTTTATGTCTTAATTATTGAAATATTGAATTAAATTAGTGATATAATAAATCATAACTAGTTTATTAAAAGTAGTAGTGATTCATATTCTTATTTTCAACTAACAAGTTGAAGTAAACATTGAATTAAACATAATAAAGTAAACATACTTCAATAAATATTTAATACTATATTTCAATATCTGGACTACAATTAGGGAGATATTAATAAAGTATTTTACATGACTTCATTAAAAAATTTCTAGAAAAAGAAGAGGAAGGTGTTGCACCTCATTTTGTAAATCCACTGAAACCTTTAATTGTTGAAGAGCATCAACCAGCAGTTTTAGAGTGTACGGTAAGTGGACAGCCTGTACCAGAAGTAAAATGGTATCAAGGAGAATCTGAGGTTAATGCAAAGAAAGGAAAAATTGAGATAACATTTACGCCGGAAACAGGTAATGCTCTTCTTAAAATATTAGAACCCACACAGCAAGACGAAACTATTTATCGAGTTCGAGCATTGAATAAGTTCGGTAAAGCTGAATGTAGAGCAAATCTTCTCATCAGTAGTACTCCTATCATCTCAAAACCTGAAATACTTCAAGCCCCTAAGATTACACGACCATTACCAGCTACTGTTGCTCAAATAGGAGCATCACTAACACTGTCAATAGAATTTGAGAGCGAAATAAAACCAGAAGTTAAATGGTTTAAAAATAACACTGAAATTGTGCCATCTGCGGACAGACCGGTAAATATTTTTGAAAACGTTGCTGAACTTACTATACCGAATATTCAGAAGAAAGATACAGGAAAATATGAAGTTAGAATACAAAACTCAGTCGGAGAAGCTCGTAGTTCTGGTTCAATAACTGTAACTGAAAAAGATAAAGTAAACGAAGCAAAAGCACCACGATTTGTTCAAGCCATTCATCCGCAAATTGTAGCGGAAGGCGAAGTTGTTATCATGGAAACCACAGTAAATTCTTATCCAACATCATCATTTCAATGGCTTCGCGAGAATCGCCCACTGGTGGTAAATACAATATCGATCACAATTATTTTATTTCTTAATTTTCTTTTTCGTGCATTTTTTATATAATTATATACAGACGATTAAATAATTGTTATCGTGATTAATTTTTTATACTTTCAGTCTTCACATGAGATACGCATTGTTACAAAAGAAAATAGATCAGTATTGATGATTAAAGAAATGAAACCGGAATTAGCTGGCACGTATACTTGTAGAGCTGAAAATGTTGTAGGTTCTGTTACAAGTTCGGCTACCATTAATCTCCAAGAAATACCATGGGAAGAAACTGTGGAGCTTGTCTCTCCTGTTTTTGCAAAACGACTTTCTCCAGTACGCGTTATGGATGGTGAAAGTGTAAATTTAACATGTACTGTAATAGGCAAGCCTATTCCAAGAGTGGAATGGCTTCACGATAATAAGCCAATCAGAGAAGGCAAACAAATTACAATCCTTCAAGACTCTGAAGGCATCTGTAATTTATCAATTACGGAAGTTTTTCCGGAAGATGCCGGAGAATACACATGTCAAGCAATCAATACCGTTGGTGAAGCAGTATGCACGGCACCTTTAGTTGTTGAAGGTAACATTCACAATATAATAAGAAAGAAGTGATGTCTATCGTGGTTTGCGAGCTCATCTTTTTCGTCTTTTCTACGTCCTGATTTTAATGCATGCGCGAATATGAATAAAAAATAGATATGCAGTTACGTTATAATATAATGTATATTAATGATGTAAAAATGTTCTCAGTGAAGTTTTAAGTTTTTATGGTTCAAAATTTTATGTTGAAAAATTATTATAATTCAAAAGTATCAAAAACACGATAGAAATATGTAATATACTTCGTTAGACGTTCACAGTTGTAATTAGTGCTTTTCTTAAAAAATTTTCCAATATTTTATATAACTAAATAGAGCCGAAATCACTGTATAATATTTAATTGTGATAATCTATTGATTTGTATCTTATCTTACCTATTTAGCTTATTCGAAGCTAAGCTTTCGCATAGAGTAAAGTTCAAATCATTTGTTTATCGAAGTATCAATCGGTTTTTCTTTGAGGTTAGTATCAAATGCATATTAAATTCGTACCAACTAGACTGATATATTTTTTTAACGTTTAATGATTTACGAAAGTCTACAGTTATATTTTATAAGCGTACACACACACTCAAAATCATATAACAACTGATGATGTGACTATCTTTCAGTCAATCAGATCACGAATAAACTGGGTTCGTTGTTAGACGTATCTCCTTTTATAAAAAAACATATACTAAGATGCTTAATAAAAACTATGAATTTTTTTCCCGTGATTATATTCGTAACGCTGCCAGATTATAATTATATTAAGCTAAAATAATTCATTTACAGCTTACGAGTACATTCCAGATTCAGAAATAGAATCGTCTGCTATAGCAACATCTCTTATTACTGGTCAAAGTGAATCTGAAGAAGATTTATTATCTCCAAAGGTAATTACTGTAATATAAGCTAATCTGAAGCTTAAAATAATTAATTAATTATCAAATATGGAAAATTATCAATTATGCTAATTATGTTCGTCTCTCATGTTAGGAAACACCACTAGAATCTGATACTGAAGATTCTGCTCCAGAGATATTAAAGAAACTTCCTCAGTTAGTTCCTAGTAAAAATGGAGAATTAACACGGTACGTATTTTGTGTTTTACTTAGAGTAGAGCTTGTTTCATACGTATTTATATAATCATTACTTAATAAATACATTTTCTATATTGCGAACAAAATTTGATTCGATAGATTGGAAGTAAAAGTTAGAGGGAAACCTAAACCTGAAGGCAAGTGGTACAAACAAGGTTTAGAAATCCATCCTTCAAAAGAATTCCAAATTGAAGAATTAGAAGATGGAACGTCTATTCTTACGATTACCGAAACTTATCCAGACGATACTGGTGAAATTGTGTTTGAAGCTTACAATCCATTGGGAGTATCGACTACAACGGCATATTTATCAGTAGAAGGTAATCTTACTCTTTTATTTTTATATTAATCTTTTTATAGCAAAGTGTTTACTATAATTTTAATAAAATACTATTAAAGATATTTTCAGTGGCATCTGCAAATACCAGCATATTTTAAAATTTTTCCTACCGTCTTCCTTTATTCTCAACACTATACACACAACATTCCCTAATAATATTATTCTATTATCTGAATGTTATATTTATGAATAAGAAACGCAACGTAGTTATTTTAATTGATATTTCTTTGTATACAGGTATTGTAGGAACGAAAGAATATCGCAAACCAGAATGGGTTACGCAAATGGAAGAAATGAAAGAAGCGTTGCGAGGTAAGAATAAAGTAACTTATACGAAACCAATGCCTGCTCTTTTGCCGTTCAATCTTAATTCAACTCTTCTCAGTACGACAATGGCATGGCGGTCTAACCAAAACTATCTTCTAAAAAGTTTGCACTAAAGTTTTTATAACGACTGAAGCAATTTAGAAATAATTTGTTTTATTTACATAAATAGTTATTGATCGTATATTGTATTCATTCACATTAAAAAGAACAATCTTGCTGTTATTTCACTTCCAGATGATTGTTGCAAAATTTCTCTTTTATATAATACATTTACATGAATAATCTATCGATATGATCTATTTTCATTTATATTTTTGTTCTTATCTCTCAATATAATATACATAATTAACTGTAATCAAAGCAGTAATTCATAAATATCTTACTTATGTTAACAACAAGCTAATAATGAAAAAATGTATTACTCGATACATTATTATGTATTACTCGATATATTATTACCGATAAATAACAGATTTATAATTTATTACAAGAAAGTGTGAAACTAATTGCATGGTGTTCTTGTTTTATAATCTATTTGATCAGTGATATAATTCTTCATCGGATTTAGAGGTGGCAACTCTATAAGGTAATTTAAGTAAACTTATGGAAAAATTAGAATGAATAAAAATGTTTAAGAGGTCAAGAACAATGACAATTTTTTTATTTTTAGCTGCTCAATCAGTACCTCGTTTTATACAAGAGTTTACGGACACTTATGTCCAAGAAGGTGAAAGAGTTGTATTTGAATGCATTTACTCCGGAAATCCTGTCCCAGGTACTTTTTGCTGCTTGATAAAATAATCATAAATGACAATTCGGAATAAATATTAAGTAAATAAATTACATTTTCTGTAGATATAATATGGTTTAAAAATGATAAAGTAGTGCTCAATACGGACAATGTTAAAATTAAAGTTTTTGAAGAAGAACTTAAAACAACACTCGAAATAAATGAAACTACTCAAGAAGATGCTGGTATTTATGTATGTAAAGCTACTAGTGATATCGGATTAGCTACAACAAAAGCAAAATTACAAGTAACTGGTAAGCGATTCATTTACTTCTTATACTCGTATATTACGGAATGTTTTAATTATTCTCAATGCAATGTTTTAATACATTTTTGTCAATTAGATTCATATGGTAGATCAACAAAGCCTATCGAGGAAACTGGAATTTCAGAACAAGTACCAGAAAAGGTAGAAAAACTGCAGAAGAAGAAAAAATCCGAATTAAAAAAAGCAAAAGAAGTGAAAGAAAAGGTAAAATCTGAGAGAGTTAAAACTGATAAGAAGATCATTACAGAAGATAAAGGTGTCTTGAAGGAAGAGACAGAGGAAAAGTGAGTATATTTTGAAAAAATTATTGTTTAAATATAACTAGTCTAAATGTTCTGTAGCTGCAACATGAACATAATTTCTATTGGAATGATTCAATAGTTTGATTGTATAACTTTTAAAAAGTATATTATATATATAATTATTACCTACTATAAAATGTAATCGATGTATAATGCAGTTGCCAATTTCATCGTGTAGACTTTTCCATGTAAAATATAGGCTTCAAGAAAAATTATTACTGCAATTTTAACAAAATAATATAACTGCAACTATAAAATTCTATATAAATTCAACTCTATACAGTGACTGTACTATTAGGAACACTGGCTTCTGATCAAATATCCAAATAAATTTGAGTCTTTATTGTATTTTTGTCTAAAAAGATAGAAATATTAATAATGGTTAGCTTGCTTAATTACATTTACAAATATAAATTTTGGAATATATGACGACAAGAGATTTCAATATTAATTAACTTATAAATAGCTTACAAAAATTACCATTATTTCAGAATCATTGCTGATACACAGGAAACGCAAATATTCGAAACTACGGAAATAATAGAAGAAATGAAGACGGTAATAAAATACTGAATATGCTATTCAAAATAGAATTTTATTGATTTGTAAATAAAATTTTGTTATTAGCTTTTTGTAAATGGTTATATTAATTGAATTTTTTTATTTTAGCCGTCACAAGCCAGAAAGATCATTCCGATACAAGAACCAGTAATAACAGAAACCACACCTAGTTTAAAGAAGGTTGACGATAAAAAACTGAAGTCTGTTACAAAACCCGATGAGAAGGCGGAAAAAATAATTGAAGAACAACAAGGTGTTGTTGTATCTGAAATTACAACAGAAGATATTGCTCCCGATTTCGAGGTAGACAGGGTTGTGGACAAAGCAGAAATTACTTCTGAAACCTTTGAAACTGTCTCAGTAATTGAAGTTCATACGGAAACTGACATCCGCGAAGTTAGAAAAAAGAAAAAGAAACCAGAAAAGAAAGTTATACACAAAGATGAAGTGAGCGAAGTTACGATAGAGCAAATAATTGAGGAACAGCATGAAAATATTGCAAGAGATGTGGAAGAAATAATGGAATTATTCGATACTCCGGAATATAGACCTGCTGAACAACCACTCAAAGAATTGGCTACGATAGGTTACTTGGTGCGACAAGGTGTAACAGTTCACGAAATAAATGAGAGTTTATATAAAACCGACAAATTTCCTGCACTCGTAACACCTGATGCTCAAAACGCTCTGGTTCAACTTGTTGAAAGAGAAGGACACGGGCCGTTAATCACCCAAGTGCTAACTGAAGAAACAACAACAGATGAAAGTATTGTTGCAGCTACCGTTGGATTTAGAGCATTCATGAAAATGGTAGAGTTACAACATGCGACTGTTGAAGAAGTTATTACACATTTCTCACCGGAAGATTTTCGGCCAAGAGCTTGGGAAGTTACTGAAGTGATTGAGGTGAAGAATCATTACACTGAGTAACATTGCTGCATGAAAATAAAATATTAATTTATCGTTAATTAACTATTAATTTTGATATCTAATGATTTTATATTTTTTAGCACGTGGAAAGTGAACACACAGCTACCGAAAGGATTGAAATTATTGAAGAAACAGAAGTTCATGTGATGGGTGAGTTTGAAAGTAACTTCAAATCTTTTTATTTTTCTTTCTAAAATTTACATATATATTGATATGAAAATCTATTATTACATGCAAAATTGTGATGCAACTTAGAAAGTTGAATAAATTAATTTAAAATTTCGTTTTTTAGAAAGAAGAGTGGACAAGACAATTGTACAAGTACAGGATGTTCGAGAAACTAAAGGTTTAACTTAAAAATATATAATGCACGTTTTTAACATCTACGTTGAAATAATAAAAATTTTATAGCTTCAGCGAATTAATATCGGATTTTATAATCTAGTTTAGTAGCAAAGGCATCAGTGAAAAGTTTTAAAAAATGATTATTTATTATTTTTTCTACGTATGAAAGCAATGAATAAACTTTCAATTTTCTTCGAGAAAAATTCATAAAAATTAACTTTTGCTTTAAAATGCATGATAAATTAATGCGATAATATAAATTTACTAAACTTTAGCTGCGTAAATATATTTTTATATTCTTTCAGATGCATGAAGCTTTCTTGAACGAAATAAATCAGTGATTTATCACTTACGCCGCTATACTTTCCATGCAGTATCCTATTTTTTATGCATCCTAGAATATTTTTTTAAGTAAAATGCTTTTTGTAAATATACAAATAATCCTCTTTTCTTGCCCGATCTTTTATCAAGATACCTTCTAATGCTTCACCGCTTAACTGATGCAGTAAGTATAGCAAAACTGTTTAAAAGAAAAATTTTTTCCTCTAATTATTTATTTCTAAAAAAAGTGTAAGCCTTTCTCTCGATCATTTCTTTAACTAATAATTAATTATGTCAGTTCCATGAATAACTATTAATTCAAATACACACGATACAATAATAAATGAAACATCTATAAAATAGTTTCAAACTAAATAAGCAGATATAGGCAGTTATAAATAGATTTCTATATTCAATGCATAATACTTACACGCAGCTGTACGCATACTGCTTTAAAAATGTTAATTATTCGCATGTAGTATGTTCTTAAATTTTTCCACATAATACTGTACTGTTATCAATTATTATTTATAGTCGTGACTGTTTTGCTCAGTTAATGACATCATTAAACAAGTAGTGATGTTATTAAATAAGAAAATAAATTATAAAAGTCATTAAAAATATATTTTTTTTAAATTTTTTTAATGATTATTAATAAAAATGACATTTCCAATTTAAAGAACTGGCACTAAAATAAAAGCATTGACTGGTACCTTGAATAGTCGAAATCTGAGCAGAATAGTAAATAACTACACACTTATTATTACACCTAACATGCTCACATACTTTTCACAGAATACGAGGACACTCAGCAGGCACACATCACAATGCGCAAACGAAAAGATAAAACACTAGAAGAACAATCTCAAGTTGATGACACACTTGAAAGTAGGGATGAGGGGGTTGAAATTACAGAGATTGAAGACACTTCAGTACTCAGTATTACAGATGATTTAACTAAAGAAGAAACTATTGAAACAGATGAATTAGTAAGCGTTCAATTAGATACAGAAGAATTGAACCGTAAAAAGAAAAAATCTAAAGAAAAGAAATTTAAACGAAAAGAAGAAGAAGAAGAAGAAGAAGAAGAAGAAGAAGAAGAAATAGAGAAAAAAACAGAATTAATAAAATCTAAAAAGTTGCTTAAACCGAAGAAATCTAAAATAAAACGGGAAGAGCTATCACTAGAAGAGATTGAAGATTTTGAAATCATACAAGACGAAAAAGTATCTTCAGTCTTATTAAATATACCCAGTCATCAAATTGAAACTATTCCTTCTATTACTGTGGTCGATCAAGCACCTGATAAACTTACCAACGAAACGGCTAGTATAACAGTTGATACTGTAAATGCAGTAATAGAACAATATAATGTTGTACAAGAACAAGAAGAGGATGAGGTGAAAACAGAAAAATCTGAAACAAGAAAAGCTTCTTTATCAATAAAACCTGTTGAGTCATATTCTACTACAGAAATTATTGTTCAAGATAGAACAGATTTGATTTTGGATATAGCTAAACCTTATTCTGTAGAAGCAACTACTGATATAATATCTACGGAGGGTATTATAATAAGTGAAGTTAATCCTAGTGAAGCGAAACCGACGGAGATTATAGAAAAAGAAAAATCTTTGACTAAAGCGGATATCACTCTAATTTTGCAACAAGCAAAAACAATAATCGAACAAATTGTTAATGAAAAAGAATCCTCTACTGTTGATTATGTTATTCCATCAATAATACAGGCAGAAGAAACTATTATACCCAAACAAAGCATTTCAGTTTTAGAAGTTCAAGAAGAAATCAAAGAACAGAAACTGGAAGAAATGAAATCCGTAACGAACATCCTTGATATTAAACTAGATGAAATTGAATCTCTTCAAGTGCAAGAAGTATATGTGTCGGATAAACCAGGTAAATATTATCCTGAACTTGTAGTCCCTACGGAAGTAGCATCGACTTCAATTATTGCAATGAAACAACACTTTACTGAAGAAATGCAAGCACCGGAAAAAGAAGGAACATACATTCCTGGTAAATTACCGACTGTTCAAACTGCTGAAACAGAACTTTCGGTACACGGCAAAGCCGCTATGATAACAGAGGAATTTGTTCAAGAAAAGGAAAACCTTTACCAACCTAAGATAAAAGCAGATTCGTACGAAGCAACATCCGAGATTAATTTGTTCGAGAACATCAATATTTCAAGTATCGATATACAAGATCAAGAATCAGAGCTAACGATTGAAGAATCGAAACGATTTAATGCTGAAATAGGTATGGATGAACATATTTCTGTATTAGCATTAGAAACAACTACCGTGGAAAAGGAAAAGCCATATATGTCAGAGCAAAAACCAGAGATGAAATTAGCTGAGAAAGTTATTTTGCCATTAGAATTAGGAATCATTTCGAGTACAATGGTTCAAGATTCTGAAGGAGAATACACAGATTTTGTAAAATCAACTGCTGTAATTGCTGAAGCTAATGTTTGTCCTAAAGAATACATTAATGTTTCTGCAATTCAGACAGCTGATTATCCTAAAGAGTACAAAGATATTTTGAAATACGTTACCGAGAAGGGTGCTGTGGGTATTGAAACGACTGAAGCCAAATTTATTCAAGAGATTGTAGTTCACGATCAAGAAGATACATTAGAACAGGTTGCTAAACCAGACGTACAGTATACGCAATTTAGTTTGAATGAGATTAAAAGTATAGAAGTCATTCAAACAACTGTAGGAGAAAAAGAAAAGGATATTAAGATAAATGATTTACCTGAAAGTCAGGTAGGTAAAGAAGTGCTCATGGAACCGGTTATTTCCTTTGAAACAAGTGAAACTCTTGCAATAGATAATGTGGCACCTATAACTAGAGATGAATTACATCCAGAGGTTGCCATACTAACGAGCAATAATCTTCAAGGAATGACAGTGAAAGAGATTATTCCAATAGAGAGTTTGAGGACATCTGAAAAAGATATTCTGCCTGAGACAAAGAACGCTGAAGTTCTATTTGAAGAAAAAGATAGCATACATACGACGGAAGTCATTGTAACTGAAAAAGAATCGGAATATGTATTAGTATTCGATGTTAAGGAATCTAACGCTATTAAAGATATTGCTACACATTCAGTTGCAACTCAAGAAGAAGTAAGAACTGAATCCCCCACTGAACATTTCCACGTAGATGAAATTTTCGAAAAGAATATTATTCCATCGCAGATACCTTTAAAAAGTATAACAGTTACCGTTCAACAGTTAGTCGACAAAGAAGATAGTTATATCGAAGATATTAAACCAAGTCAAAAAGTAGCTAATGTGGAACTGACGGAATCTATAACTGGAGCAACTATATATGAAATTGTACCAAGTGACTGTGAACAGTTAAGTATCGAAGAAGCTCTCAAACTACAAAAAGCTCAAGCTAATTTAGATGTAACAGCTCACACCATAGCTCTTCATTCGGAAACAATTATAGAACAAAGTACTGTTGACTTATCCAGTGACAAGCCAAACATGAGTATAGCTTTACCACGTCACGAAACTTTTGAGGAGTTAGTTATAACTGAAACAAATATAGCTGAAACGGAGAAGATCAAAGATGATGATGTGAGACCAAAAGCACAACAAGCTGATATGGAAATTATTGTATCAGAAAACATCAGTATAAACGAACAAACAACGGTTCTCGCTAAGGTAAGCTTTGCAATTATTGAGTGGACATTTTGAATCTTGTTATCAGTTTAAGTAAAATTTTGTATTTCCTATTAATATTGAAAACAAATTTGTATAATAGGAAAAAAATATTACTTTATTTAAGTATAATTTTTATTCATTAAATTGATATTTTATTTGGAACCTCAAAATTACTCACTATTTTATAAAAAATATGTTGTATAATATCCACTAATTGCATTATAAAAAGGTAATAGAGAAAATTAATTGAAAAAATATGTATTTGTAGGAAGGTAATTTTCAAAAGGAGGATTTACCAGCTACACAAAAAGTTGTTACTGGTATTACAAAAGGCTACGAATTACCTCAAACTGAAGAAACTATCGTTGCCAATAGTCTTGATATGTTTGAAAGGATAATGGAGAAAACTGAAAAAGCTAAACTAGATCATAGTAGTCTTGATATTGCACAAAAATCCGAAGTTATTGTATCAGAATTGGAAGCCCCGCTAGTAGAAGATACCAAACCTGAAAGTAAACAAAGTACTTTGGCTTTTGAAGAAGAAAAAAGCGTAGAAGTAACTATTACAAATCCTGAAGAAAAAGAAGATTCTTTTACTGAAAAGTTGATACCTCATCCAAGTGAAGCCTCAGTAGATTACGATATACAAAAGGTTGCATCGACATTTGAAATTGTTAGTGATGTGGGCTTAGGAGATTTAGAAATAGAAAGCATTATTAACATTGAACCAAAAAGTTCTTTGTTACCTTATCAATCGACCCAAATTGAAGAAACGATGACGCAAGACAAAGAGGCACCTATGTCTGATATGGTAATCGTAGACAAAAAAGCTGATGTTTCCTTTGAGATCAGTGAATCTATGATTATATCATCCATCAATATTGGTGAAAAAGAAAGTATATTAGAGGAGAGTGAACAAATAGAAACAAAATTAGCATCTACTAGTTATCCAACACATGTAATAGCCGAGACAGCAGAAGTTACACTAGATAATAGTTTAGCTCTTCTAGAATCTAAAAAATCTACAACAGTTTCTGCGCAAAGTAAACATGTGCCTTTTCATAGTTTTATCACGTCTCAAGTATCTCCAGCGGATTCCGAGACTATTCTTGATGTTTTCGTAATGCCTGATGAAAAGAAACCAGACGTTATATTTGAAGAAGGTATCAGCTTAGAAATTACAGAAACTATACTTTCAGATAAAGAACAGAAATATGAAGAACCCAGTAAACTACCATTACAAATAGCAAATAGTTCTTATGATAGTCACAGAGTAGCTCAATCATTAGAAGTAATACCTGAAAGTGTGACAGGCGATGTGGATCATAAAATTGCTAATTCGATTTCAGCTACTGAACTACATATGTTGTATGAAAGTCTTATTCAGGAGGAAACAGTTCCATCGGATAAAGAAAAAGAATTTAAGGATAAGTTGATATTGACAGAGAACACAGCTACAATTCAAATCGACGAATGTATCGGTGTTTCTGCTATAACTGAAGTAACTACTCAAGATAAAGAAGTCCCATTGAGCAGCTTTGAAAAGCCAACAGAAAAAACTGCTTTGATCGATTTTACTGGTCATAAAGTTGCTGAAAAACTAGAAATAACTGCAAATATTTTATCCGAAGAGTTGAAATATGAACAACCAAGTCTCACTTCTGCACATAAAAGTACATTAACGTTTGAAGCTCCTGTGAAAGAGGAAGTACAAGTAAACGAAAGTGAAAATATTTTAACAAAAGACACACTACCAAACCAATTAATTGCTGAATCTGAATTCATAGAGGAACAAAGTTTAATAGTATCTTCAATAACTTTGGTCGACAAAGAATCAGAATATAAAATAGATACTTTACCACAGACAAAAACGGCATACAAAGAATTCAGCTCCGATCATATTCTTCCTCAAATAACTGAACAAATAATAAACCAATCCATCGGTGAGCTGGAGCAGACAGAAGATTTACCTATACAAAAAGCTTCAACCGATATTATTCTACAACAAAATTCTATAGAAACAACTTTGGTTGAATCACAAGTAGATATGCCTGTTAAAAAAGCTGAAGATTTAGACACTGTAAGTGCTAACATAAAACAAGATACGCAAGAATGTTTAATCATAACTGAAAATATCATAGAGGAAAAAGAAAATATTACAGAGAAACCACTAAAGCCAACTTTACAACAAGCTATAATAGATTTACAAAACTTACAATCAATTGAAGTATCAGAAATAACGCCACAAGATAAAGAAGATACATTTATATCTAAACAATTATCCAAACAAACAGGTATTACAGATTTTATTGAATCAATTCCATTGTCTGTAGTAGAAATTATGCCTCATGAAACAGAGACAGTTTTGACAAATTTGGACAAACCACTGATCTCAACTGCAGAGGACAAAACGTTAATAATAGGACATCAAGTGGCTGAGACGACAATTATTTTAACTACAGTTAATGCTGATGAGTTGAAAAAAGACAAATTCCCTCAAGAACAAGCTATCCTGCCCAAGTCGGATAGGTCATCTGCATTAACGATAACCGAAACCGTTGCAAACGAAGTTGAAAGTAACTTTGTTAAAGAAGATATAGTAACAAGATTGGCAAAAATAGATGTAACTGGACAAGATATAGCGGAAGTTTCAGAAATACAAACAATGTTTTCATCAAGTGAATTAATGCAACCTTTAAAACCACAAGGTCAGATTGGTCGGCAAAATGTTGAAGAAATTGTTCCTCTCGATATTTGCGAAACTATTATTACAGAGCAGGAAAACGATTTTACAAGTTCTGATGCACCCCATGAACAAAAGGCTAAAACAGCCATTCTTGGACAAGAAGTAGCTCAAATTGACGAGGTATTACCATTCGTCCATGCCAATGAAATAGATACAAAATTAATTTCAGAAAGTGCTGTCGGACAAGAGAAAATTGATGTAATTCAATCTATAGTTGTATCTGAAGCGATCTTACATGAGAAAGAAGAATCATTGCATAGTGAGGCGATTCCTCAAGAAACAGAAGCTAATACAAAAATTTTGAGCAGAGAAATAGCCGAAATTACAGAAATATTAACAAATGTAAATATTGGAGAACTTACAGATTTCAAATTACCAAAAACACAAATGGGAAAATCAAGTATAGATACATTTGAATCAGCTATATCATTCCAAACAACACCCAGCGATGTGGAGAAAAGTTTTGTTTCTGAAAGAGTTCCAGAAACATCTATCGCTGAAATAAAAATTATAAAAAATAATGCGATTGAGTCTCTTGAAATTAATACATCAACTCATGCAGAAGCATTTCAAGAAGAAGTACTTCCTAAAGAAATAAAAGGCCTTCAAGAATTTGAAATTTCAACTTCGTTAATCGTATCTCAAGCATTGACGAATGAATCAGAAAGTGATTTCATAACAAGCTCGCAGAAAACCGAACAAAAAGCGATTTCACAATTTGATGGAAGAAATGTTGCCGAATTATCGGAAACAACACTGTTATTAAATATTGGCGAATTTAAGAAGGAAAAATTGCCTAGTGAAGCAATAAGCAAACAATATATCGAAGGTTTGCCATTAGCAGCTACGCTACAAGCGATTTATAATGAATCGGAAATAGACATGCCTGATGAAATCAAACCCATCGAAAAGAACGCAGTTACCGATATAAGTGGTCACCACATTGCCGAAGTAATTCAAACAACATCGTTAAATAGTATTAATATATTACAACCCGAGAAAATCAAAGAACAAAAAAGTAACTTGCAATTGAATACATTGAGTACAATAGTTGTATCTGAGACCATACACAATGAATCAGAAGGATTGATCGTTGAAGAAAAGAAACCTCAAACTACAACTGCTCAATTTACAATATTGCAGAAAGAAGCAGCTGAAGCATCTGAAACTATTGCACTATCTACAACAAGTACATTAAATGAGCATAATCTACCAGAGTCACAAGAAGCATTGTTTAATATGGACCAAATGACTCCATTGAGTGTGATTCAAATTGTTCCTGATGAATCTGGTTACGATTTGTCGATCAATGCAACCCCAGAAAATTTTTCAGCTATTGAAACTTTAAAAAGTAATGAAACACTTCAAACGACAGAAATAGTAGCTATTTCCGGCGTAGAAGAATTATCCAATGAATCTTTACCAGAAGAACAAGTAAGTAAAGAGAAACGCGAGGAACTCGTACCACTTTTCATTTCACAAATTCAAACTAGCGAAGAAAGTCAATTAATGTCAGAAAAAATACTGCCCATGGAACTAAAAGCCCTAGTGAATATAACTAGCAGAGAAATAGTAGAAACTTCTGAAATACAACCGATAGCAAGTATTGCAGATTTTGACAAAATTACCGATATTGAAAAACATTACGGAAAAACGAAATTAGATATTTTAACACCTTTGAGCGTTTCTCAAACTGTACCTGCAGATAATGAAGATTCCTTTACTACACAAATAGCACAAGAGCAAAACTTGACTAACTTGAGCATCATCAGTAAAACAGTTATGAAAATTTCTGAAAATGTTTCGCTATCAAGCCTCGAAATCATGAAAGAAAACATCGTACCCGATTCATATATCGGAGAAACTCAATTTAATACATTTTTACCATTGACTGTATCATCAACAATATTAAATGAAAAAGTAACAAACTTATTGGACCAAGAATTACCATCTGAAAAATCAGCAAAAATAGATTTGTCTGGCCGTGAAGTTGCACAGATTGAAGAAATCATTCCATCAACTACAACAGAAGACTTTATTGCTTCTACTGTACCGACAGATAAAGAAACTAGTCATCTCATGCAAGAGTCATTGACATCTGCAACGGTAATTGAAACATTAACTATCGAAAAAGAAAGCACGTTTACAAAATCAAAAGAATTATTAGAGGAGAAAGCAGATAGTAGTGTTATTGGCCATATTGTAGCTTCAACCACAGAAGTAACTACTGAGTCAACTGCTGAACTTCTTTCAGAAGAAATAACTCCTATGGGACAAAATGTAACTGAGAATTTAGATGTGCTTCAACATTTGATTAATACGCAAACCTTAATCAATGAAGAAGGAATATTTTTGGAAAACATAGATCTTCCTTCGGGAAAAGTAGCCTCAGTAAATTTAGAAGGTGTTGAACAAAAAACCGCCGAAGTTATAGAGATAGTAACAGCTTCAAATGTAAAAGAGATCACAGAGACAGATAAAATATTGAAAAAACAGGCTGTAACAGAAATAGATGAACTCCAATCTTTAATGATCACCCAAACCCAATTTACCGAAAATGAAAGCACTTTTACAAACGATGAAAAACCTGTAACAAAAGAGATAGAAAAATCTATACTTGGCATAGATGTTGCTGAAACAGTAGAAATAACTACTGGTGAGACTGTAAATATTTATTCTGTACCTACCTTACCACAGGAGTATCAAAGTACGCCTCAATTTGAAGAATCAGAATCTATTAAAGTATATGAAACGTTCTTGAACGAAAAGGAACAAGATTTAAATGAATTGCAAAAAACTGAAACTCAATCAGCAATATCTAAATTATTATCTAATGATGTTATAGAAACAACTGAAATAGTTACTGCGTCTGAAGTTTCAGAGTACAAATCAGATTACATTGCAATTGATCAAACATCCACATCCAGTATCAATGTTTTGTCTTCAGCATTGACTTCGGAAACTCTAATTTCTGAAAAAGAAAAGGACTTTAACGTGCAAGTAGCTGAGGATAAAAAAGTAAATCAAATTTTTTCTGAAAAAGAGGTACCTCAAATATACCAAACAACACCAGTAATTTGCGAAAGCGCATTAGAGATACCGAAATTACCATCACAATATACTGGAATCATGAAATTAGGAGAAAATGTACCAATCACTATAACTGAAGTTATATCAGATGAAACAGAACAATCTTTATTCAACGCCGAAGATATTAAAACTAAGACAGCAAGTCCTAACTTAGAAAGTAGAGAAATAGCAGAAACTTCTGAAATAGTAACTGGTTCAACTATAACGACTCTTGATGAACAAACAACTCTCGAAAAGGAAAATGTGGATGTGAATATTCACGACTTTTTACCTTTGTCAACAACATCCATCGTGTTACCACAAGAATTGGAAGCGGCGTTCGATGCAGCTGAAATACCAGTCTCTAGAAAAGCCTCCCTTAATATTAAAGACATTGAAGCAGCCGAAGTTTTTGAAGTTTTACAAATTTCTAATACAACTGACATCATCATAGAAGAGCAGCAAGATGTCATCAAAACTATTCCTCAAATAGATGAACTTAAAGCTATTAAAGTTTCGGAGGTTTTATCTGCAGAATCAGAAGCTGCATTACTAATCTCTCAAACACCAAGTAGTCAAAAAGCAGAATCAAGGATAAGTAGTACTGAAGCTATACAAACTGAAGAAGTAGTAATATCTACAGATATTGATAAATTAAATTTGATGTTACCTCAAGTTAAGAAAGGAGAATTGCAGTTGATTGAAATGAACTCAGTAATAGTTTCACAATCAATTCTAAATGATACTGAAATTGATTTTGAACAAACTTACGAGGCAAAAGAGGAAATTGCTACACCAAATGTTTTTGGAAGAGATATAGTTGAAACTTCGCAAATGATTCCACTAAGTAGTGCTGAATTATTTAATCAACAAGAAATACCAGAGATGAAAACTGGAAATGTTAATATAAATGAATTGAAATATTTAACAATCTCAGAAATCAGTACGCATGAAAAAGAAAAGAATTTGCCAGAAAACCAAATAGTCAAAGAAGAATCAACTGAACAAAATATTCAAGAAATGAATTTTGTAATCTCGTCACAAATAATTTCAAATGAAAAGGAAATCATTTTCAATGCACCACAAAAAACAACTGAAGAAAAAGCTATATCTGAAATTTCAGCCATCAATGTTCCAGAAAACTTGGAAATTATTATATTAGGAGATACAAAATCTCTAGAAAATATAGAATTTGAGGAAAAGAAAGTAGAGGTCTCATTTAAAGAATTGGAAGGTCTACAAGTCACACAAATTACCACAAGTGAAAATAAACTTAAAGACGTAGAAATAAAAAGCGATAAAGAAGTTACAGCACACGTTGGAGTCATAAAAACACAAGTAGCACTAAAATATGAAACACAACCTGAAGCCACTGTAACAGACTTTACATCGAGTGAAATTACAAGTCAAATTGCTCACGAAGTAAAAGACATACAACACAGCATTTTAGTATCTGAACAAAACTTAGGAGAAACTCAAATAAACACTTTTGAAAATACTCAACCTACCGAAAAAACAGCAGATATCACAATTGAAAAGGATCATTTACATCGCATAGGTATGTATTCAAAAATATTTTGCATATCATCAATACAAATATACATATAGCCAATAACTAATTTAATATCGTAGAAAATGTAGATTAAATTAATATATTACAACAAAAATATTAGAGGTATAAAAATTGTTAACACTGCGTCATGTTATATTATTAGAAGTAAAATGACGCTGCTGTGCTATGTGCTACATTCAGTCGCACATAACTTATAGATCATATTATAATGCAGATAATACTATGTGCAACTCAAACTGTAAAGTCGCACAAGGTATTCTTTTATTTCAATAAGAATGTCACTAACAGATGTTCTATCAAAAATATTTAAAATAACTTAATTTGATACAATAAGAAAAATATACAAACAACAGAGTTAAATGTGCATGTTCATTTCCGTATATTGTATAGGTTTTCTTTACGTTAGTAATATATTAATAGAATAATATATGAATCAGCCATTTCCGATATATTAATGTTTGCAACCCAAACATACGTATGAATAAATTTTGAACCCTAATAAAAAATCCCGACTTCACCTCAAAAATATATTGAATCTATTTAAAAATGTTGAAGATTACTCTGTAATGAAATCGATTAACGGTATCTTTACATAGCTCAGTAAATCAAATCATGTATATACCATTTAGTTCTGTATGTGAATAAGTATAGAATAGTAGGGCACAAAATAACAAGAAATATTTTAATGATATATTTTTTACATTTAGCTGATGAACTAATTACAGTTGAATAGATAAAATATATGTAAATTTAAAGCATCTTCTACTTTATCTGAATTTGCATTAATTTTGCTTCTTATTCTACATTCAAAGGAATACGTTTTATTAAGTAAAAAAACATCTATCAAATAAAATAGGTATGGGTACTCTGAGAGATTTTCAGTACAGTAACTCACTTTTGCAATCAATAAATTTACAGGAATTATCATGTTTATGTGGTTGTATATCTTAGTAAAACGAAAATTCACAAAGAATTAAAAAAAAAATAACAATTGTAGATAAACAATTACATAGAATATGGAAAATAATAAAAGATAAATTTTTTAAAACATACTATGAAGTATTAATATCAAATAGTATATCAAAAAATGAATAAATTTTTAAAAGATCCATAGATACAATTGATACAAAAACAAAAAATATTCTTATTGGAGCAAGATTAAATGGACACAATCATAAACACTGATTCTCTAAACTTTCAGAAACAACAGAAGCATCAGTTCAACAACACGACAGAACAAAAACACAAAACAAAAAACTACAGATACAATCACCTATGAGAAAACAATTCAGTGTAGAATCTGATTCAGAAGTAACCGAAGAATACACAACGAAATTTAGAAGAGATAGTAACGACGAAAATACAACGATAAAAACAAGAAAAACAATAATCAAAAAGAAAAAACCATCATCAGTTGATGAAGGAGTAGTGGTAATTGAAGAAGAAATTGAAAATATAAAATCAACATTACCGTCAATACCAAAAAAACAATTTATCGACATTGAAGAAATCACCGACGCAATAGACATTGAAGAAATTTCTCCCACTATCATACAAGAAGTTGAAGATAATAATGAAAGTGAGACAGACATAAAAGAAGATAATGATACCATAGATAATATAACAAAGAACGAAAAGCAAGATGAAATAAAAATAATCAAAATGAAAGAAAAAAATAAGACACTACAGAAAAAACAATTACAAAAGGATATCGAAATAATAAGTGAGCAAGTAAATACCTTTGAAGAAATAGGTAAAGCAAAAATCACGCTGATTCCAGAAATTCCAGAAAAAGTTATATTCCATGAAACAACAAATAATTTACCTATAATCGAGTTTGCTCAACCTCACGAGGGAGAAGAAACGAGGGAGCAAGTATTGACTGTACTTATAAGAGAACAAGTGACATTGGTCGTTGAAGAGACGCCTAAAGGTAAAAGAAAGAAGACAAAGAAGGTCATTACAAGTAAAAAGGGAGATAAACAGACACAGAAGGAAATCGTAACTATTGAAGAGGACGGAAAGGCTACTATTACAACAATACATGAAACTCCAGAGGAAACAATATTGACAGATGAAACCACTGGTATCCTGCCAGACGTAGAATATGCTACAGGCACGGAAAGTGAAGAGGTTCGCGAACAAGTCACAGTGGTTGTTGAAGATACTCCTAAAGGAAAAATTAAGAAGACCAGGAAAGTCATCACGACCAAAAAAGGCGACAAACAGAAACAGAAGGAGATCGTGACCATCGAAGAGGACGGAAAGGCTCCTGTAACGACTATACACGAAGCTCCAGAGGAAACAATATTGACAGATGAAACAACTGGTATCCTGCCAGATGTAGAATATGCTACCGGCACGGAAAGTGAAGAGGTTCGCGAACAAGTCACAGTGGTCGTTGAAGATACTCCTAAAGGAAAGCGTAAGAAGACCAGGAAAGTCATCACGACCAAAAAGGGCGATAAACAGAAACAGAAGGAGATCGTGACCATCGAGGAGGACGGAAAGGCTCCTGTAACGACTATACACGAAGCTCCAGAGGAAACAATATTGACAGATGAAACAACTGGTATTCTTCCAGAAATAGAATATGCAACGCCCACTGAAAGTGAAGAGGTTCGCGAACAAGTCACAGTGGTGATTGAAGATACTCCTAAAGGAAAGCGTAAGAAGACCAGGAAAGTCATCACGACCAAAAAGGGCGATAAACAGAAACAGAAGGAGATCGTGACCATCGAGGAGGACGGAAAGGCTCCTGTAACGACTATACACGAAGCTCCAGAGGAAACAATATTGACAGATGAAACAACTGGTATTCTTCCAGAAATAGAATATGCAACGCCCACTGAAAGTGAAGAGGTTCGCGAACAAGTCACAGTGGTGATTGAAGATACTCCTAAAGGCAAACTTAAGAAGACCAGGAAAGTCATCACGACCAAAAAGGGCGATAAACAGAAACAGAAGGAGATCGTGACCATCGAGGAGGACGGAAAGTCTCCTGTAACGACTATACATGAAGCTCCAGAGGAAACAATATTAACAGATGAAACAACTGGTATTCTTCCAGAAATAGAATATGCAACGCCCACTGAAAGTGAAGAGGTTCGCGAACAAGTCACAGTGGTGATTGAAGATACTCCTAAAGGCAAACTTAAGAAGACCAGGAAAGTCATCACGACCAAAAAGGGCGATAAACAGAAACAGAAGGAGATCGTGACCATCGAGGAGGACGGAAAGGCTCCTGTAACGACTATACACGAAGCTCCAGAGGAAACAATATTGACAGATGAAACAACTGGTATCCTGCCAGATGTAGAATATGCTACCGGCACGGAAAGTGAAGAGGTTCGCGAACAAGTCACAGTGGTCGTTGAAGATACTCCTAAAGGAAAGCGTAAGAAGACCAGGAAAGTCATAACGACCAAAAAGGGCGACAAACAGAAACAGAAGGAGATCGTGACCATCGAGGAGGACGGAAAGGCTCCTGTAACGACTATACATGAAGCTCCAGAGGAAACAATATTGACAGATGAAACAACTGGTATTCTTCCAGAAATAGAATATGCAACGCCCACTGAAAGTGAAGAGGTTCGCGAACAAGTCACAGTGGTGATTGAAGATACTCCTAAAGGCAAACTTAAGAAGACCAGGAAAGTCATCACGACCAAAAAGGGCGACAAACAGAAACAGAAGGAGATCGTGACCATCGAGGAGGACGGAAAGGCTCCTGTAACGACTATACATGAAGCTCCAGAGGAAACAATATTGACAGATGAAACAACTGATATTCTTCCAGAAATAGAATATTCAACGCCCACTGAAAGTGAAGAGGTTCGCGAACAAGTCACAGTGGTGATTGAAGATACTCCTAAAGGCAAACTTAAGAAGACCAGGAAAGTCATCACGACCAAAAAGGGCGATAAACAGAAACAGAAGGAGATCGTGACCATCGAGGAGGACGGAAAGGCTCCTGTAACGACTATACATGAAGCTCCAGAGGAAACAATATTGACAGATGAAACAACTGGTATTCTTCCAGAAATAGAATATGCAACGCCCACTGAAAGTGAAGAGGTTCGCGAACAAGTCACAGTGGTGATTGAAGATACTCCTAAAGGCAAACTTAAGAAGACCAGGAAAGTCATCACGACCAAAAAGGACAATAAACAGAAACAGAAGGAGATCGTGACCATCGAGGAGGACGGAAAGGCTCCTGTAACGACTATACATGAAGCTCCAGAGGAAACAATATTAACAGATGAAACAACTGGTATTCTTCCAGAAATAGAATATGCTACAGGCACGGAAAGTGAAGAGGTTCGCGAACAAGTCACAGTGGTCGTTGAAGATACTCCTAAAGGCAAACTTAAGAAGACCAGGAAAGTCATAACGACCAAAAAGGGCGATAAACAGAAACAGAAGGAGATCGTGACCATCGAGGAGGACGGAAAGGCTCCTGTAACGACTATACATGAAGCTCCAGAGGAAACAATATTGACAGATGAAACAACTGGTATCCTGCAAGATGTAGAATATGCTACCGGCACGGAAAGTGAAGAGGTTCGCGAACAAGTCACAGTGGTCGTTGAATATACTCCTAAAAGAAAACTTAAGAAGACCAGGAAAGTCATCACGACCAAAAAGGGCGATAAACAGAAACAGAAGGAGATCGTGACCATCGAGGAGGACGGAAAGGCTCCTGTAACGACTATACACGAAGCTCCAGAGGAAACAATATTGACAGATGAAACAACTGGTATCCTGCCAGATGTAGAATATGCTACCGGCACGGAAAGTGAAGAGGTTCGCGAACAAGTCACAGTGGTCGTTGAAGATACTCCTAAAGGAAAGCGTAAGAAGACCAGGAAAGTCATAACGACCAAAAAGGGCGACAAACAGAAACAGAAGGAGATCGTGACCATCGAGGAAGACGGAAAGGCTCCTGTAACGACTATACATGAAGCTCCAGAGGAAACAATATTGACAGATGAAACAACTGGTATTCTTCCAGAAATAGAATATGCAACGCCCACTGAAAGTGAAGAGGTTCGCGAACAAGTCACAGTGGTGATTGAAGATACTCCTAAAGGAAAGCGTAAGAAGACCAGGAAAGTCATAACGACCAAAAAGGGCGACAAACAGAAACAGAAGGAGATCGTGACCATCGAGGAGGACGGAAAGGCTCCTGTAACGACTATACATGAAGCTCCAGAGGAAACAATATTGACAGATGAAACAACTGGTATTCTTCCAGAAATAGAATATGCAACGCCCACTGAAAGTGAAGAGGTTCGCGAACAAGTCACAGTGGTGATTGAAGATACTCCTAAAGGCAAACTTAAGAAGACCAGGAAAGTCATCACGACCAAAAAGGGCGACAAACAGAAACAGAAGGAGATCGTGACCATCGAGGAGGACGGAAAGGCTCCTGTAACGACTATACATGAAGCTCCAGAGGAAACAATATTGACAGATGAAACAACTGGTATTCTTCCAGAAATAGAATATGCAACGCCCACTGAAAGTGAAGAGGTTCGCGAACAAGTCACAGTGGTGATTGAAGATACTCCTAAAGGCAAACTTAAGAAGACCAGGAAAGTCATCACGACCAAAAAGGACGATAAACAGAAACAGAAGGAGATCGTGACCATCGAGGAGGACGGAAAGGCTCCTGTAACGACTATACATGAAGCTCCAGAGGAAACAATATTAACAGATGAAACAACTGGTATTCTTCCAGAAATAGAATATGCTACAGGCACGGAAAGTGAAGAGGTTCGCGAACAAGTCACAGTGGTCGTTGAAGATACTCATAAAGGCAAACTTAAGAAGACCAGGAAAGTCATAACGACCAAAAAGGGCGATAAACAGAAACAGAAGGAGATCGTGACCATCGAGGAGGACGGAAAGGCTCCTGTAACGACTATACATGAAGCTCAAGAGGAAACAATATTGACAGATGAAACAACTGGTATCCTGCCAGATGTAGAATATGCTACCGGCACGGAAAGTGAAGAGGTTCGCGAACAAGTCACAGTGGTCGTTGAAGATACTCCTAAAGGAAAGCGTAAGAAGACCAGGAAAGTCATAACGACCAAAAAGGGCGACAAACAGAAACAGAAGGAGATCGTGACCATCGAGGAAGACGGAAAGGCTCCTGTAACGACTATACATGAAGCTCCAGAGGAAACAATATTGACAGATGAAACAACTGGTATTCTTCCAGAAATAGAATATGCAACGCCCACTGAAAGTGAAGAGGTTCGCGAACAAGTCACAGTGGTGATTGAAGATACTCCTAAAGGCAAACTTAAGAAGACCAGGAAAGTCATCACGACCAAAAAGGGCGACAAACAGAAACAGAAGGAGATCGTGACCATCGAGGAGGACGGAAAGGCTCCTGTAACGACTATACATGAAGCTCCAGAGGAAACAATATTGACAGATGAAACAACTGGTATTCTTCCAGAAATAGAATATTCAACGCCCACTGAAAGTGAAGAGGTTCGCGAACAAGTCACAGTGGTGATTGAAGATACTCCTAAAGGCAAACTTAAGAAGACCAGGAAAGTCATCACGACCAAAAAGGGCGATAAACAGAAACAGAAGGAGATCGTGACCATCGAGGAGGACGGAAAGGCTCCTGTAACGACTATACATGAAGCTCCAGAGGAAACAATATTGACAGATGAAACAACTGGTATTCTTCCAGAAATAGAATATGCAACGCCCACTGAAAGTGAAGAGGTTCGCGAACAAGTCACAGTGGTGATTGAAGATACTCCTAAAGGCAAACTTAAGAAGACCAGGAAAGTCATCACGACCAAAAAGGGCGACAAACAGAAACAGAAGGAGATCGTGACCATCGAGGAGGACGGAAAGGCTCCTGTAACGACTATACATGAAGCTCCAGAGGAAACAATATTGACAGATGAAACAACTGGTATTCTTCCAGAAATAGAATATGCAACGCCCACTGAAAGTGAAGAGGTTCGCGAACAAGTCACAGTGGTGATTGAAGATACTCCTAAAGGCAAACTTAAGAAGACCAGGAAAGTCATCACGACCAAAAAGGACGATAAACAGAAACAGAAGGAGATCGTGACCATCGAGGAGGACGGAAAGGCTCCTGTAACGACTATACATGAAGCTCCAGAGGAAACAATATTAACAGATGAAACAACTGGTATTCTTCCAGAAATAGAATATGCTACAGGCACGGAAAGTGAAGAGGTTCGCGAACAAGTCACAGTGGTCGTTGAAGATACTCATAAAGGCAAACTTAAGAAGACCAGGAAAGTCATAACGACCAAAAAGGGCGATAAACAGAAACAGAAGGAGATCGTGACCATCGAGGAGGACGGAAAGGCTCCTGTAACGACTATACATGAAGCTCAAGAGGAAACAATATTGACAGATGAAACAACTGGTATCCTGCCAGATGTAGAATATGCTACCGGCACGGAAAGTGAAGAGGTTCGCGAACAAGTCACAGTGGTCGTTGAAGATACTCCTAAAGGAAAGCGTAAGAAGACCAGGAAAGTCATAACGACCAAAAAGGGCGACAAACAGAAACAGAAGGAGATCGTGACCATCGAGGAAGACGGAAAGGCTCCTGTAACGACTATACATGAAGCTCCAGAGGAAACAATATTGACAGATGAAACAACTGGTATTCTTCCAGAAATAGAATATGCAACGCCCACTGAAAGTGAAGAGGTTCGCGAACAAGTCACAGTGGTGATTGAAGATACTCCTAAAGGCAAACTTAAGAAGACCAGGAAAGTCATCACGACCAAAAAGGGCGACAAACAGAAACAGAAGGAGATCGTGACCATCGAGGAGGACGGAAAGGCTCCTGTAACGACTATACATGAAGCTCCAGAGGAAACAATATTGACAGATGAAACAACTGGTATTCTTCCAGAAATAGAATATTCAACGCCCACTGAAAGTGAAGAGGTTCGCGAACAAGTCACAGTGGTGATTGAAGATACTCCTAAAGGCAAACTTAAGAAGACCAGGAAAGTCATCACGACCAAAAAGGGCGATAAACAGAAACAGAAGGAGATCGTGACCATCGAGGAGGACGGAAAGGCTCCTGTAACGACTATACATGAAGCTCCAGAGGAAACAATATTGACAGATGAAACAACTGGTATTCTTCCAGAAATAGAATATGCAACGCCCACTGAAAGTGAAGAGGTTCGCGAACAAGTCACAGTGGTGATTGAAGATACTCCTAAAGGCAAACTTAAGAAGACCAGGAAAGTCATCACGACCAAAAAGGGCGACAAACAGAAACAGAAGGAGATCGTGACCGTCGAGGAGGACGGAAAGGCTCCTGTAACGACTATACGCGAAGCTCCAGAGGAAACAATATTGACAGATGAAACAACTGGTATTCTCCCAGAAATAGAATATGCAACGCCCACTGAAAGTGAAGAGGTTCGCGAACAAGTCACCGTGGTGATTGAAGATACTCCTAAAGGAAAACTTAAGAAGACCAGGAAAGTCATCACGACCAAAAAGGGCGATAAACAGAAACAGAAGGAGATCGTGACCATCGAGGAGGACGGAAAGGCTCCTGTAACGACTATACACGAAGCTCCAGAGGAAACAATATTGACAGATGAAACAACTGGTATCCTGCCAGATGTAGAATATGCTACCGGCACGGAAAGTGAAGAGCTTCGCGAACAAGTCACAGTGGTCGTTGAAGATACTCCTAAAGGAAAGCGTAAGAAGACCAGGAAAGACATAACGACCAAAAAGGGCGACAAACAGAAACAGAAGGAGATCGTGACCATCGAGGAGGACGGAAAGGCTCCTGTAACGACTATACATGAAGCACCAGAGGAAACAATATTGACAGATGAATCAACTGGTATTCTTCCAGAAATAGAATATGCAACGCCCACTGAAAGTGAAGAGGTTCGCGAACAAGTCACCGTGGTGATTGAAGATACTCCTAAAGGAAAACTTAAGAAGACCAGGAAAGTCATCACGACCAAAAAGGGCGACAAACAGAAACAGAAGGAGATCGTGACCGTCGAGGAGGACGGAAAGGCTCCTGTAACGACTATACACGAAGCTCCAGAGGAAACAATATTGACAGATGAAACAACTGGTATCCTGCCAGATGTAGAATATGCTACCGGCACGGAAAGTGAAGAGGTTCGCGAACAAGTCACAGTGGTCGTTGAAGATACTCCTAAAGGAAAGCGTAAGAAGACCAGGAAAGTCATAACGACCAAAAAGGGCGACAAACAGAAACAGAAGGAGATCGTGACCATCGAGGAGGACGGAAAGGCTCCTGTAACGACTATACATGAAGCACCAGAGGAAACAATATTGACAGATGAATCAACTGGTATTCTTCCAGAAATAGAATATGCAACGCCCACTGAAAGTGAAGAGGTTCGCGAACAAGTCACAGTGGTGATTGAAGATACTCCTAAAGGAAAACTTAAGAAGACCAGGAAAGTCATCACGACCAAAAAGGGCGACAAACAGAAACAGAAGGAGATCGTGACCGTCGAGGAGGACGGAAAGGCTCCTGTAACGACTATACACGAAGCTCCAGAGGAAACAATATTGACAGATGAAACAACTGGTATCCTGCCAGATGTAGAATATGCTACCGGCACGGAAAGTGAAGAGGTTCGCGAACAAGTCACAGTGGTGATTGAAGATACTCCTAAAGGAAAACTTAAGAAGACCAGGAAAGTCATCACGACCAAAAAGGGCGACAAACAGAAACAGAAGGAGATCGTGACGATCGAGGAGGACGGAAAGGCTCCTGTAACGACTATACATGAAGCTCCAGAGGAAACAATATTGACAGATGAAACAACTGGTATTCTTCCAGAAATAGAATATGCAACGCCCACTGAAAGTGAAGAGGTTCGCGAACAAGTCACAGTGGTGATTGAAGATACTCCTAAAGGAAAGCGTAAGAAGACCAGGAAAGTCATAACGACCAAAAAGGGCGACAAACAGAAACAGAAGGAGATCGTGACCATCGAAGAGGACGGAAAGGCTCCTGTAACGACTATACACGAAGCTCCAGAGGAAACAATATTGACAGATGAAACAACTGGTATCATGCCAGATGTAGAATATGCTACCGGCACGGAAAGTGAAGAGCTTCGCGAACAAGTCACAGTGGTCGTTGAAGATACTCCTAAAGGAAAGCGTAAGAAGACCAGGAAAGTCATAACGACCAAAAAGGGCGACAAACAGAAACAGAAGGAGATCGTGACCATCGAGGAGGACGGAAAGGCTCCTGTAACGACTATACATGAAGCTCCAGAGGAAACAATATTGACAGATGAAACAACTGGTATTCTTCCAGAAATAGAATATGCTACAGGCACGGAAAGTGAAGAGGTTCGTGAACAAGTCACAGTGGTCGTTGAAGATACTCCTAAAGGAAAGCGTAAGAAGACCAGGAAAGTCATCACGACCAAAAAGGGCGACAAACAGAAACAGAAGGAGATCGTGACCATCGAAGAGGACGGAAAGGCTCCTGTAACGACTATACATGAAGCTCCAGAGGAAACAATATTGACAGATGAAACAACTGGTATTCTTCCAGAAATAGAATATGCTACAGGCACGGAAAGTGAAGAGGTTCGTGAACAAGTCACAGTGGTGATTGAAGATACTCCTAAAGGCAAACTTAAGAAGACCAGGAAAGTCATCACGACCAAAAAGGGCGATAAACAGAAACAGAAGGAGATTGTGACCATCGAGGAGGACGGAAAGGCTCCTGTAACGACTATACATGAAGCTCCAGAGGAAACAATATTGACAGATGAAACAACTGGTATTCTTCCAGAAATAGAATATGCTACAGGCACGGAAAGTGAAGAGGTTCGTGAACAAGTCACAGTGGTGATTGAAGATACTCCTAAAGGCAAACTTAAGAAGACCAGGAAAGTCATCACGACCAAAAAGGGCGACAAACAGAAACAGAAGGAGATCGTGACCGTCGAGGAGGACGGAAAGGCTCCTGTAACGACTATACACGAAGCTCCAGAGGAAACAATATTGACAGATGAAACAACTGGTATCCTGCCAGATGTAGAATATGCTACCGGCACGGAAAGTGAAGAGGTTCGCGAACAAGTCACAGTGGTGATTGAAGATACTCCTAAAGGAAAACTTAAGAAGACCAGGAAAGTCATCACGACCAAAAAGGGCGACAAACAGAAACAGAAGGAGATCGTGACGATCGAGGAGGACGGAAAGGCTCCTGTAACGACTATACATGAAGCTCCAGAGGAAACAATATTAACAGATGAAACAACTGGTATTCTTCCAGAAATAGAATATGCTACAGGCAAGGAAAGTGAAGAGGTTCGCGAACAAGTCACAGTGGTCGTTGAAGATACTCCTAAAGGCAAACTTAAGAAGACCAGGAAAGTCATAACGACCAAAAAGGGCGATAAACAGAAACAGAAGGAGATCGTGACCATCGAGGAGGACGGAAGGGCTCCTGTAACGACTATACATGAAGCTCCAGAGGAAACAATATTGACAGATGAAACAACTGGTATTCTTCCAGAAATAGAATATGCAACGCCCACTGAAAGTGAAGAGGTTCGCGAACAAGTCACAGTGGTCGTTGAAGATACTCCTAAAGGAAAGCGTAAGAAGACCAGGAAAGTCATCACGACCAAAAAGGGCGACAAACAGAAACAGAAGGAGATCGTGACCATCGAAGAGGACGGAAAGGCTCCTGTAACGACTATACACGAAGCTCCAGAGGAAACAATATTGACAGATGAAACAACTGGTATCCTGCCAGATGTAGAATATGCTACCGGCACGGAAAGTGAAGAGGTTCGCGAACAAGTCACAGTGGTCGTTGAAGATACTCCTAAAGGAAAGCGTAAGAAGACCAGGAAAGTCATAACGACCAAAAAGGGCGACAAACAGAAACAGAAGGAGATCGTGACCATCGAGGAGGCCGGAAAGGCTCCTGTAACGACTATACATGAAGCTCCAGAGGAAACAATATTGACAGATGAAACAACTGGTATTCTTCCAGAAATAGAATATGCTACAGGCAAGGAAAGTGAAGAGGTTCGCGAACAAGTCACAGTGGTCGTTGAATATACTCCTAAAGGCAAACTTAAGAAGACCAGGAAAGTCATCACGACCAAAAAGGGCGATAAACAGAAACAGAAGGAGATCGTGACCATCGAGGAGGACGGAAAGTCTCCTGTAACGACTATACATGAAGCTCCAGAGGAAACAATATTAACAGATGAAACAACTGGTATTCTTCCAGAAATAGAATATGCAACGCCCACTGAAAGTGAAGAGGTTCGCGAACAAGTCACAGTGGTGATTGAAGATACTCCTAAAGGCAAACTTAAGAAGACCAGGAAAGTCATCACGACCAAAAAGGGCGATAAACAGAAACAGAAGGAGATCGTGACCATCGAGGAGGACGGAAAGGCTCCTGTAACGACTATACACGAAGCTCCAGAGGAAACAATATTGACAGATGAAACAACTGGTATCCTGCCAGATGTAGAATATGCTACCGGCACGGAAAGTGAAGAGGTTCGCGAACAAGTCACAGTGGTCGTTGAAGATACTCCTAAAGGAAAGCGTAAGAAGACCAGGAAAGTCATAACGACCAAAAAGGGCGACAAACAGAAACAGAAGGAGATCGTGACCATCGAGGAGGACGGAAAGGCTCCTGTAACGACTATACATGAAGCTCCAGAGGAAACAATATTGACAGATGAAACAACTGGTATTCTTCCAGAAATAGAATATGCAACGCCCACTGAAAGTGAAGAGGTTCGCGAACAAGTCACAGTGGTGATTGAAGATACTCCTAAAGGCAAACTTAAGAAGACCAGGAAAGTCATCACGACCAAAAAGGGCGATAAACAGAAACAGAAGGAGATCGTGACCATCGAGGAGGACGGAAAGGCTCCTGTAACGACTATACATGAAGCTCCAGAGGAAACAATATTGACAGATGAAACAACTGGTATTCTTCCAGAAATAGAATATGCAACGCCCACTGAAAGTGAAGAGGTTCGCGAACAAGTCACAGTGGTGATTGAAGATACTCCTAAAGGCAAACTTAAGAAGACCAGGAAAGTCATCACGAGCAAAAAGGGCGATAAACAGAAACAGAAGGAGATCGTGACCATCGAGGAGGACGGAAAGGCTCCTGTAACGACTATACATGAAGCTCCAGAGGAAACAATATTAACAGATGAAACAACTGGTATTCTTCCAGAAATAGAATATGCTACAGGCACGGAAAGTGAAGAGGTTCGCGAACAAGTCATAGTGGTCGTTGAAGATACTCCTAAAGGCAAACTTAAGAAGACCAGGAAAGTCATAACGACCAAAAAGGGCGATAAACAGAAACAGAAGGAGATCGTGACCATCGAGGAGGGCGGAAAGGCTCCTGTAACGACTATACATGAAGCTCCAGAGGAAACAATATTGACAGATGAAACAACTGGTATCCTGCCAGATGTAGAATATGCTACCGGCACGGAAAGTGAAGAGGTTCGCGAACAAGTCACAGTGGTCGTTGAATATACTCCTAAAGGAAAACTTAAGAAGACCAGGAAAGTCATCACGACCAAAAAGGGCGACAAACAGAAACAGAAGGAGATCGTGACCGTCGAGGAGGACGGAAAGGCTCCTGTAACGACTATACACGAAGCTCCAGAGGAAACAATATTGACAGATGAAACAACTGGTATTCTCCCAGAAATAGAATATGCAACGCCCACTGAAAGTGAAGAGGTTCGCGAACAAGTCACCGTGGTGATTGAAGATACTCCTAAAGGAAAACTTAAGAAGACCAGGAAAGTCATCACGACCAAAAAGGGCGATAAACAGAAACAGAAGGAGATCGTGACCATCGAGGAGGACGGAAAGGCTCCTGTAACGACTATACACGAAGCTCCAGAGGAAACAATATTGACAGATGAAACAACTGGTATCCTGCCAGATGTAGAATATGCTACCGGCACGGAAAGTGAAGAGGTTCGCGAACAAGTCACAGTGGTCGTTGAAGATACTCCTAAAGGAAAGCGTAAGAAGACCAGGAAAGTCATAACGACCAAAAAGGGCGACAAACAGAAACAGAAGGAGATCGTGACCATCGAGGAGGACGGAAAGGCTCCTGTAACGACTATACATGAAGCACCAGAGGAAACAATATTGACAGATGAATCAACTGGTATTCTTCCAGAAATAGAATATGCTACAGGCACGGAAAGTGAAGAGGTTCGCGAACAAGTCATAGTGGTCGTTGAAGATACTCCTAAAGGCAAACTTAAGAAGACCAGGAAAGTCATAACGACCAAAAAGGGCGATAAACAGAAACAGAAGGAGATCGTGACCATCGAGGAGGGCGGAAAGGCTCCTGTAACGACTATACATGAAGCTCCAGAGGAAACAATATTGACAGATGAAACAACTGGTATCCTGCCAGATGTAGAATATGCTACCGGCACGGAAAGTGAAGAGGTTCGCGAACAAGTCACAGTGGTCGTTGAATATACTCCTAAAGGCAAACTTAAGAAGACCAGGAAAGTCATCACGACCAAAAAGGGCGATAAACAGAAACAGAAGGAGATCGTGACCATCGAGGAGGACGGAAAGTCTCCTGTAACGACTATACATGAAGCTCCAGAGGAAACAATATTAACAGATGAAACAACTGGTATTCTTCCAGAAATAGAATATGCAACGCCCACTGAAAGTGAAGAGGTTCGCGAACAAGTCACAGTGGTGATTGAAGATACTCCTAAAGGCAAACTTAAGAAGACCAGGAAAGTCATCACGACCAAAAAGGGCGATAAACAGAAACAGAAGGAGATCGTGACCATCGAGGAGGACGGAAAGGCTCCTGTAACGACTATACACGAAGCTCCAGAGGAAACAATATTGACAGATGAAACAACTGGTATCCTGCCAGATGTAGAATATGCTACCGGCACGGAAAGTGAAGAGGTTCGCGAACAAGTCACAGTGGTCGTTGAAGATACTCCTAAAGGAAAGCGTAAGAAGACCAGGAAAGTCATAACGACCAAAAAGGGCGACAAACAGAAACAGAAGGAGATCGTGACCATCGAGGAGGACGGAAAGGCTCCTGTAACGACTATACATGAAGCTCCAGAGGAAACAATATTGACAGATGAAACAACTGGTATTCTTCCAGAAATAGAATATGCAACGCCCACTGAAAGTGAAGAGGTTCGCGAACAAGTCACAGTGGTGATTGAAGATACTCCTAAAGGCAAACTTAAGAAGACCAGGAAAGTCATCACGACCAAAAAGGGCGATAAACAGAAACAGAAGGAGATCGTGACCATCGAGGAGGACGGAAAGGCTCCTGTAACGACTATACATGAAGCTCCAGAGGAAACAATATTGACAGATGAAACAACTGGTATTCTTCCAGAAATAGAATATGCAACGCCCACTGAAAGTGAAGAGGTTCGCGAACAAGTCACAGTGGTGATTGAAGATACTCCTAAAGGCAAACTTAAGAAGACCAGGAAAGTCATCACGAGCAAAAAGGGCGATAAACAGAAACAGAAGGAGATCGTGACCATCGAGGAGGACGGAAAGGCTCCTGTAACGACTATACATGAAGCTCCAGAGGAAACAATATTAACAGATGAAACAACTGGTATTCTTCCAGAAATAGAATATGCTACAGGCACGGAAAGTGAAGAGGTTCGCGAACAAGTCATAGTGGTCGTTGAAGATACTCCTAAAGGCAAACTTAAGAAGACCAGGAAAGTCATAACGACCAAAAAGGGCGATAAACAGAAACAGAAGGAGATCGTGACCATCGAGGAGGGCGGAAAGGCTCCTGTAACGACTATACATGAAGCTCCAGAGGAAACAATATTGACAGATGAAACAACTGGTATCCTGCCAGATGTAGAATATGCTACCGGCACGGAAAGTGAAGAGGTTCGCGAACAAGTCACAGTGGTCGTTGAATATACTCCTAAAGGAAAACTTAAGAAGACCAGGAAAGTCATCACGACCAAAAAGGGCGACAAACAGAAACAGAAGGAGATCGTGACCGTCGAGGAGGACGGAAAGGCTCCTGTAACGACTATACACGAAGCTCCAGAGGAAACAATATTGACAGATGAAACAACTGGTATTCTCCCAGAAATAGAATATGCAACGCCCACTGAAAGTGAAGAGGTTCGCGAACAAGTCACCGTGGTGATTGAAGATACTCCTAAAGGAAAACTTAAGAAGACCAGGAAAGTCATCACGACCAAAAAGGGCGATAAACAGAAACAGAAGGAGATCGTGACCATCGAGGAGGACGGAAAGGCTCCTGTAACGACTATACACGAAGCTCCAGAGGAAACAATATTGACAGATGAAACAACTGGTATCCTGCCAGATGTAGAATATGCTACCGGCACGGAAAGTGAAGAGGTTCGCGAACAAGTCACAGTGGTCGTTGAAGATACTCCTAAAGGAAAGCGTAAGAAGACCAGGAAAGTCATAACGACCAAAAAGGGCGACAAACAGAAACAGAAGGAGATCGTGACCATCGAGGAGGACGGAAAGGCTCCTGTAACGACTATACATGAAGCACCAGAGGAAACAATATTGACAGATGAATCAACTGGTATTCTTCCAGAAATAGAATATGCAACGCCCACTGAAAGTGAAGAGGTTCGCGAACAAGTCACAGTGGTGATTGAAGATACTCCTAAAGGAAAACTTAAGAAGACCAGGAAAGTCATCACGACCAAAAAGGGCGACAAACAGAAACAGAAGGAGATCGTGACCGTCGAGGAGGACGGAAAGGCTCCTGTAACGACTATACACGAATCTCCAGAGGAAACAATATTGACAGATGAAACAACTGGTATCCTGCCAGATGTAGAATATGCTACCGGCACGGAAAGTGAAGAGGTTCGCGAACAAGTCACAGTGGTGATTGAAGATACTCCTAAAGGAAAACTTAAGAAGACCAGGAAAGTCATCACGACCAAAAAGGGCGACAAACAGAAACAGAAGGAGATCGTGACCATCGAGGAGGACGGAAAGGCTCCTGTAACGACTATACATGAAGCTCCAGAGGAAACAATATTGACAGATGAAACAACTGGTATTCTTCCAGAAATAGAATATGCAACGCCCACTGAACGTGAAGAGGTTCGCGAACAAGTCACAGTGGTGATTGAAGATACTCCTAAAGGAAAGCGTAAGAAGACCAGGAAAGTCATAACGACCAAAAAGGGCGACAAACAGAAACAGAAGGAGATCGTGACCATCGAAGAGGACGGAAAGGCTCCTGTAACGACTATACACGAAGCTCCAGAGGAAACAATATTGACAGATGAAACAACTGGTATCATGCCAGATGTAGAATATGCTACCGGCACGGAAAGTGAAGAGCTTCGCGAACAAGTCACAGTGGTCGTTGAAGATACTCCTAAAGGAAAGCGTAAGAAGACCAGGAAAGTCATAACGACCAAAAAGGGCGACAAACAGAAACAGAAGGAGATCGTGACCATCGAGGAGGACGGAAAGGCTCCTGTAACGACTATACATGAAGCTCCAGAGGAAACAATATTGACAGATGAAACAACTGGTATTCTTCCAGAAATAGAATATGCTACAGGCACGGAAAGTGAAGAGGTTCGTGAACAAGTCACAGTGGTCGTTGAAGATACTCCTAAAGGAAAGCGTAAGAAGACCAGGAAAGTCATCACGACCAAAAAGGGCGATAAACAGAAACAGAAGGAGATCGTGACCATCGAGGAGGACGGAAAGGCTCCTGTAACGACTATACATGAAGCTCCAGAGGAAACAATATTGATAGATGAAACAACTGGTATTCTTCCAGAAATAAAATATGCAACGCCCATTGATATTGAAGAGGTCAGCGATCTAGTTAGTCGACAAGTTGAATTTACAGAGGAGACCGTCATCGGGGATGAAACATCTGATAACAGTATTTCCGCTATCAAGAAGAAAAAGAAACAGTCTGTAAAAAAGAAACCTGATTATGAGGAGTGGATGGAGCCGGAGTATAGCTCTCCTGTGCTAGAACCAATGCCTGAAAAAATTCCATATGTGGCGACAAAAAAGAAAATTAAGAAAGTCCAGTCTATACCTCAGGAAGAAAAACTTATTCCTTTGATAATTGAAAGGAAGGGATTTACACCAAAAAAATTTGACGTTATAAGTCCAGAAAGTACCGTTCAATTTGCTACAATTAAACTTAGAAAAACCGTAATACCGAAGCGGCGAGACTCCAAATCGACAAAAATACCTACAGTCAGACTAAAAAGTAGGATGACGTTAATAACAGACTGGCCAGTACCGCTTCAAGTACCGATAATTACCATCATGGAAGAAAATCCAATCAAAAAAGGTGTTTTATCAAGAAATGTTGAGGAAGCTTTGAAAAAGGTTAAAAAAACACATCGTCCTTCGAAGATACCGGATAGTGAAATAACAGATTTAGAGAAGTTAGATAAGGAATTCGAGGAACTAAAGAAAACACCATTGGAGAAAGTTGAAGATAAATCAATATACCAACGTCAGCCAAAGCCCAAAGAAAAATCTCCAGATAAACCAAAGCATTTGAAACTTGGAAAAGGTAAAATCCCAGAAAAAGAAAATACACCAGAAATTGTAAAATTGAAAAAGATTCCTGGTCAGGAAGAACAAGATATTGTAGAAGTACCTAAAAAATCTAAATCAACAGAAAAGCCCGTGGATCGGAAAGAAATTCAAAAATCGGAGTCTCCAGATAAAATAATATTTGAACCATTCCAACAGTTAGATAAAGAAAAGCCAGAATTGGAAAAATACGAACCTGCAGAAACTAAAAAGCCAGACGAGATTCCAGCAGACAAGGTTCCTGATAAATATAAGAAACCTGAGAAGAAGAAGAAAGATCAAGTTATAGAAGAAGCACCAATTATTAAGGGTATCCCAAAACCACTTGAAACTGAAGAGCCTGAAGATGTCCAGTTTAAAATTCGCCAAAAAGAAATGCCAACAGATATGCCTGAAGATATAACTCTGAAACCTTGGGCGAAAACACCATCGGAAAAAGAAGCTCAAAACGAAGCACCATCTAAATTGAAACTTGACGATATATCGCATGGAACAGGATCATATGACGATAGATTACCGAAAATAGCGAAAGACAAAGAGGTACCTATTAAGAAACGTAGAAAGAAGACAGCCGATGAAATGAAACTTGACGTTGATTACGATAATGTACATCCAATTTCACAACATGAAGTTAAACGATCTGGAGATATAGAATCTCCAGAATCTATTCCTAAAACGCGGAATGAAAAGATAGTCATTGATAATGAAGATAATTACGAAAAATGGGTTGAACCAGATACTTCATTATTGCTTGAGGTGATGCCTGAGAAAAGTTCTTACGTTTCAGAACGTTGTAAAAGTAAGAAAGAAGATTTTTCTATGGTTAATAATGAAATCGTGTCGTCAACTGATGATGGTTACCTTAGTACAATTAATGATATAAATCACTCACCTTTATCACACACCAAACCTATATACAGAAATTCCAAACAAGTACAAGATATCACTAGTCCCCGAGAAGGTAAGTCTCCTTGCGGATTTTCCATAACTGCTGGTCTAAGAACTTTTATCATTATTGATATATAGCGTTTCTCACAAATATTTTCTTTATATTACTAATTGTCTGATTGATAATCACTGAACTTTTGATTTCTTCTTTTAGGTTCGGTAGAAGCTGCTATGGATATTTTAGATTCCAAGGTAAACACAATCCTCATAATCTTTTATATGATTATATATTTTGTAGTATTTCATCATAATATTATACTAGGTATATAAATAATTTTGCAATAAGAGGTATTCTTTTTCCCTAAAATTATATACTTTCGTATTCTCACTTATTATGGTACTGTAATTCTATACATCTTTTGCATCTTATTGAATCTATACTTCTTATTGAAAATATTTAAGCACATGACTTAAATTGTAATATGAAAAATTCTTTCTTTACTGCCATAATTTAAGGAGGATCAGAAGTTACATGAAATTGCACAGATCATGATAAAACTAATAACTATAGTAGATTAAAACATGAAAAATAAACAGAACATTAGGCAAAAAAGTTAATACATGTAAAATAAATATTGAGAAACCTTATTCCAAAATTTAAGTGAAGGTCACTATTGAAAAATATAAGAAATCAGTCAAAATGTAAACAAAAACTCGGGATCATTGGTCATGCTAGGTAATAGGTGAAGCTTGGTGTGGTGCGCCTGGTGACAGTGGGTCTCCCCACACTGCTTACGCAGCTGACTGCCCTAAAGTTCCTTCAAACTTGATATCATAATATTTGCTTTTATTACTTGATTTTTATCCTTACAGTCCACACGTTGATATAATGCTGTACTATTTATTTTTAGTGTGTGTGTGTGTGTATTCTGAATGGCTATTGGGATAAAAATCGAGAGCATAAAGTTCTTAAATATGGCAGTGAAGAAAAATATCGTTATAAAAGCAGTAAGCGCTATTGGTTATGGTACTATATAATAATTTTTTTCGTCCTACATTTTTTAAACATGATTCTACGCGATGATTGAACGAGATTTATCGATTATGTATTCTAATTTCGTCAAGAGCACTTCGCGCGCTCATCTCTTGTTTGTATTGACAAGTAATATTTAGTTTCATGTTTCATGGTGAAATAAAATATTTAAATACACTACTTACATAAAACAATTATATGCTTTAAAACGGTTACCATACATCGATATTAACTGTTGAATAAAAATCCAATTACGCTAATATTCGTTGATTTTATAATAATTTAAAATTTAATAACAACATATTTTTAGTTGTTTAGTTATATAGGTAATGGACATGTACCATATTAATTTTTTTCAAATAAATTGAACCGCCAACTGCTTCTGATAATCACAAATGTTATTAAAACTGTTTTTTTTCAACTGTTGTTTCATGGATATTATAAGAGTTTGTTTACATTTATAATTTGAATTTCAAAAAAATTTTAAATAAATTGACGATACTGAATCTGTCAAAACAAATCACAGTACTTCATATAAAATATCAATTTATAATTCTTTTTATTATTAATGATATTTATTCAAAGCTAAAGTTTCATTCAATAAATTTATATGTCTTATAAATAAATGTAATTAGAGTGTATTAAGATTACTTTATCGTATTATTTTAAGATTAGGCCATTAAAAGCATGTGGGCGTTATTGTTTTTTCAAAATCTATAATTTGTCTTACAATTTTTTATGTATTTAATTAATGCAGTATAAATCAATGTAACAAAATTTGGTCATTATTATTCAATGCCGATTTAGTCATAACCGTGATTCACGTGACTATGTTTAGTCATTCAGATCATGAATAAAATCACTTGGTAGCTCATAACTTTTTTATATAGGAATGCTTATTATTACATGCTCTATATTACTTTTTATTCGATTGTACAATCTAAACTTTATAGATAACTCAAACAATTGAAAACTATCATTTTATAAGTTTTAAAGTGATTTGGTACTCGACATTTTATTTTTCTACAATCTATTCAAAAAGGTCAAAAATTGTTAATATCACAATAATATTATATCGAGAAACTATCTTGATAATAATCATATTTTATTCTTTTACAAAGTATAGGATTCTATTTGCTTTTACGTTCTCTTAAAATAAGATGCCCACACATTTTTGTTTAAATATCAATGTAGATAATTATATTAATCAAAATATACAAGTAGAATAATTAAAAGAATACTTACTTGCAGTTGATTCAAACTTTATAAGAGTAAATCCGTATTCAGGAAAATATATTTAATGATAAATTATTGCAGTGAATCAATGTGCATTAATATCTTATTTATTGTTTTTTTCAGATAACACAAACACAACCGGTAACTTTTGAAGATTCACAAATATATCAACAACCCCAAGTCAATGAAACGATCGTATCATTTGAAGAATATTCAGAAGAATCTTTAAATGAAACGTTGAAAATTATACCAAATCAGTTACAGGCTGAAAAGAAATTAATTCCATTAGAATCGATAGAAACAACCAAGTCAATTGCATATTCAAATACTGATACAGCAAATATTGAAACTATACCAAAATGCGAAGCGACTCAAATAATTGATTTACGAGAAGGTTTAGAGATTTCAGAAATCGTTTCTGATAACCAATATACAGAAATAGACTTTCTAGAACTAAGTCATAATATCAAGCCTACTGACATAGAAGAGCTTAAGGAGATTACTATAATCAAACCTTCTGTGGCTCACATGCCAAATCAAAATGAAGAACTTTTATCAGTCGACACCACTAATAATTTTAAACCAGAAATTGTTACTCAAAACATTGCAAATTTACTGGTGGAAACGCAAGAAGGTATTGAATCAACCGAATATGTATCACAATTAATGACAACAGATATACCTAATGAAATTTCTCAGCAATATCAAGCTTTAAAAACTATTGTCGACGACGAAAAATCAATTGTAAACATTTCTACCAAAGTTAAAAAAGATAAAAAGAAAAAAGTAGCTTTTAAAATGGAAGATCATGAAGTTCTATTTCCCGAAAAAATAATTCACGATGAAACAACTACTATTACACCTCAAAAAGAAGAGTATCAGCCTATTACAATTAAAGAAGAGCACGAGCATGTAACTATAATAGAAGAAGATACGCCAAAGGGAAAAAAGAAAACGAACACCGAGATAATTATAGCCCAAAAAGGAGATAAACAAAAGAAAGAAGAAATCGTCACAGTAGAGGAAGTAGATAAAGCACCAGACACAACAGTTTACGAAATTCCAGAGGAGATCATCATCGTGGATGAAACAACTGATAAAGAAATTGCCACTATCAAGAAGAAAAAGAAAAAGACTGTAAAACAGAAACCTGATTATGAAGAATGGGTGGAGCCAGAGTATACCCCACCTGTGCTAGAGCCAATGCCCGAAAAAATTCCATACGTGCCAACAAAAAAGAAAACTAAAAAGGTCCAGTCAATACCTCAGGAGGAAAAACTTATTCCTTTAAAAATTGAAAGAAAGGAAATTAAACCACAGAAATTAGAGTTTAAACAACCAGAAAATACCGTTCAATTTGCTACAATTAAACTTAAAAAGACTATAATACCGAAACGACGAGACTCGAAATCAACAAAAATCCCCACAGTTAGGCTAAAAAGTAGAATGACGTTAATAACAGACTGGCCAGTACCGCTTCAAGTACCAATAATTACCATCATGGAAGAAAATCCAATCAAAAAAGGTGTTTTATCAAGAAATGTTGAGGAAGCTTTGAAAAAGGTTAAAAAAACACATCGTCCTTCGAAGATATCGGATAGTGAAATAACAGATTTAGAGAAGTTAGATAAGGAATTCGACGAACTAAAGAAAACACCGTTGGAGAAAGTTGAAGATAAATCAATATATCAACGTCAGCCAAAGCCCAAAGAAAAGTCTCTAGATAAACCAAAACATTTAGAACTTGGAAAAGGTAAAATTCCAGAAAAAGAAGATACACCAGAAATTGTAAAATTAAAAAAGATTCCTGGTCAGGAAGAAAAAGATATTGTAGAAATACCTAAAAAATCTAAATCAACAGAAAAGCCCGTGGATCGGAAAGAAATTCAAAAATCCGAGTCCCCAGATAAAATAATATTTGAACCATTCCAACAGTTAGATAAAGAAAAGCCAGAATTGGAAAAATACGAACCTGCAGAAACTAAAAAGCCAGACGAGATTCCAGCAGATAAGGTTCCTGATAAATATAAGAAACCTGAGAAGAAGAAGAAAGATCAAGTTATAGAAGAAGCACCAATTATTAAGGGTATTCCAAAACCACTTGAAACTGAAGAGCCTGAAGATGTCCAGTTTAAAATTCGCCAAAAAGAAAAACCAACAGATATGCCTGAAGATATAACTTTGAAACCTTGGGTGAAAACACCATCGGAAAAAGAAAGGCAAAATGAAGCCCAACCGAAACTAAAACTTGATGATATACCGCATGGAACAGGATCATATGACGATAGACTGCCGGAAATAGCGAATGACCAAGGGGCACCAATTAAAAAACGTAAGAAGAAGAAGACACCCGATGAATTAAAACCTGATCAAGTCAAAGCCGATATTGAAACTGAAGATGAACAACCTACGTTATCAGCTCAAGTCGTAGAGCCGATTATAGCTAACGAATCACTGGATGAAAAAATCATACTAGATAAAGACTCTCCAGAAACGATTCCTAAAAAAAGAAAACAAAAGAAAATCGTTAAGAAAAAACCAGATTATGAAGAATGGGTTGAGCCAGAGTATACTGCACCTGTATTAGAGCCGATGCCCGAAAAAGTTCCATATGTACCTACAAAAAAGAAGGATAAAAAAGTAAAGCCGGAGGCAGAAAGCAGCACACTTGTACCAATGAAAATCGAAAAAAAGGAGATTAGGCCAACGAAATTAACATTTAAAGAGCCAGAAGATACCATTCAATTTGCAACAGTCAAACTTAAAAAGACTGTAGTACCGAAACGAAGAGACTCCAAATCAACAAAAATCCCCACAGTCAGACTAAAAAGTAGGATGACGTTAATAACAGACTGGCCAGTACCGCTTCAAGTACCAATAATCACCATCATGGAAGAAAATCCAGTACAAAAAGGAGTTTTATCCAGAAATGTTGAGGAAGCTTTGAAAAAGGTTAAAAAGATACGTCGTCCTTCAAAGATACCGGATAGTGAAATAACAGATTTAGAGAAGTTAGATAAGGACTTCGAAGAACTAAAGAAAACACCGTTGGAGAAAGTTGAAGATAAATCAATATACCAACGTCAGCCAAAGCCCAAAGAAAAGTCTCCAGATAAACCAAAACATTTAGAACTTGGAAAAGGTGAAATTCCAGAAAAAGAAGATACACCAGAAATTGTAAAATTAAAAAAGATTCCTGGTCAGGAAGAAAAAGATATTGTAGAAATACCTAAAAAATCTAAATCAACAGCAAAGCCCGTGGATCGGAAAGAAATTCAAAAATCGGAGTCTCCAGATAAAATAATATTTGAACCATTCCAACAGTTAGATAAAGAAAAGCCAGAATTGGAAAAATACGAACCTGCAGAAACTAAAAAGCCAGACGAGATTCCAGCAGACAAGGTTCCTGATAAATATAAGAAACCTGAGAAGAAGAAGAAAGATCAAGTTATAGAAGAAGCACCAATTATTAAGGGTATCCCAAAACCACTTGAAACTGAAGAGCCTGAAGATGTCCAGTTTAAAATTCGCCAAAAAGAAAAACCAACAGATATGCCTGAAGATATAACTTTGAAACCTTGGGCGAAAACACCATCGGAAAAAGAAGCTCAAAAAGAAGCACCATCTAAATTGAAACTTGACGATAGATCACCAGAAATAGCAAATGACCAAGAGGCGCTGATTAAGAAACGTAAGAAGAAGACACCCGATGAATTAAAACCTGATCAAGTCAAAGCCGATATTGAAACTGAAGATGAACAACCTACGTTATCAGCTCAAGTCGTAGAGCCGATTATAGCTAACGAATCACTGGATGAAAAAATCATACTAGATAAAGACTCTCCAGAGACGATTCCTAAAAAAAGAAAACAAAAGAAAATCGTTAAGAAAAAACCAGATTATGAAGAATGGGTTGAGCCAGAGTATACTGCACCTGTATTAGAGCCGATGCCCGAAAAAGTTCCATATGTACCTACAAAAAAGAAGGATAAAAAAGTAAAGCCGGAGGCAGAAAGCAGCACACTTGTACCAATGAAAATCGAAAAAAAGGAGATTAGGCCAACGAAATTAACATTTAAAGAGCCAGAAGATACAATTCAATTTGCAACAGTCAAACTTAAAAAGACTGTAGTACCGAAACGAAGAGACTCCAAATCAACAAAAATCCCCACAGTCAGACTAAAAAGTAGGATGACGTTAATAACAGACTGGCCAGTACCGCTTCAAGTACCAATAATCACCATCATGGAAGAAAATCCAGTACAAAAAGGAGTTTTATCCAGAAATGTTGAGGAAGCTTTGAAAAAGGTTAAAAAGATACGTCGTCCTTCAAAGATACCGGATAGTGAAATAACAGATTTAGAGAAGTTAGATAAGGACTTCGAAGAACTAAAGAAAACACCGTTGGAGAAAGTTGAAGATAAATCAATATACCAACGTCAGCCAAAGCCCAAAGAAAAGTCTCCAGATAAACCAAAACATTTAGAACTTGGAAAAGGTGAAATTCCAGAAAAAGAAGATACACCAGAAATTGTAAAATTAAAAAAGATTCCTGGTCAGGAAGAAAAAGATATTGTAGAAATACCTAAAAAATCTAAATCAACAGAAAAGCCCGTGGATCGGAAAGAAATTCAAAAATCCGAGTCCCCAGATAAAATAATATTTGAACCATTCCAACAGTTAGATAAAGAAAAGCCAGAATTGGAAAAATACGAACCTGCAGAAACTAAAAAGCCAGACGAGATTCCAGCAGATAAGGTTCCTGATAAATATAAGAAACCTGAGAAGAAGAAGAAAGATCAAGTTATAGAAGAAGCACCAATTATTAAGGGTATCCCAAAACCACTTGAAACTGAAGAGCCTGAAGATGTCCAGTTTAAAATTCGCCAAAAAGAAAAGCCAACAGATATGCCTGAAGATATTACTCTAAAATCTTGGGCGAAAACGCCATCGGATGAAAAAAATTTAGACAAACAAAAGGCAGAGATACTTATCAAGAAACAATCAAAAAAGAAGCCTAGCGTTGGAGAAATCGAAGAAGAAGTTACTATTCCAAAACCAATCGAAGAGTCTGTTGAAATAAAGAAGCCGGAGGAAATGACCGAAAAGGTCACAATTAAGAAAAAGCCAAAAAAGACTCCTGCTTTAGAAGAGGCCGGCGACGAAATAACTGTGAAGAAACCAACAGTGCTCGAAGAGGAAAAAGTGACGGAGGAGATAACCGAAGAGGTACTTATCAAGCAAAAACCGAAAAAGAAGCCTAGCGTTGGAGAAATCGAAGAAGAGGTCACTATTCCAAAACCAGTCGAAGAGTCTGTTGAAATCAATAAGCCAGAGGAAACGACCGAGAAGGTCACAATTAAGAAAAAGCCAAAAAAGACTCCTGCTTTAGAAGAGGCCGGTGACGAAATAACTGTGAAGAAACCAACAGTGCTCGAAGAGGAAAAAGTGACGGAGGAGATAACCGAAGAGGTACTTATCAAGAAAAAACCGAAAAAGAAGCCTAGCGTTGGAGAAATCGAAGAAGAAGTCACTATTCCAAAACCAGTCGAAGAGTCTGTTGAAATAAAGAAGCCGGAGGAAACGACCGAGAAGGTCACAATTAAGAAAAAGCCAAAAAAGACTCCTGCTTTAGAAGAGGCCGGTGACGAAATAACTGTGAAGAAACCAACAGTGCTCGAAGAGGAAAAAGTGACGGAGGAGATAACCGAAGAGGTACTTATCAAGAAAAAACCGAAAAAGATGCCTAGCGTTGGAGAAATCGAAGAAGAAGTCACTATTCCAAAACCAGTCGAAGAGTCTGTTGAAATAAAGAAGCCGGAGGAAACGACCGAGAAGGTCACAATTAAGAAAAAGCCAAAAAAGACTCCTGCTTTAGAAGAGGCCGGTGACGAAATAACTGTGAAGAAACCAACAGTGCTCGAAGAGGAAAAAGTGACGGAGGAGATAACCGAAGAGGTACTTATCAAGAAAAAACCGAAAAAGATGCCTAGCGTTGGAGAAATCGAAGAAGAAGTCACTATTCCAAAACCAGTCGAAGAGTCTGTTGAAATAAAGAAGCCGGAGGAAACGACCGAGAAGGTCACAATTAAGAAAAAGCCAAAAAAGACTCCTGCTTTAGAAGAGGCCGGTGACGAAATAACTGTGAAGAAACCAACAGTGCTCGAAGAGGAAAAAGTGACGGAGGAGATAACCGAAGAGGTACTTATCAAGAAAAAACCGAAAAAGATGCCTAGCGTTGGAGAAATCGAAGAAGAAGTCACTATTCCAAAACCAGTCGAAGAGTCTGTTGAAATAAAGAAGCCGGAGGAAACGACCGAGAAGGTCACAATTAAGAAAAAGCCAAAAAAGACTCCTGCTTTAGAAGAGGCCGGTGACGAAATAACTGTGAAGAAACCAACAGTGCTCGAAGAGGAAAAAGTGACGGAGGAGATAACCGAAGAGGTACTTATCAAGAAAAAACCGAAAAAGAAGCCTAGCGTTGGAGAAATCGAAGAAGAAGTCACTATTCCAAAACCAGTCGAAGAGTCTGTTGAAATAAAGAAGCCGGAAGAAACGACCGAGAAGATCACAATTAAGAAAAAGCCAAAAAAGACTCCTGCTTTAGAAGAGGCCGGTGACGAAATAACTGTGAAGAAACCAACAGTGCTCGAAGAGGAAAAAGTGACGGAGGAGATAACCGAAGAGGTACTTATCAAGAAAAAACCGAAAAAGAAGCCTAGCGTTGGAGAAATCGAAGAAGAAGTCACTATTCCAAAACCAGTCGAAGAGTCTGTTGAAATAAAGAAGCCGGAGGAAACGACCGAGAAGATCACAATTAAGAAAAAGCCAAAAAAGACTCCTGCTTTAGAAGAGGCCGGTGACGAAATAACTGTGAAGAAACCAACAGTGCTCGAAGAGGAAAAAGTGACGGAGGAGATAACCGAAGAGGTACTTATCAAGAAAAAACCGAAAAAGAAGCCTAGCGTTGGAGAAATCGAAGAAGAAGTCACTATTCCAAAACCAGTCGAAGAGTCTGTTGAAATAAAGAAGCCGGAGGAAACGACCGAGAAGGTCACAATTAAGAAAAAGCCAAAAAAGACTCCTGCTTTAGAAGAGGCCGGTGACGAAATAACTGTGAGGAAACCGACAGTGCTCGAAGAGGAAAATGTGACGGAGGAGATAACCGAAGAGGTACTTATTAAGAAAAAACCGAAAAAGAAGCCTAGCGTTGGAGAAATCGAAGAAGAAGTCACTATTCCAAAACCAGTCGAAGAGTCTGTTGAAATAAAGAAGCCGGAGGAAACGACCGAGAAGGTCACAATTAAGAAAAAGCCAAAAAAGACTCCTGTTTTAGAAGAGGCCGGTGACGAAATAACTGTGAAGAAACCAACAGTGCTCGAAGAGGAAAATGTGACGGAGGAGATAACCGAAGAGGTACTTATCAAGAAAAAACCGAAAAAGAAGCCTAGCGTTGGAGAAATCGAAGAAGAAGTCACTATTCCAAAACCAGTCGAAGAGTCTGTTGAAATAAAGAAGCCGGAGGAAACGACCGAGAAGGTCACAATTAAGAAAAAGCCAAAAAAGACTCCTGCTTTAGAAGAGGCCGGTGACGAAATAACTGTGAGGAAACCGACAGTGCTCGAAGAGGAAAATGTGACGGAGGAGATAACCGAAGAGGTACTTATTAAGAAAAAACCGAAAAAGAAGCCTAGCGTTGGAGAAATTGAAGTTGAAGTGAGTATTCCAAAACCAGTCGAAGAGTCTGTTGAAATAAAGAAACCGGAGGAAACGACAGAGAAGGTCACAATTAAGAAAAAGTCAAAAAAGACTCCTGCTTTAGAAGAGGCTGGTGACGAATTAACTGTGAAGAAACCGACAGTACTCGAAGAGGAAAAAGTGACGGAGGAGATAACCGAAGAGGTACTTATCAAGAAAAAACCGAAAAAGAAGCCTAGCGTTGGAGAAATTGAAGAAGAAGTTACTATTCCAAAACCTGCTGACGATTTATTGGATATGAAGGAACCTGAAGAATTGACTAAGGATGTTGTTCTTAAGAAAGAACCTAAAAAGTCGCCCGTTTCAGAAGAAGCTGGTGAATTGACCTTAAAAAAACTGATGCCAATAGAAGATGATGTTCATAGAGAGGTGGGAGATGTTGAGGAATTTACATTCAAAAGAAAACCACCAAAAATGATACCAAAACCGATTGAAGAAATCTATGAAGATATAACCATTAAAAAGTTACGTTCTCGTAAGAAAGCTCGTCCTGAGATTAAAGAAGTCACTGAAACTGAAACTGTAATATTCAAACCACGTACGGTTAAATCTAAAGAAGAAGTTGATCAAGAATTTAAAATATCCTTGAATACTTATGAGGAAGAAGATATTTCAATGTCTGGTAAAGTAAAAATCAAGTCGAAAAGGAAAAAGCCAACTTATTCTGAAGAAGCTGGTGAAGAAACTATAAGAATAATTCAGCAACAAGACGATTCAGGTTCTATAATAGAAGAAATCATTTACGACGATTCTGATCACGAGGACTATAGTATTGATGAGTTAGAAATTGAAGAAATGAATGTACCGTTTAGACGTAAATCTGAACAAAAGCCGCTCAAATATTCTATTGAAGACATAGAAGATGACAATATACAACTGACTTTGTCAACGAAGCAAAAGTTTGACGTTGAAGAAACTGACGAATCATTAGCTCTTAAACTCAAGCCCAAACGAAGAGTTTCCACTTACGAAGAAGGTTCGATTATACTATTTTATATTTATGACATCTCTAATTGTCACCTTAGTACTACTTTCAGAATGATATAACTTTTTCTCATATCTCACATCTGTTGTAAGTAGCGTATTTCCTTTCATATTTTCAATAACCTATTTCTTATTACTCCATACATTCCTCAACTACATTAGAAAAGAATATCGGTAGAATAGCATTATTTATATTACTGTTATATAGTTATAAAAGTACTCATTCATTTTTGTATTTTGTTGCAGAGGAAGCTACGCTCAGTATCCAAAAAGGAGAACAAATTGAAGAAGAAGGTATACTATTAATTATTAAAATAAACAATTGTTTGGCTTTGAAAAAGTGTAATTTCATAAAATCTGTTAATTTAGAAAATAAAATTTTACGCAGAATTATTTAGTACTGAATGATACGTATCGAACGATATAACTCATAAAGCTACTGTAGAGCTTATTATACAGTTATTTATTAAATTTTTTAAATTAAAATATAGATTTTTCTATTATTTTTTTACTTATTGAATTAATAAAAAACTATAAATACTGGTATATTTATAAAAAGTCACTCAATTCTTTTAAAAAAACATTAATAAGTTCTGTTTCTTATTTGAACTGAGTATTTTATTTGTTTGTTCATTAATATCCTTCTTTTTAAATTATACATTACTCAGTATTGTCAATGATTCCTGTTCATTCGACAAATTAAGTGGATAACGATGTAAATTTAAATTACTTATGATTTTTACACCAGAATAGTTGCAGTTATAATTTAAAATAATGATAAAAAATATTACAGATGTAGAATATGTTGTTCAAGATGGTGATGTTATGATTTCCATTTGTTCGTACGTAGCTGAAACTGATGAAGCAATTAATCTTGTTGAGGGGGAGAAAGTTTACATCATAGGTAAAATTTCGAAAATTTTAAAATTTATTATATGTATTCATTAAATTAAAAACATATTAATTAACAGAGCATACCAATTTGGATTGGTGGTTTGTGAGAAAAAGTCTTACTCAAGAAAAAGGATGGGTACCAGCACAATACCTTCTTGATGATGCTCAGTATACTATATATTTACAACGTAAACTTCATGAAAAAATTGATAAATTACCAGTATTTGAAAGTATGTCTTATTATTAAAATTACATTCAAATTTTTTTATCTATTCTAATACAAATTAATATATAAATTGCAGAACCTGGTCCAGGAGAAAAAACTTCTGCTCCTCGTTTCATTGAAAAATTACAGCCTATACATACACCAGATGGTTATACAGTGCAATTTGAATGTCAAGTTGAAGGCGTACCACGGCCACAAATTACTTGGTTCCGTCAAACCGCTATAATAAAACCATCTCCAGATTTTCAAATGTTCTATGATGACGATAACGTTGCGACTCTTATTATAAAAGAAGTATTTCCAGAAGATGCAGGAACATTTACGTGTGTAGCAAAAAACACAGCTGGGTTCGCATCAAGTACGACAGAATTAACGGTAGAATTGCCATTATCTGATCATGGATCAGATATTCTTTCACGAAAGAGTTTATCTAGGTAATATTATATATTTATCAAAGTTTTAAATGTAATAATAACATTACTTGTTGTTAAAAATATTTGCAAATTAATAATAGTTCACTCGAATAGTTATTATATGATTATATTATTTTGTTGGCTATTTTTGATACCATTACGATCTTTTAAATTTATTATTTAATTCTCTGATTGTTTTAATAAATAAAGTCATATTGTGCCGTGAAGTGCAATCTATTATTAAATTTGTACTTGTGATGTGAATACGACCACAAACCCGAATGAGTGATCAATATTTAATCATAGTACTTATAATTACAATAATAATGATATTGTTGGTTCTCCATTTAAAAATAGCTTATCTCTATAAATGTTTTAAAATCCCAATAATTACTACATAGTTTTAATGCTCATGAACGCTATTTATCTTGTTTTATAATGTATAATAAATGAAATAAAAATTTTAGGTATTTTGAACAGGTCAAGGGGAAGAATTTTCAATCCATTTGTTTTATTGAATGAAACAAAATTTTCTTTGCTTTTTTTTAACTGTTAGAAAATAATTATTTACAAAAAGTGTTAAAACTTAGTCAAAGTAAATGAATTATCTAATTGTAATGTTTTATATGGTATAGATGAATCAAATCTTACAAATATTCAATAATAACTTCGTATCATCATTTTTAAACAGTCAACAAAATAGTTATATTTATATGTATAACAACTAGAATTTGGTTTTCAGAGAATCGTCTTTAGCAGACATTCTAGAAGGTATTCCTCCAACATTCTCACGACAGCCGAAAGCAAAGTGTGTAAAAGAAGGGGACGATGTGATTCTTGAATGCCGATTAGTAGCAATACCTGAACCAGATATTACTTGGTATTACAATGAGAAGAAAATAACTACTAAGGAAAATATAACTGTTGCAACGGAAAGCGACATGCACATGTATTGCAGTATCATACGGATTACTAAAGTGCAAAAAGAACAAGAAGGAAAATACACAATTGTTGCTAAAAATAGAGAAGGAGAGGCAATTATGGAAATACCGCTGAAGGTATTTGAAATCCATTGATTATGATAAATTTTTTTATTAATACACTATCGTGCAATAAAGGAAAAATTGTACATATTTTAAGGAAATTATTTTATGTTTACTTGTTCACACAGCAATTATTTTTTGGGAAAAAATATAAATATTTTTAATTCTGCGCAGGATTATATAATCTTGTTTCTGTAATAATTTTTTACAATCTTGATTTGAATGTAGCTGCGTTATAAGTCTGTAAATCGTACGGATAAAACTCGAATGTTCAAGAAACGAATGAAAATTTAACTTTTTTAAAAATTATAAGGATTTTTATTTGAGATGATAATATAAATTATTTTCTGGCAGGTACAAACTGGTAATAAAGAACCACCCGAAATATTAGAACCATTGAGACCTTTCGCTATAAGAGAAGGGGAAACAGTTGTGCTTTCGACACAAGTAGTTGGAAACCCACAGCCATCCATTACTTGGTTCAAAAACGGAAAACCACTTCGTGACTTAACACCGAAGAAGGATGGAAACTTGAATACTTTAACTATAATACAGCCCCATATTTCCGATTCAGGAGAGTATTCAGTAATAGCAACGAATAACATTGGTACAGCAGAAACTAAAGCAACCCTCACAGTCGAAGGTATATTTTTATAAAGGTTACGGTGTGCAAGTATTAATACTTATTTCTCTGCTTATTTATTGACACTCATAAAAAATCTTGAATGCTTTACAAGCTTAATAAACTGGATTTATGTGGAAAATGGCTTTTTAATGCTTTGAACAGTTGCTGACAAATGAGATGCCACCCTTGCTCTTGCAAAAAAATTAGCTGAGAAGGATTTTGTGGCCCTATTAGCGGCTAATGGTATAAAAATCATAACTTCAAATATAACCCTCATTTTCAAGTTTGCTTTTGAATAGTTTGTAAATGACTCTAGAATTTTATATTAATTTCTCGCGTTTAAAAATGTTATTCGAATATTATTTCTTATGTACATTAATTTTGCAGAAATGCCAAGTGGTGCTCCAGAACCTCCTCTATTTACTGAAAGATTCCAAGGCTTAACTGTACCAGAAAAGGGTACGTTTGTGCTTGTAGCAAAAGTTACTGGAAATCCTGTACCTGAAGTAACATGGCTCAGGTAATTGTTAATTTGAATAAAAAAAATGTTAGAGATATAATTTTCAATAGATTATTTTTTCAATAATTGATCTCACGTATTTTCAGAAATAACAAGCCTTTGGACAAGTCACCAAATGTAGCTGAAAGTTATGACGGTGAAAACATTGTTCTTGAAATAAGAAATGCTGATTCTGAAGTCGACGCTGGAGATTACAAATGTGTGGCGGTGAATCCAATTGGTAAAACATCCCACGGTGCTAAAGTCATTGTAGATGTGGACAAAGTTACTTTTGTAAAGAAACTAGAACGAAGGAAAACACTTGATGAATTCACTACTTTAGAACTAACTTGTGAAACTTCACATACTGTTTCTACCACATGGTGGCACAATGATAAAGAAATTAGTGGTATGGATCATCGAGAAATCATACAGGAAGGAAGAATGCACAAGCTTGTAATCAAAAGAATTAATCATACTGACGAAGGTACTTATAAATGTACAGTTAAAAATCAAAAGACATCCTGTGATGTGACGGTTGAAGGTAAATATTGCTACATATTATTCTTATGATTTGGTTGCGAGTTAAAAGATACGGAGATTGAAATTAATCAATTTTTATAGCGACGAAACCAGAGTTTGTGAGAAAATTAGAAGACTTTGAAGTAACGGAAAGAGATGAAGCAATATTGGAAGTCGAAATAACATCACCGACAGCAGAAGTAACGTGGCTTAAAGACGGAATTCCACTGTCTACAACTATAGAAAAGATTAAATTTGTTAAAGAAGGAACCATCAGGAAGCTGCTAATCAGATCAACTTCTATTCAAGATGAAGGAGAATATATATGCAAACTTTTAGATGAAGAATGTACAGCCGAAGTAACCGTCATAGGTGAGCAATTAGCTGCCATGGTTGAATTTGATTTATGCTTTTTACTATTAAACGAAAATTATTAATTAAAAATTGTTTTTATAAACAAAATTTTTCAAAAATTTTATTGCAAATTAATTATTTAAAATCTAACCAGTAAAAATATATGTTCTAGAATTACCACCTGAAATAATAATAAAACTGCAAGATACCACGGTAGCCAAGGGTGAAAATGCAACGTTTCAAGTTGAACTTACAAAGGGTGATGCTCTCGTACGTTGGTACAAGAATGATCAAGAGCTACAGTTTTCAGATCACATACAACTGTCTATAGACGGAAAACGACAGCAATTGAAAATATTTAATGCAGAGCCTAAAGACGCGGGCACTTATTCGTGTAAGGTTGGCAACCAAACATCTAAAGCTAAATTAACAGTCGAAGAACCGGGCGTTGAGTTCATTAAACGTTTGCCAGAAGTAACATTAGTTCCATTAAACGAAAACGCCACGTTTGAAGTACAGCTTTCTAAATCAAACATTCCCGTTAAATGGTTGAGGTAAGTTACTCATTTTTATAATACATTAGACATAATTAGAGTAATTAATCTCGTTTGAAAAGACTGTCATTTTAAGGTATTTGTTGAATTTTAGGAAAGGACAGGAAATCCACGAATCATCAAAGTATGTAATCATAGATGATGGACCAGTAAAACGACTCATAGTTAAAAATTGCACAGTCGAAGATGCACTAGAATACAGTGTACTTGCTTCCAATGTTAAATCTTCTTCCAAGCTTAAAGTTGAAGGTAAGTTATTGAATAACTTAACATACATTTGATTTTATTATAGTCGTATCAATAATTATATGTATTATTTTAGTCATGGAAGCACCACCTACCATCAGCGTTGATTCGCCTAAGATATACAAAGCCAAAGTTGGTGATGATATTGAAATGTGTGTAAACTTCACAGCTGCACCAAAACCAACTGACGAATGGACTGTAAATCAACGTGTAATTAAAAAATCCAAACGTGTCATACCTACGGTGGATGAAGAATCAGCAACACTGACCATCAAAAAAGCACAAAAAGAAGACGTTGGCGACTATAAATTGAAATTAACAAATGTTAACGGCGATGCTACTATAAACATCAAACTCATAATCATGCGTAAGTTTGTTTCTAAGTTATAATTATTGATTTGAATATTTACTTTATTAAATATTGGATATTAATGGCACGAAAATATTTCTTTTCAAATTAATAGATGTGCCAAGTACTCCTGGAGCTCCTAACCCCACAAACATAACCGATGACAGTGTTACGTTAACATGGGATGAACCAAATTTCGATGGTAATTCACCAATCACTGAGTACATCTTAGAATATCAAGAAAAACAAACAGAAACGTACGTACTTTTAATAATGACATGCAAAGCTAGAAAAATTCGTAATAATCTGAAAAAAAATGTCGATTTTCAGATGGACCAAGGTGTCGGAAGAAATAACAGAAACAACGCACATTGTCACGAAATTGACTACCAACACCGAATATACATTCCGCACAAAAGCTGTTAACTCAGTTGGGCCTAGCGAACCATCACCTGAGTCGCAGAGCATTTTAATCAAAAAATCACCCATAGTACCTGAGACTGAACCAGGAGCACCGAGGGGACCGCTAGAAGTATCTGGTATGACCAAGACGTCCTTTACAATTCAGTGGCAACCACCAGAAAGCGACGGAGGATCACCAATTATCGAATATATTGTTGAAATGAAAGAAACATCAAAGAAAACATGGAAAAAGGCAAATATTGAGAAAGCAAATTAATTTCTTTCATCTTAAAAATACTAAAAAAACAATTTTTCTTTTCAGATTGGATCAACAAAACAAGATATAACACATTTAACAGTATCGGAATTGATAACCGATTGCTCATACGACTTTCGAATAATAGCTAGAAACAAAATTGGTGCTGGACCACCATACGTATCTGAAGAATCCATAGTAGCTGGTAAAAGGCCAAGTGAGTAGACCGACAAAAATATTAATGTTGTTGATTAATAAACTTTAATTGTTTACACTTTTTATTTGCTACATTAACGCTTAGAAATAACAAAACTTTTTGAAAAAAGTATACACGCTTTGCTTGGATCTTTTCCCGAAACAAAAATTATTATATGCAAAAGTAAGTTTGGGCTGATGCATATGTAATTCGTTTTTCATTTATCTGATTCACTCATTATATTATTCAACTATATTATTAATGATTGCATTATTTGATTGAATTTTAGCACCGCCATCGCCACCCATAAATGTTCATGTTACCAATATCACAAGTCGAAGTATTACTTTAAATTGGTCGCCACCAACAAGTGACGGAGGATCTGAAATAACTGGTAAAATAAATAGTTTTATTTTTCACAATATTTTTGTGAAATCAATGTGATCAATCTTCAGAATTAAAAAAGTCAATATTGATATTGAATTGTTTTTTTTTTATTACACAGGCTACGTAGTTGAGAAGAGGACATTGACTGGAAAAGGATCGCGATGGTCGAAAGTAGTAACTCTGGATGGTTCTACGTTGTCTTACGTCATCGAAAATCTGAAAGAGAGCGAGTTCTTATTCAGAGTGTTTGCTGAAAATAGTTTAGGATTGAGCTTGCCAACAATGTCTGAACGTGTTTTACTCAAATCACATGCCAGTAAGATTTTTTTCACAAAAACATGTCTTTGTTTTCTTTGATTTCAATATGAATGATTTACAATTGTCGCAAAATTCTACAAGAATTTTTTTCACTTTTAGACGTTCCATCACCACCAACAGCACCATTGGAAATTAGGCAGATTGCTGGGAACACGATATCAATTGGATGGGGAATACCAGAATTCGATGGTGGCGCGCCACTAGAAGCTTATAAAATCGCCATCAGAGATGTAAGAAAGACCATGTGGATGGAAGTTGGCAAAGTTAAGGCTGAAATACAAAAATTAACCATCAAAGATCTGCAAGAAAATCACGAATATTACTTCAGAATTTATGCCAAAAACGAAGTTGGTTTCAGTGAGCCACTGGAATCTGAAGATTCCTTCAAAATTGTACCAGCTTCAGGTAAAGCAATCGAAACATTTGTTGATTAAAATCCTCGCTGAAATCGTTTTATTTTCAACCGAGTTTCATTCTCATAAATTGCACTAAACAAATTATTTTACCATCCACCTACAGAGTTAGCAGTAATTGAGCCAGTCGCCGAGGCTCCAGATCGTGCAGATGCCGAAACATCCTTGAGTTACAGCACGGAGAACACAAGCTCCTGGCTTCGCGATCATAATATGGACGCGGACATCCACTCATACGCCAGGGCACGACTATTGCGAAAGGATGAGTACTTTTTCCGCATTTGGCATTACGCCAAGAAACTATTTGAATAAAGTCAAAGCATTTCCACGAGTAGCGCGAGCTCGTCCCGCGTTTGCTCATATCACTTCTGTTAATTGTATATGTGCACAGATATTTATTTATTTTTTGTTTTATTTTGTACTACAACGAGCACGCGCATCTAGAAATCACGAGATGCGCGTGAACGTTAATTCTGTAGCAAGACTTGAAGATAAAACTTTTAAACTTACTATTTTGTAAAAAGAAAAGAAAGAAGAATGGGGACAGCAAAGACCATGTTATATCTATGTCCTATCTATAAGTAAAAGTATTTTAGGGGTACCGGAGGCGTAAATATTATTGTGAAGCTGTGCAGTACCAGGCGAGTGAACAGTCTAGTCAGAGTAAAAAGCCTTTTTTCACACTGCGTCCTTTCGAGGACGAGATGAAAAACAAAAAAAAACACAAGAATAGTATACACAATCCACACTTCGTTGACGTCTAACTGTTCCAGTTATTGAGATTTTTATTTAGAAATGCTAAGAGACTTAAGTTTTAGCAATACAACTTTGGACTTCAGTCCTTTTACGATTTCCAAAACCTTTCAGCTAAATCTTACAAAACCCCTCCCTCCCCAAAGTAAAAGTGCGTAAGCTCTTGCAAATAAATAATATTTTTCAACACTGATGTGCGACGAGTAAAATGTGATAATTATTAACGTTCGCTCGTTGGAGTAAAGTTTGTTACTTGTATAGGTTGTAAGAATTTTATTGAGAAGACGTTATAATGAGCCTTGCAACGTATTTTATTGTATGTATATTGAAACTACCGTATTTCTTATATATTTATTAATTGTTACTGTTAAACTAATTCATTGCTCCATTACCATTACGTTTAAAAGATTATATAAACTATCTCCAATGTAATTTTTAGTCGATACAAATGTGTAAATCAAAGCGAGCGAAAGAAAAAAAACACGAGACGCTCAATCGATAGAGCTGCATCATCAACTTTGATAATGTATTTAATATGTAATATGAATAATTTATTTTTCCGTAACTAAAAGAGAAATGCCACTCAATGTTGGTAGCCCGAGACGTAAAATATAGGTGCAATCAACATCGTACAATAACCAATGTTGCGTCGCATACTTTTTAAATATAATGTATCCTTAACCTGTAAAAAGCGATTAAATTATTACACAATATTACATATTTTGTATTTATTTTAGACTTTTATTGTCCCACTCTTTCATCAATGAAATGAGCTTTAATGCATGTATAAAAAAGAGTCGAGTATAATCCTTTTGCTCTTTCTTTTATTACAAAACTAATTCGAAATTCGAAAATCTAACAACTATTTTATATCTACACTTTTAAAAAAGTACAAGATCGATTTCAAATACAATGTTGACTGTGAAATAATTTTTCTTTTAATATTTTCCGGTTGAAATATTACTGGACACGTAGAGCTACGTGTATATAATTATTTTTCATCCTTTACTGTTCTCGCGAATATCGATATCACTTGAATGAAATTATACGACTTGGTATTTTTTTATGAATTACAAATTAATTTTGTCATTAGATCAAAAAACTACGATGAAAGTTTATCGTCAAGCTGATCTTGCTCAAATAGTTTCACATCAACGTAAGGTACCGCAACGTAAGACAGAAGAAGTCTAAGCTGAACATCTCTATAGCAGCTCAAGGGCGAGTTAGCTGCAGCTTACAACCGGTATATAAAGTATTATACAAATACACAATATAGAAACAAAATTTTTTGTATGACAGAATAAAATTGAAACTGAAATATTTTGTTTTTTCTTTATAAAATCTGAAACCAAAAGTTGCGACGCATTTAAAAATAAATTGTTAATAATATTTATTTAGAGGCGTAGATTGTCAAAAATTTCTTTTAAAGCAGAAAATGACATTAGTGAAAACTAATATCATGAGATATTAAATAAAAATATTTTGCTAAATATCTGTTGACCTAACACAGTATTTACGTAGTTCGATTTTAGCGTTATATTGTCATTATCTATTAAATTGGCAACCCGGAGTGCTGTTTATTCATAGATAATGCGAGATTCACAGTAATACAGTGTAATCGCGTTACTCTGTGATATATTGAAGTCGATGAAACAGCGTTTCTTAAAATAGAGCCATTAGCGTCGAGAAAAATTGAGCGCAGACCGCTCGTTGAGAAACGCTTTTACGGCTCAATTGTCTTCGATTAACTGGTGTAAATATGAATTTATGCGCGTCCTTTCGTTCGAATATTTGAAGAAAAATCGAGTACTCCGAGAAAAGCACGGAGCACAGATTTGTACATGTGGACTGGATACTCAAGGGAGAGGGTATTTTTGTAGACAACTCAGAAATTATTACCTTAATCATTTTTTTCTAATTTAGTTTCAGATTTTGTGTGTCTATAGGTCTACGTATACAATTAGTTAATAATATTGCCTAGAAATACGACGAACTTGAATCATATAAGGTGGAAACGATTATTTTGGTTATAGAGAAGAAATAAACTACGTAACAATATAAAATTTTGAACCGTGATTTGTAGAAATAATGAAATGTGTACGAGAAAAGAAAATTCAACCTCGAGTGAACTATCTTCATAATAGAAGTTAATGTTTTATACAAGCTTTTTGTACTTTTATAAATATGCATTTTATATACATACATATAAACAGTTTTCACTAGTATAAAAATAAACAAAGGCTTCATATCTGATTAATATATTGACCCAACATTATTATAAAACATGAAACAGAATACAGCATTACACACACACACACGCACGCACGCGTACACACACACAATTTCGTTTCCTTTTATCTACTCATAATTGATCAATAATGCAAGATAATAACATAAGATTCCTTTCCAAAGTTGTAAATACTTAAAAGCGTAAATTTAAAGCTTTCAAAAAATATACAACATAAACATTTGATTCAATCACAAGAATGTCGATAAAGTAGAATTCACCATTGTTCAGACATGGTAATATGACCGACTCAGCTGTTCTACCATTAGATGTTACAAATGGTGAAATTAGAAAAATATATATTCAAATATTGAGCAATACAAGACCACATTGCTGTTTTGTTTTAGATATTTAGTTTTTGGAAATAAATTAATAAAAAGATTATCGGATAAACGAGTAAATTAAAGAATAAAGAACCAGCTACAAATTTTATTTCGTTTCGTTTAAATATGAAAAACGTTCACGAATTTCAAATTAATTTGTTCTTTTTCTTAACCAATATATAATTACAATATAAAAAGTGGAAGAAAAATATTTAATGAACTACTTAGGGCAAATAAATATAGAAATAGGAAGAATTTTTTTTTCAGAAATTTTATTATTTACGTACACTAGCCGACTACTAAGCATGTGGTTCATCACATGCCTTCGGACACAAATAAGAAGTCATATGAACGAACGCTGTCCGTACAATAGCTGCATTTATCTGAGTCACATTTTCTGTCAGCACACAGGCCATTTTTTCTTTACAAATGACAGTGAATGCATGTCTGGTTGACTGTGAATTTATTATGCATGTATCATCATTATCATTAGTTTAGTTATTTAATTTTTTGTCTTTTTTATTTTTTCACTTGATGAGCTCGTTTTGAATATTGGATATAACTTTATCCCGAATTATTCGTCTTCAAATATAATGCGTTACATTAAAATGTATGTAATCTAAAAGTGTAATCGCATCGAAGCGCTCGACTTTTCGTTTACAACGACGAAAACAGTCTTCGTTTTTCTTACATTTCTATATAAATGTGTAACATAAAATGGCTGAAATAAATTATATTTATCAATTAATATCAACACAAAACAGCATTAGTAATTGGCAACAATTTTCTCGTTTACCACAGTTCAAGGAATTGAACTAAATAATCTTCAATAATTTATTATAATTGAATCAAAATAATATTGCGAAATCACTTTATAATAAAATTTATACTTTCACGTGATTTTACATAAAGATTTGCAATGAAAATGTATTTGTATTTCTATCTAGAAATCATATTTAAGTACTTACATCAAGTTTATTTATGCACGAGTAAACGTATTTTGATTTGATATAAATATTTCGCCAAGTCTAATAAAATATTCTTCCATTCAATAAAATATGTTAAAGTCTAATAAAAAATAAAATAATAATATGAACATCACAATGACATGATATACGTAATACATGAAAAGTGAAAAATAAATATATTTATATATATATATATGTATATATATATATATAACGATCGCATTCGCGCGAGAAGCAAAAAGATCGATCACTCCGAAGCGACGCGACCAAATATTTCTTTATCTTTATTTGTATAGCCGTATTTATATATTTATATACATGATGAATAATCGAGACGAAAATCTCAATTCATCGCTTGATTGCCTGACAACGAAATAGAAAATGTGAAATGATTACGACAGAGCAAAAAGAGTAGTGAGTTGAAGAGAAACGCGACTGGTTGAACCCACAATACTCTGATTAATGGAAAGTACAGTGCCTAATAAGTTACGATATATTGCACATTTAACAACAGTTAAGTTTTCCTTGTCTCTTGAGTACTCGAGTATAGGAAGATTTCTTTTCGTTTTTTGTGTCAAGAGTCAGCCTCATTACTTAATGTTATTTAATTTATATTTCGTTTATTAATTCTATACTCTCATATCCTTATTTCATTCACTCTCACATTTTCGCACTATTGTATATAATATTTATATGTCTTAGTTGATTCATATAGAATATTCACTCCGACTTGTGTCTATACACTTTATTTCCTTTTATTAACGCTCGCCGTAATTCGGCTCATTCTGTTAGTCACTCAGTGCATAACATAGCTACATTGAAATCACTATATATTTTCAATTATACATAATCAGTAGGTACTTTTGACATCATTCGATGTATAATTGCCTGTTTCTCACTTTCTTTACGAGGTAAAATATTTCGTGAAAATCCGTGTAGTTTTTTCCAATTTATTCCTTCATACTAAATAATTGATTACGCTATTATTTATCAGTTGTAATATGAAGTGCGTTTTCTGGAAATAGGTAGATAGAAAGATTTTATGTTGTTTCTATTTTCCTTGATGACATTGATTGTATCAGATTGATTTTTCTACCTGCATTAGATTGTTAGACCACATAATTTTAATTATTTTTAAAATCATAAAAATAAGCGCTTTTGATGAGAAATCAATATAATATTTTTGTTTCGAACGACCTAATTCATAATATGTATATAAATTTATACAAAATTTACAATAATCCACTATGATAAAGAAAATATATTACAATAAAATTTCCGTGTTACAATTGTCTAAATTAACATTTATTACTAATTTTTAAATGTAAAACATCTAATTACACAAAAATGTAATGAATGTTTTTAGTACGTTTTCAGTTCATGATATAGAAATTCAAAGTACAGCTTTCACAATTTTTACGAACTATTCAAAATGAACCCTTTGAGCTCGACAAAAAAGAAAAATGAGAAGGAAACGGTGTCAAAGGAATTTGTCATTATCTCCTAAGCCGATTATTGCAGATCGTTTCTCACTCATCTTCTTCGATAGCGTGGGAGATTTTCACTCGTTATACCTCTTTTTTGGATTCTAATTATCATCATCTTCTTTTTTTCGTTGTTACGCGTAAATCAGAGCTTTATTATGTCAGTCGCATTTCAGTAAGTATCCATGCACAAAGGAGACGGGGGATTCGCTGTCTGAATTATCATTAAAGCATACATTACATTCTAACTCTTTTCCATACTTTCAATTCTCTTACAGTAAAATTCAACTGTCATATGAGACGTTCTTGATTAACAGAGTTTGAAAAACTTTTCAAAAGTTTATTTGCCCATCGTTGTATTTTACTCTGAGAAAATGTATTCCATTAAATTATTGCTACTGGCATTTAGTTTTCTTCGTTGCATTAAATATAAATAGTCGTTAACTAATTTTAATTTCCAGGTGAATATTTGTTACAGATCAATCCGCAAAGTAATTGTGAAAAAAATAAAACAGAGATAGAGTGAAGGTGATATAACAGACTGTCTCTTTCGTTCACAATATCTCGTACATGTCGGTAGATGACGCTACGAGTTACTCGTTGAAAAAATCTTTAGGCCATAGCAGCTTATTTTCAATGCTTCTTTCTTCAAAAGAAATCCAAACGCTGCTGTTAACTATGTTACGTTGTTTTCATATCACTATAAATCCAATGAATTATCATTCTGTAATGTAAATAATTGGTATCATTGGAACTAAATTGGACTACAAAGAATTAAGTAAGGATTTAAAAAAAACTGTGTATGACTCTAAGAAAGAGAGAAAGGATTATATTAACCAAAAGTGTACCTTTAGACCGAGGCGTGTAATGTGTTAGTTTGCGGAGCCGTTGAGTAGGGTGTCGTCTCGGGCGCCCCGGCAGCTGGCTGCAAGCTCAACTGCAGCTGATGTTGCTGAGCTTTCGCCCTCAAGCAGGCAATACTCTCGTTTCTTAGCTGCTCGGTATCTTGATGTAAACCTGATTCGACATACAAATAAGCATTTACATATTTAAACATTTAATGTCACGTAAGGAATAGTTGAAATATTAGTGAAATGTCTATTTCATATTTTATTATCTTTTAAACATTAATCGTTAGTATTTTGAAAGGACGGTAAATGAAATGGATTTAATTATTAACTCATCGATTATTCTTATATAACGAGTTTTATTAATAAAACGGAAAAATAATAATGATATACCTAATAATAAAAAGAACACTTTAATTAAAAGAATACAATTAATTATTAGAATTAACTTTTTTATGAAAGAAATATAAACATAATAAAAATTGGAAGACAAGATTCGTGACATTTTCTTATTTTCGAAAAAGTATTAATTTCTGAAAAAAAGTCTAACAAATTTACCAGAAGACGAGGATGGACCCATGCCGTCTTGACTTTCCTGTCCACTTTCGGAGCTGGTGGGCCCACCTTGGTGATGGTTATGGTGGGGCGGCGTAGCGCTGCCGGCCCCGTGATCATTGCCGCTATCGTCACCGGACTTGAGGTGTTCCGCCGCCTCGATGGACTTGCGGTGCATCCCTACGGAGCCACACTCAATCAGATCGCGTAGTCGTTTATTTTCACTGTCTTGATTAAAGCTGCTTGTCTTTGAGGATTGCGCTGATAGAGACGAACAGAAAACACACGGCGAGTTGCCGAACAAACAATTGCTTTCTCTTTCTCTTTTATATTGATGGATTTTAATTTACTCTTCAATACAATAACTTTTTTTAAAATCAAATATTTTGATTGAAATTCATAATGTGACTAAAAATTTTTTTTTCAATACATCGTTTCAGCCAATTGAAAATTCATTCACTCACGAAAGTAATTAAGTGTACAGATTAAGTTTCTTTTGGGAAAGATTTAATGGTAAAGTTTACTTGCTTTTCCGAAATCCTCGAAGACTTTGTAACTTTAATATAGACATTGAAATGGCGCTTTAACAATTGTACATGTAAGCATACAGAGCACATTGAATGATAGCACATTTAATAAAAAATAAATATGATACGTGGCAAATTAGAAAGTAAACGATTTCGAGCATAAAGACTGTCACAAATGATAAATTTTGAACAGCAATCGAGCAAGCAAAGCGGTATGAAAAAAAAAAATTTGTATACGATTTTAGAATCTTTAATATTACTTTATTACGAGGAACTCCGTTTTATACGCCATTTTTTTCTATAATTTTGTTGTAATCAACAATATGTATTCTTTTTCTCACGATCTTATGCGCGTACTCAACACGGAATCGACAAATGTCAAGTTTGTAAGTTTTTTTAAAATTTACAATCTGTTCGAGTCTTCGATTTGCTTTTGTTCTCAAGCCGAGCGATTCAGCCATGATCAACGTGTATGATTTTATGGCCTCGCGAGGGGTCGAACCGAGCCTACATTGTTTCAATATTCATAGCTATCGCGGCGCTGGTTAACACTTGTTTTCGAGATTTTTCTGCCTTTTACTTTTAAGAAAAAGAGACTAGCCCAGTGCGACCGTCGCGTAGTCAAGCTCAGTTAGCTGAGCAGTGAGCGTTGTCGCTAAACTTGTACTTTCTTGTACCGTTAATTGCATGAATAAACTTGTGATGTATGTCAAATACAACGACCCTTCGAAAATAATTTACTTCCCCTAGATTAATTTCTATACGGAGAAGCACTATCGGAGTATTAATGAACAAATTGTATGCTCGATATTCTTAGTTTTATAATTAAAGTTTAAATTACTTGTGTTCCGAACAAAAATATTTTATCAAAAAATCTTTCATCCAAAACAAACTTAAATAATGCAATAAAAAAATGAAGTTAACAATACAATCAGAATCGATTTACGTAAGTCATTTGTAACTTTGAGCATTATTTAAAGAGTAAAAAAGAAATGTACCTAAAAGCCAGGGTGCAACAGACTCATTCTCCTTCGCACTTTTGAGTATAGTCTCGGGTAACGGCAGCGAATGTCTCACCATCGCGCCGTAGAGGCCGTACTCTGCCATAATGGTACTCCTCCCCCAGCACTTTTCAGTCTTACGCCATTTTGCTCTCCTGTTTTGGAACCATACCTGCAACAGAATGATTTTATTTTATCTCATTTGAACTCAATTCAATTGTAACATCGATTTCGATATCATTAGAGTACAAAATTTTACGAAAGTGAAAAGTCAGGGCATGTATTCGAAGAGTATTTATTTAATTATAAGTTGAATTGATTAAACTATAGAACCAAATATTAGGCTATATAGTATTTCACAAATTTGATTTCGTATTATAAAAAACGAATATTGATTGCAACGTTTAGAATCACTCTACGTCAGCACACCAAAAGCTCATCAGGCAAAAGATAAAAAGCAACACGCAAAAGAGAAAGGCATGCATGAAAATTGAGCTGGTCACGATGTCACAAAACGAAATCTTTTCTCGCTAATTATAGGCCATCTACTGGCCATTAAAAATACGTGAAAAAGTATTTTCAGATCCGGAAACCATTATACACCCAATTAGGGGTGGGTTTGCGCGTTCGCTTTCAATGCTCGCTCGTCTCTTTTTTTTCTCCCTTGTACCTCGGTCGCAGAGTCTTCACGGTTAAGTAGTCGAACAAGAGATGCGGGTGTTCGTTATCCTATTTTCCTTTTTGCGAATGCCGCTAAAAATAGTCGCTAATGATCTAGCCCTGCACTTACATAGAGTATACGTAGGACCACCTAACGCGCGCCGCGCGCGCTGGTTGTGGTCGCGTGCCGTAGTCCTCGCTCGGGTCACGTAACAGTATCAATTTTAACGATCGCCCGCGTGTGAACATGTGCGTGCACGAACTCGATGTGGTCTTGCGAATGCGCGCCGCTGCAACGACCAAGTATGATGATACTGTTTATCCAGCTGCTACTCAAATGTAATTTATACGGTGCTCGTTAGCATATGTCGGCGATGACTCTGGTTATTTCGACTGCTTGTCAAATCAAAATTACAAGAATTCTCCTATAATAATACTATACTGGCGCTTATACACTGTACATCTTAATCTGTTATCACATGGTAGCTTCTCTGATGAAATATGGCGAATGATCACAAATAGACTTTCAATTTGAAAGTATAGTACCTTCATAAAGGCTCGACGAGAACAATCAGGATAATTGAACGTTACAGTCATAATCGGCAATGGGAAATCAATCGACAGCGTTTTGACAGGCACAGCTTTAAACACATCAAACCCATTCAGGCTTGCCGTTGTAGGCCGCGTGAAGTAGAACTCGCCATACTCTCTCTTTTTCGCACCAATGTCACGCGCAAAATGCAACTCGTGTACGTGACTATCAGTCATTTAAATGCCGTAACCCAGCTCCGTTCGTATGCCAGCAGAGAGAGAGAGAGAGAGAGAGAGAGAAAGAGAGAAGAGAAGGGGGACACGCCTCGGGGGCAGGGCGTGCACCAATTTGTAGCAACAATGCTAAAGTCACCGGCAGAATTGGGAGCGTAATTCGAATGAATGCGCGAGAGCGCGCGCGCACGTTGCCCTGTCAATTTATCCTGGCAGGCTCACGCTTAGATTTTAACGATCCCGCAGCATAGTCTACCAGAGAGAGCTTCGGTATTTTTTCTCCTCGCACGTACATTTCGTGTTATTTGAAAAGTGCGCGCGCGCCTGTCCGGGTAATGATTAATTTTCTAGCGCACGTAATTGTTCATCCATTGTTATTGACCAAGTGCTTGTTATGTCTTCTGCCAGCGATGCATATAGATATGTGTTTTATTACTTTGAGTCAACTTTTCGAAATATCTACAAAGCAAACTCGATAATATCCGGTAAATCTTCTCGAATTATAGGGCAGATCGACTCAAAAGAATATTGCTTCGAGGCCATAAAATTGTAGCGAAACCAACTTTTCCAGTTAAAAATTTTTCATGAATGAGATTGGAAACTTTTAATTGTTACCCGCGCGTCAAGTTCAGCTGCACAAACGATGAAAAAGAGAAAATTTATGATATACAGAATCAAGGAAATAAGGGCGGACTCGGCTCGAGGATACGGAAGTTGAGTTATCGGGATCAGCCTGCGTTTTCATGGCGATTCATTCTGCCAGGCCGCGCCGGATGTCGCACCTCCGGGCGATCCGTAACCGTTATAAACCCGTGCTATAAGGAGGTATATACGTTGTGAAATTTCATGTCGACGGAAATAATAACTACAAATGAGATTGAAATATAATTGAAATATAATTGAAAGTTACTTTTTGGATAATTATCTGCTGAAAATGGTATCTGGTAATTACGAGTACAGTTCCATTTAAAAAAAATGTATAGTTGATATACGGTTAATCACGTAAAACTCGAACTAGAGATCTGACAAAATTTGGATTACTTATCAGTTAGCTAAAAGCAAAAAATTGTAATCTTTGTACAAATACTATACTGGATGATAGATTACTAGGATTTGAAAATTAAACATAAATGCGATGAAAACAAATTTCACTGGCATAGAATAATTAAAACATGAATCATATGTATGTGTTATAATTCAAATCAACCTTTTCAATGGATTTCTACTCAAGTGAAATTTTTTTAAATGTAATTTATTTAATGTCGCATTCCCCAAATTAGGTATTAGCGAGAACAGTACAAGGGTAAGATAATTATACAGGCTTATTTACGTAAAATAAGAACGGATACAGAATTCATGATACATATGCATAATTACAGTAAAGAATTTTGGTGTTTTTTGTTCTTATGAAAAATTTGATTGCATATTGGCACTAATATACATTGTTGAGTATTCCTATGTCACTTAATACTTTAGAAATTTGTCGTTCATTTTGAAATTGTAGACAGTGTCACACTATATGTTCGATATTCAGTCTAGTTTGACACTTTTCGCACTTTAGCGGTTTTCCTTTGTTTATGAAAGTAAGATTGAATTAAAAAAAATAAGTAATTCTCTGGGAAAATCAGCAAGGTTACACGTTTTAATGCGGGCTTTCCTTCTCGTCGTTGGCTCGCTCGGCGGCGGGCGCCCTCTCGGTTCGTGTCCCGTGAGTTCTCTCTGCGGCGGCAGTTTATTGGCATACCCGGTATAATATTTGGAGCCGGCCATGCGCAGTGGATGTGCGACGGCATATCATCGATCAGCTCCTCTCTCGCAAAGCTCCACGACGACGACTGTATGACTATTGGACCAAAACAAGAGCCCGAGGGAAGTACTCGTATATACGCAGCTTGCCTCCCCAAAAGCGAACGAAGGGACATTTTTCAATGCGTCAGAACCGTCGTCTGTATATACATCGCAGGATTGAGAGGAGGGAATTGGCGAATCGCTAATACAGCGATCGAAGAGAGCCGGAGCGCACTGACGGGAGCCCGCTACTCGTTGCGAAAGGGGATGATAGAAAGTACGCGCGCCATGGTCCTTTATGCGCTGCGCGGCTCGAGAGTGGCCGACGAGGGTGAGATATAGAAACTGGCGCTTCTTGATTGTTTCTTTGTACACGCGGAAAAAAAATGTCCTCGTCGCTATTGATTGGATGAGACGTTGTAATTGTGTCGGGCGAATAAACTGATTACTATTTTCAACGCGACCATCTTTGATCAGAACTCCGAAAGGCTTTGCGCTCTTGAGACATTCCGTTCGTCATCGCACGGTCTGTCAGTCAACGAACGGACGCGGCCACGCAAAGAATGAAGTTACGCAATGGCGGCATCAAAATTCTGTTCGATGTCCATACTCGAGCGTTCCATTGAAAAAGCCACGCGCACCTCAGCTCTATTCATCCTTTGGACGTATACCCGTACAAGACTGTCTAGTCGGAAACCCTTCACTCGATCGAATGCAAAAGAAAAACAACGGACAGGCCCTCGCAGACGAAGACAAAAGAAAAAAAAGATGCAGATTATGCACTCATCCATAGTCGAAGTTTTCACGGCGTGAATGCATACACAAAAGTATTAGATCGAGGCGTTACACAGCGGCCACCTGCTCGATTGGCGTCGGCATAACACTCGAGGGCTCGCAGTTTGTCGGTGCTAGGATGAGGGTCCTCCAAGCAGGCGAGAGTCTTCCTCTCTCTCTCTCTCTCTCTCTCTCTCTCTCTCTCTCTCTTGCATGCGTCGCATTCCAAGGATTTAAAGGGAGCTGTGCGAGAGGTCGAAAGAAATGAACGAAAAGGCGTGGGAAGGATTTATATACGTATACCCTGAGAGGGAAGATCGAACGAAGATGAGGGATTGCGAAGGATAATTATCAGCGATCGCATTACCGTCGACGAGCGAATTTAATTTATGATCGGCAGATAATGAGGCTCGCTTCCCTTTCGATCCCTTTATCCGCCTGGTCTAATGAGGTTTCATATTTCTCTTCATTGCTTCGTTTCGTCACGTTTTTTTTTTCTTATACGTTACCGATGTATCGATGCTGAATTTCATTCCGGGATTATCGCAATTTTGATTAGCGCGTGCATCCCGCGCTTTGTTACGATTAATATCGTAATTTATGTCGAGTTTTCTTTCTATTGATTAACAAGAGTCGATGCATGAGTGCAGCTTCATTAATGTTATTGAAATCTCAAGATTATATCGACAGGTCACGCGCTTCAGGACAAACCTTCGTATCCTTTCGCGAAAAGCACTATAAAAATGTATTAATGAGGTGTTTCTTTAACGACGTAAATCCAATATTCGCTTATATAGATTTCTTCACTCGCGCACGAGGATTGCAGCTGTATGTACGATAATTGATTGGTGTGTCTCGCGAGTATTACGTAGATATAGGTTGAGTTTGACCTATTTCAATTTTTATTTCACAATAATTAAAGGCGCGCGAGTAAAAAGTTAGTTCGGTCCGATAACGAACGGATATTCCAATTATCGGAACCATTAACGAAATTAAATTACAGTATCACCGCAAGTTATATTTATACTGTTACCAATACTCCGAAGAATAAACAGATAGATAAGATTCGTATTGTACGATTCATCGACAGACCTAGTAGATGATATTTATGCAATACATTAAAAATGTCTTAAGTTTTATTGTAATAAAACACAATGTTATTGGAGTTTCACTGAGTGGAAGTAT